AGGGAAACAGGGCAGCACAAAAATGTTACGAGTGTTCGGATGCATGGTACAGTATCGACCCCCAGCAGCACGAGCGGGCCGATTTTCACAACGCGCACAGTGGGGACTACACCTCGGCATCGAAAAGAATTACAACGCGTGGAAAATCTTCGACGTCCACTCCAAGGAAACAGTAGCAGCACGCGACGTCATTTTCTACGAACGACTCACGCTCCAGACATACCTTGCCAACCTGCGAGAGGACCGAGATCCAACAGGTGGTTTCCGTGGTGACCGAGCCTTCGCCTCGGCAGCAGACGAAGCTGACTGGGACGAGCAGAATGTGGCCAACGCATCAGAAGAAGCTGGACCCCTTCCGTTCTGCTCCGTCGACGTCCCCATGGACGAAGATAACCCTCGCGAAAGCGTCAACGCCGAAACCTTCTACTACTTCGCCGACAACGGTTACGTAACACCTGCGACAGTCAACACCAACGAAGCAGAACGAATAGGACCGAATTTCATACCTGATCCAGAAGCAGGAGATGAAGCAGCTTATCCCGAGGATGCAACTCTTCCCCGCTACTCGTCACCGCAGTCCACGGCAACACTCTTCCTAAGGAGCCTGCGACGGTTCAGCAGGCTCTGGGGGGGGAACACAGGGAAAAATGGCGTGAAGCCATGGACAGAGAGTTAAAGGCGCTGGAGGAACGGAACACCTGGAAAGTTGTCCCCATCAGCGTGGCAAGGAACAAGACCATTCTCACCGGGAAATGGGTCTTCCGCGTTAAAACAAAAGCAGACGGCACAATTGAGAAGTTCAAAGCACGCTGGGTTGTGCGTGGATTCGAACAGGAGCACGGACGGGACTTCACCGAGACATTCGCCCCGGTTAGCCGACATACCTCACTTCGAATCCTCCTCGCGATCGCCGCCATGAAGAAAAGGAAGCTACGGCAAATTGACGTCGCGAACGCGTTCCTCTACGCACCTGTCGACGCAGAGATCTTCGTGGAACTACCGCACGGTACTAACGGAGAGCCCAACCAGGTTTGCCAGCTGCTGAAGTCGCTCTACGGAATCAAACAAGCCCCGCGGCTATGGCAACAGCACCTACACGCTCGCCTCATTCGCATCGGGTTCCGCCAACTACCTCACGACCAAGGAATGTACCGACTCACTAAAGACACCGACTACATTCTGCTGATCGTCTACGTAGACGACTTACTCTACGTCGGCTCCACCGACAGCATCACCACCTGGTTTGAAGGGGAGTTACAGAAGGACCTCACACTCACAATCTCCTCTACCGTCACGCAGTATCTCGGGTTGAACATTCGAGAGGAAGAAGACGCGATCTACCTCAACGCCACTAAGTACGCCGACACCATCGCCAAACGCTTCGCGCTCACGCCTACCACCATCTCTACGCCCTACCGCTACGCGACAGGAAACCACGAGGAAGGATCTACTCTACTCAAATCCGCCGGGATACGCGACTACCAGAGAAAGCTAGGATGCCTTCTCTTCGCAGCTGTTACCTGCCGCCCCGACCTCTCATACTCCGCAAGCCAGCTCGCCACTCATCTCAAGAGGCCTGAAGCAAAACACATGGCCGAACTCGACCGTGCTCTACACTATCTCGTCAGTACGCCAACGATCGGCTTAACATATTACAAGAACGCGACCACGCCGCCTAAGCTAATCGGTTACGTCGACGCAGATCACGCGGGCGACTCCGACAACAGACGATCGCGCACCGGCTACATCTGTCGCTTCGAGCCTATCGGGCCTATCTCCTGGCAATCGAGCAAGCAAGAACTAATTGCTCTCTCGTCAGCTGAAGCAGAATATATTGCACTCTTCTCAGCCACCAAGGAAGGACTCTATCTTCGCGAACTGCTAGAAGAAGCGAAGTTAGCCGAGTTACCCAACTTCACCCTGTTCTGCGACAACCAATCTGCAATTCGCATCGCCAACAAGAACGGCTTCGCGAACAGGAAGAAACACATCGCCCTGCGATACTTCTTCGTGAAGGACGAGATCGAGAAGGGAAGGCTCGAGCTGTCATACTGTCCCACGTCCGAGATGGCAGCTGACTACCTGACCAAGAAGCTCGGAAAGCAGAAGTTCGAATATTGCATGCTGCTGACTGGACAGAGCCACGTCAGCGACACTCCAGAAGCGAAGGGGAGTGTTGGGAACAAACAATCTTAAAGCGCCTCTGTCGTGTCGAAACACCAAGACACAAGTGAAGCAACGCATATCGAGGCACCAGCGAGTCAACCCTCGGAGGTTGAAGTAACAGCTGGAGGTTACGCGAAGGTCAAAGGTCAGCGACCTTTGACTTGACAAATACAGCGCGACAGCAAGGACACACAACTGACTCGATATTGAGCAGTTGCCCGAGTCGCACTGTATCGAACCGCAACAGCCAACAGTAAAACAATTATCATTCGTATCTCTTCGTATTCCTTGTACTCTTATATAAAACTTTGTATTTGCATGTTTTAATCAACTTACTTTGCCCTCACATACTAGCGCAAGGTGGTTCAGAATCTCTTTATTAACGCTTCCGCTACTACATCACTCTACCTAGAGTTTAACCCTACCAAAGATCCTAAGGGGCACTCAGCCCAACATCACTTACCAGCCCGACGACTTAGTTTTGCTTGACACCCAGAATCTCCGACTGCCCGTCACCCCAAAACTCCGCCCCCGATATTGTGGGCCATTCCGCATAAGCCACATGATCACACCCGTCACCGCCCACCTCCTCCTCCCTGCTGACTGGTACGTTAGCCCCTCTTTCCACGTCAGCCTGCTTCGCCCTTACGTCCCGTCCACGAGCCAACTGCCACGAAATCGCCCAACCAGCATGACGCGACCGCCAACTGAACCGATAATCACCCCCGAAAAAATCCTAAGCCACCGAGTTCGCAACCCTCGAGGAGCCCGACGGATCGAATTCTTACTCTACTGGAAGGACCGTATACCCACCGAGGACAATTGGGTCCCCCTGGACAAAATCGAAGACCACCCCGTCCTCACCGAGTACCTGCGTAGCCGAAATTTCCGGGATGTACACGCACTTTCGTAAGGAGGACCTCCTTTAGGGGGGGGGGTAGTGTAAGGAAAACCTCTTTTTCCTTACTTCGCATCCCTGCTCAACGCGTACATCACAGTCAACAACCGTTACCACTCGCAATTCTCGCATCGACAATCCGCCCGCCACTTTCGCACGTCGCACCCCGACCTCACGGCTCGGCGGGTAACCCGCGCTCCGGGCCTCCGCTTCGACACATTTTCCCAACCTCAGTGCCAGGCCCGTCGCGCGACACCCACAGTCCATTAACCGTTACCACTGTAGCTTCGCTATATATCTTTCGCCCATTCCTTCGCTCATTGGACTTGTTGCTTCGATAGTGCAATCTTCGTTCGTTCACTCAATTGCACTCGTAACATATGGACTATGCGGCAGATTTGCATGACTTGCAGTATATACTAGAAGAAATTGGAGATGCGTAAACTGGAGGAATTGCAGAACAACAGAGAAAATTGCTGAGCACAAACTACTTCTCTTTCGAGGTAAGCACTTGCTGGATAGAGCGAGCTGACTTTATCGAATCAGCGTCAAGCTGACGTTTTCGCGGGATGATAATATTATCAGGCACTGCAACTACTACAGTTACACTTTGCAGGGCAGAACGAAGGAAAGCGAGTCAGATAAGATTAATTCACGGTTTGTTGTTATGACGCTTCCACACGATGGTTTCGCCTAAGGCCAGCTTTATCAAGGGCAAGATGATCAGAACTGTTACTAAGATAGTGGTATTTTTTCGAGGATATGGTTAGCCTGGCCAGTTTTGATGAGTTGTGATTGCCGTCGGCTTACTATCCTGCACGCTTGCTGTTGCCGGTTTCAATAAATTTTTTCTCGAACTTGAGACGATTTCTCGTTCTCAATTTGCGATCGAGACTTATTCAGTGATAGTCCCACTAGTCGAAGCTCGACGGTGCAGTTTCGTTCCGCAATTCTAGCCATTTTTTGTTCGCGATGACTGCGAAAGGAGTCGGTTTTGTGATGAAAGAGAAAGCGGGGGGGGAGGATGCGGGGAGAGAGGAGCGCGAGATAGATGCGAGCGAAGAGATGGTTCACGAGGAAGAACAGGGAGAGCAGGGAGAGGAGGGAAAGGCGAGGAACGAGGAAGAGGATGACGACGAGCGAAGAGAGGAGGATAGAGGAGAGGAGGAGATGGGGGAAGAGGGATGGAAGGAGGAGAGAGTGGAGGATGAGGAATTTTTGATGCGCTTGGTGTGCATCGATTATTACATGGATGCTCCGATTCCTGGCCTTGATGCTTCGTTCTCACCTTTCCACGGTAAAAAGAGATTTGCATTTTCCGTGGTTATACCTGACATCTCTGGTTATGCATCAGGTGACACCTGAGGGTTCTGGTTGCACTTTTGATGGCATCTGACCGCCCTGGTTGCGAATTCGGTAACATCGGATGGCTCTGGGTGCGTTTTCAGAGACATTTGACTGCTATGACTACACATTAGGTGACTTCTGACTTTTATGGATGCACATCAGATGCCATTAAATCGATTACATTGCACATTGTTGATATCAGACTGCTTTGGATAATCTAACGGATATGGTGGCATAATAGCTGACATCAGACTGCTCTGGTTACACATTCGGTGACATCTGACTGTTCTTGTCGCACGTTTGGTGACATTTGACTGTTCTTGTTGCACGTTTGGTGACATCTGACTGCCCTGATAGCAGATTAGGTGACCTCTGACTTTCCTGATAGCAGATTTGGTGACGTCTGACTTCCCTGAATAGCAGATTAGGTTTCGTCTGACTGCACTGTATGCACATATGCTAATCTCTGAATCCTTTGCAAAGGGAGGTCCATTTCTGTAGAATGGTATCAGATTTCAGCTTCTGTGTGTGCCACGTGGCAGGTCAAGCAGTGGTGTAAGTTGTCCCTTCCCTGTGTGACACGTGGCAGGGCGAGCAGTGGATAAGGTGCCAGTTGTGCGCATCTTTGGATCCACCACTATGGGGCAACGAACCTGCCTGCACTTGCACGAAGTACGTTTCGTATAGATGCCTGCATACACATGCATGGGGTACGTTTCGTCTAGGTATATGATTGAGTCAACATGGAATGGAATCCACCACCATGGGTCAACAAACCTGCCTACACTAGCACGGGACGGGGTATGCTATGCACCCTCCACATCTCAATCTCTTTCCATGCTGACGGTACCTTGCTGTCGTGCAGCACTGCCACTATGCGGCAAAGAGCTCTGCTGCACTCGCAGCTATTGCAATTCATCCAAATGTTTTGCACCGTTTTCACCATGATCCATCTTTTGCTGCAGGCTCTCCCTTATTTCTACGTGCCATACGATGACGACCTGCCTCAGGATCTGGCTAAAGGTATGGCTCGTGACGGTTGAGTATTCAGGCGCTCCTGAGTTTTTTCTCAGCTATGTGATGGATGGGATGTCATAGGTGCCGTTTTCGAGATCAATAAGAACTTGGCAGCCGTGTTTCTACTTGCCTTGAGATGCTGCCGTAAGCTGAGTGCATGTCATTGATTCCTAGTTCTGTGAAATTTAAGACGAGCCACTCATGTCAGAACCTTTTCAAGTATCCCCTCACCTTGTCGTAGTTTTGAACAATTCTGATGTGTCAACCATGTTCCTGCTTTCTTTCCCGTTTCTCCCTCCTCTCCCCGTCCCCCGCCTTCAACGCCCTCTCTCCTCACTTTAACACCAGCACGAATCTTCATGCGCCAGCTGGCTTCAGCACTGGAGTATGCACTCAAGGTACAGCATTCGAGTCTAGTGTCTAGTCTGATTGTCGTTAAACACCTATCACGCTACTCTATTCTACTGGTCGTCTTACCTTGTGCTTTGAGTCCACTGAAATGACTTGTCGCCTTAGGTTGCTGAGCGGCAGCACTCTGGTGTGAGATTTTGCGTGTTGGTGTTTTCCTCCCTCTCTCCCTCTTTCCCGCACCCCCCACAACGACACACACGACCTTGCGACACCCTCAGGTTGCAAGCCCCTATGCGCGCAAGAGGCAGCACGTGCATGCGTGCTCTCTGGTGCGAGCTCTGCCCTTCTACGGTTACCACCCCAACGAATGCCTCTTCATCAAGCTGGAGATGTGGGTGATGTGCGGTGTGATGCGGTGGGATGTGGTGTGATGGTGTGGAGTTATGTGTGCATGCGTGCTCTCTGGTGCGAGCTCTGCCCTTCTACGGCTACCACCCCAACGAATGCCTCTTCATCAAGCTGGAGATGTGGGTGATGTGCGGTGTGATGCGGTGTGATGCAGTGAGACGTGGTGTGATGAAATAGAGTGTGGTGTGATGTGGTGATGTAGGGGTCAGGTCACTCTCGCGCGAGCCCTGGCTTCCTATGGCTAACTTTGGCATGGGATGGCATGGCATGGCATGGCATGGCTGGCACGGCATGCATGCCCCATCCATGCAACCCCATGCCATGCATGCATAGCCGCGTTCACACACCCTGTACCCCATGCCATATCACCATGCCCTGCACTGAATGCAGGTTCTATCCGGATGAAGTGACCCGTGCTGCATTCATCCTTTTGAGTCGACTCAAAAGTCACCGCGCTCACACACCCTGTTCCCCATTTCACCCTGCTCTGCACTGGACGCAGGTTCTATCCGGATGAAGTGACCCGTGCTGCATTCATCCTCCAGGTGGGTGGGTGGGTGCCTTCACTGGAGTGTGTTTAATTCGTGTGGATGAAACGGAAAGGAAGTACGCACATGATGACTCCAGCATAAGTCATGCCACATCAACCTGCCTAAATGATTCACCAGGTGTACTCTCGAGGTATCCCACGAATCATGTCACATCGCAATGGAAAGTCTGACATGAATGACTTACCCATTGGTTGCACCACGTGCAGTCAGGAGCAGTGATGGGGCGAGTGTTCCAGCCATACGAGTCTCACATCCCGTACCTCCTGCAAATCAAGGTGCAGTACATTCTCTACTGTACTGTGTTGTAAGCGTATAGTGGCATATGTCGTAAGTTTCTTTGAATTTGCTAACAGTACTTCTCCTCCAACTTTTCCCCAACATTCGTGTCTCCCATGCCCCATGCCCCATGTCCCATTACCATTACCCATGCTCCATGCCCCATGTCCCATGGCCCCCCATGCCCCATGCCACTATTTTGTGAATCAGATAGACTACAATCTCGTGGGCATGGGTCTCGTCCGCCTCTCTCAAGTCCTTTTCAGACCACCCCTTCCCACGCACCCTCCTCCTCACACCTCTCCTCCACCTCCACCTGCTGCTGGGGACGTGAAGAGAATCGGAGGGGTGTATTTCGCAGGAAACGTCCCTCCAGGGTGCTTCTGGGGGGCCAGAAGGCAGGAGGGCGGACGCACATTCGAGGCAAGGGGAAGCATGGGGAGGAAGAGGGGGAGATGGTGTGAGGAGAATCTACCTGAAAGGCGTGAAGGGCGTTCAGGGATGGACGGTGTGCGTCGGCAGAGTGTGTGCGAGCTGGAGGCGGATGGGTGCGTGTCAGGTGGGTGGGAGAGGCGAGAGCAGCGTGGGGAGATGCCTTAGGAAGGCGGAGGGGCTGGGTTAGCAGAGGGATGGTAGCAGGAGAAACCAAGCATGCAAGATGGATGCATGCTGACTTTTACTGCATGTGCGAGTCGTGATTACACCGCATGCCGTGCCTTGTTGTAGTCATTCGCCACAGCACTTGTATACTCACTATGAAATGGGTGACATGGTGAGCGGTAATAGGATTTTGGAGTGCTCTGCTTGCCTTTCCGAGTCCCTTGTCCATCCATCCATGGTTGAAAGGATCGTGCACTTTCCTGCCCTACCCATGCTTCCCTGCAGCATGTCCTTGTGTGTTGTGCGTGCGTGAGTGCACTCATGCATGCAGAAATGGTGAACGTGAATGACCTTATGCCTTGGCTCAAATCTCATGTCTCGTTGATCCTCCCTGTCACCTCTGTGCGTACACACATGCGTGCATTATGCAATGCGCGCTCACATGCAGACATACTGAACGTGAATGACCTCCTGCGAGTGCCTCTCCACGAGGCTGGGGATGACATTCAGATGGTGCCCTCGCTCGCCCCCATCTGGGAGGTATGCTCTTCTTTGGGAGGTATGCTGCCTGCCTTGTGTTGTTTGCTTCCTGCCCATTTGTGCTTCAGCCCCACTGCCTCTGTCTTTTGCACCTGGTAGGAGTTTTGCTTTACTTCAAATTGGTAACCCATGCTCCCATTTCTGCGGTATGAGGCTGCCATATGCCTCTGTCAGCTCAGTGACTGAGTGAAGATTGATAGGGCCTCACATTGTGGAGTCAAAATTGACACGTCTCTCAACTCTACTCTACTTTCTTTGCTGTCTTGCAGGATGAGCGGCGACGGTCTGCAGCTGAAGCCGCAAGCAAAGCAAAGGGCAGCAGCAGCGGCGGCGGCAGGCGAGGGAAGGGAGGGAAGGCCAGTGGCCTGGATTCTCCTGGGCTTTCATCAGAAATTGGGGGAAAACAAGGAGCTGAAGCAGCAGCAGAAACAGCAGCAGAAACAGCATCAGAAACAGCAGCAGAAACAGCAGCAGAAGCAGCAGCAGACACAGCAGGAGAAACTGCAGCAACGCCTCCTGCTGCTGCCACTCCTGCCACTCAGAGAACGGAGCCGCCCCTTAGCGCCCTGGACAAGGCTCTTAGGAGAGCGGTGTACGAGTTGGCTGAGGAGGAAGCGGCTGTTCTGCGAGCGAGGGAGGAGAGGCGGAGCAGGGGGATAGGGATAGGAATGGGAATGGGGAGGGGAATGGGAATGGGAATGGGAATGGGAAGGGGGAGGGGAACGGGAAGGGGAAGGGAAGGGGGGAACGAGAGTTGTCAACAGGGAAATGAGGAGTGGGTGGAAGGGCAGCGAGACAGGGCCCCTGCCACTCGCCGTCTGTTTTCCTCGCAGCAGGAGGGAGAGGAGGGAAATGGGGAGGAGAGGGGAGGGGCGGGAGGTGAGGTAAGGGAAGGAGCAGTGGAAGAGGGAGGAAGAGAGGGGAGGGATGAGAGACGAAACGAGGGGAGAGAAACGATTGGCGGAGCAGCAGAGGACGAAGAGGAGGAGGTTAGGCGGCAGGAAGAATCACCTAAGAAGGAGGGGATGTTATCTCCTAAAGGGAGGATTGCCCCTTTGACTCAGTCGCCTGTGGTCTCGAAAACCCCTTTACAGTCAACTCTGGTTGCTGCTGAGAGCCCTCTACTGTCATGCTCCCAGCGTGCCAATCTGCCCGCCCCAGCACAGACAGCTTCTGGAGAGCACAGACAGCCGGCTGTTGCTGCTGAGAGCCCTCTTCTGTCATGCTCCCAGCCCGCCAACCGGCAATCTCCAGCACAGACAGCAGTGGGAAACATGGGCTTGAATTCAGGAGGAAGGGCTACGCGTGATGGCTTGGATGGTGGGGACAGATGGGTGGAGGGCGGTGGTTGGGGGATGGAAAGTGCGAGGAAGCGGAGGAGAAGAGTGTCGTTTCAAGGTGCTGCTGAGGCGAAGGAGGGAGGAGGAGGAGAAGGGGGAGGAGGAGAGGAGGGGGAGAGAGCAGAGGAGGGAGGGCATGCTCCTGTATGGAGGGGTGAGGATGGTGGTGCTAATGGTGGTGGTTCTGACATGGTCTATGATGATAGTGCCATGTTGCCGTTGGTGGATGAACAAGTGGTTGTCACACAGCTATCACAGCAGCAAATGCAGGTAACCCCCCCTTGTGCTCGTGTGTTGACGTGTCTCAATTCACAGCAGGAGGGGCAATTGGTGGGTTCCCCTCTCGTTTTGTTTCGTGTCTTCCTCTCCACCGTCTCGCCTCAACCCCAACCCTCTCCTGCCCACCCCTGCCACTTTCAGGGAGAAGCCCTGAATCTTCTGAGATGGGTTTTCATGCTAATACTCAGCGTGTCACCCCGCCCCATCCCTCCTCACCCGGCCCCACCCTTTTTCACCCCGCCCCACCCCTCCCCACCTGCCTTGCCTCAGGAGGACGAAGAAGAAGCCCTGGACCTTCTGAGATGGGTTGCCAATAGCCAGCGTGACAACAGTGAAGGCGACAGTGCGAGCGATGATGAGCAACTGTTGCTGGGAGAAGATGTAGCAGGTGAGGCAGCACAGAGACACGCATACACACAAGCACAAGCAGAAGCAGAAGAACAAGCGCAGGCACAAGCCCAACCAACGGGGAACGCGACCGGGTCACAGGCATCCACAGCGGTTGGGTCTCATGGGGGTTTCACGAGGGTAGTGTCTCAGCTTCCGACAGGTGGATCACAGGAGTTTCTGCAGATAGGGTCTCAGTTCCAAATGGGTGGGTCACAGGGGTGTTCTCAAGGGGAGAGGAGGCGGGCTGCAATGGAGCGAGCGTGGGAGGCATATGAAGCATCTGTGGCGGAGGAGTGTGAGGGGATTCTGGCGAGTGCGAGGGAGATGGGGGCGGAGTGGGAAAGAGAGGGGGAGGAGGAGGAGGAAGAAGAGACGGAGGAAGAAATCGGAGAAGAGGAGTTGGGAGAAGAGTGGGAGGAAGGGATGCAGCAAGGTGTGGGGCAAAGAGAGCTGGTTGGAGGAAGCAACGCACTAGAAGGGAGCGGAAGAGAGGATAGGCAGGTGCCGATCCCTCAGGCGCCAGGAAGAAGCGGAACCGAGGGTAAGGGTAAGGGGTGTATGGACGGAGCATCAAGAGGTGCTGGTGGGGAGGGACCGGAGGGTAATGCAGGAGAGGGGTCCGTGCAAGAGGGGGAGGGTGTGGGAGGGAAGGGGAAAATGGTGGAAAGGGAGAGGTCAGGAGTGCAGGGAAGGAAGGGAGGGGGAGAGGAGGGAGAGGAGGAGGGGTTGGAGTGGATAAACAAGTTTGTGCGCGGCGATCTGATGGCCTGGCAGATGCACCAGACGGATGGCGCTAATGACGATAGTGAGGATGCTGATAACGAGGATGATGAGTCTAGAGAGCAAGGTGAGCAGGAAGAGGAGGAGGAGCAGGGGGAGCAGGAAGAGGAGGGAGAGCAGGGGGGCCAGGAAGCGGAGGGAGAGGAAGGAAAGAAGGGAGAGCAGGGAGAGGAGGGAGAGGAGGAGGACGAGATAGTGATGACTCCACCAACCACCCGACTGCACCTGAGGTCGCGAAGGAAGCGCCACAAGCAGAGGCTGCAAGGCACTCATCTCCCCAGCTCTGGCACTGGCACGACCTGTGGGCCTGGGGGAGGAGTGGCTCTCGCTCGTGGCCTTGGGCGTGGGAGAGGTGCAAGTGCAATGTCTGCTGCTAGTGGTTCGGGCTCGGAGAGGAGCAAGTGTGACAAGCAGAGTCTGCAAGGCACTCATCTCCCCAGCTCTGGAACTGGCGCGACCTGTGGGCCTGGGGGAGGAGTGGCTCTCGCTCGTGGTTCACGGCCAGAAAGCAGGACGAAATCCGTGTGTAGCCAGAAGGAGTTGAAGAAAGGAGAGGAGGAGGTGGGCGGATGCAGGACTGTTGGTAGTGGTAATGGGAAGGAGCGCAGCAGAGAGGAAATTCGAGTAGGCAGTGAAGGAGGCAGTCGAAGGGTAAGTCAAGGGAGAAGTCAAGAGGGCAGCAGGGGCAGCAGCAGCGAGGGCTCGGAGGAATGGTTGCCTGCCAAAGGCCAGGGCATGAGCCAAGGATCGTTCCAAAGCAAGGTTGATGGCATGAGCCAAGGCTTGAGCCAAGGCGTGAGCTGTGGGCTGTTCCAAAGGATAGATCAACTAGGGATTCTTGAGCCAGCTGGACGTGACGCTCTGCAAGCTGCTGCACTGGCTGCCGCTGCTTCTCCAGACGGCGTTGCTGCACCTCTCGCCACTTTTGAGTCGACTCAAAAGTCAGCTGCTGCACCGGCTGCCGTTGCTGCTCCAGACGGCGTTGCTGCACCTCTCGCCACTTTTGAGTCGACTCAAAAGTCAGCTGCTGCACCGGCTGCCGTTGCTGCTCCAGACGACGTTGCTGCTCCAGACGGCGTTGCTGCTCCAGACGGCGTTGCCGCACCTCTCGCCACTGAAGCAGCTGCTGCTGCTGCTGCTGCTTCGGTTCAGGATGAGCTTCACGAGCCAGCAGCAGCGCCTGCCGCTGCTGCACCTGTTGCTCTAGATGGCACCTCTCCACCTGGCATAAAAGCAGATGCTGCTGCTGCTTCAGTTCAAGATGAGCATCACGAGCCAGCTGCAGTACCAGCCGTCAGAAACAATGCTGCAGAAGCCGGCGAGTTAACTTTTGAGTCGACTCAAAAGTCAAATCACGAGCCAGCTGCAGCACCGGCCGTCAGAAACAAGGCTGCAGAAGCAGGCGCTTCTGCTATTCCTGTAGCACCTGCAGCAGAGGTAGCAGTAGCAGCAGCAGCAGCCGCAGGTTTAGCTGCAGGGGTTTCCGTTCCAACGATACCCTCAGCGAAAACAGAATCAGCAACCTGTGCCGCATTGTTACCGCAGCCCTCTCCCACAGCTGAACCTACTCCTGTGATCCGCTCAGTTTCTCCAGAGCTACCCGCGGACGCTTCTGTAGGTCTTTCCACCTCTCCTCGAGTCGAAGCTTCTGTGCCGAACAGTGTCCCTCAGATGCTGTACCCATCTCAGCAGACGGTGCAAACGCCACACACGTTTCAGACTCTTCAGATGCCTCACACACCTCAAACTCTTCAGGCTCCTCAGATGCTTGAATCTCCTCCAACCCCTCAGACTCCCCAAACCCCTCACACGCCACTGCCACCTGTGCCTGCCTCCTCCCCCTCGCAGCTTCCCGCCACCTTCCTCCCGTCCCGCCACATCCCTCAAGTGCTTAAAGAGAAGGCTGCATCCGGCCACTCGTTACAATCACACTCGACAGAAGAACGGGTGGTGGATCCGCTGGTTTATCACAGGGCGCCTCCCTCGTTGCAGCAGTTGAGGGACACGTGGCAGGCCCATGGCTTGCCACGTGTGCAGTGGCCTGATGTGTACTACGGTGACGTCAGGGACGTGCCAGAGAGGCATCCTGTTTTTGGCGGGAAGGAGTTCAAAAGTAAGTCTGCAGTTGGGCATGAATGTGTTTTGTTGTCCCGTCACATGTGTGTGCATCCCACGCAGGTGTCCTCTTTTTTTTTTTTTTGCCCACATTTTTCTGGTTACAAAAACATCTTATACTTCGTTACCCTCTCGACCCCCCTCTGTCCATCCCCCATCCCCCGTCCTCACCACCCAACAGTTCTCTCAGCTCACGATGCTCACCTGCCTCCCTTCCCCTTCGGCCCCTCTGGCCCTCGCTCCCACTCCACCTTCAACACAGCCCCGCCCTTCCTCACTCTCGCCTCACTCACCCCCTCCACCTCTCTTCCCGGATTCCTCGATGCACCAGATAACTCAGCACCCATCTGCCCCCTTCGCCCCTTCAATGGCGGCAGCACCAGTACTGCTGTTGCAGCGCCTGTTGCTGTGGCCACTTCAGCAGCTGCAGCAGCTTCAGTGCGTTGGCCCGCCCCTAGGCTGGCTCGGGAAGGGGAGCCCGTACCTGGAGTGCCGAGCCGAGTCGACAGGCTCGGCCGGACGTCGTATCAGATTGTGCCGGCTCAGCAGCCCCCCTCTCGGCGGCGGGTGGAGGTGTGGGCGATAAGAGAAGGGCTGCTGAAGAGGAGGAAGGATAAGCATGTTACTTACTCAAGAAGCAGAGGAGAGGATAGGAGGGGGGTGAGCGTGGAAAGGGGAGAAATAGCTGTGTCTGCTGGGGTTGCTGAAGCTGAACCTGATAGAGGTGCCCCTGGCGGCGCTGATGCTGCTGGTGCTGGTGCTGCTGCTGGTGCTGGTGCTGCTGGTTGTGCTGGTTTTACGGGTTCACCCAAACACGGTCTCCAATGCATTGCAATACAACCAAGTGCAGAGCAGCAGGCGGACTTTGCCCTTGATCCCAACACAGGCCAGTTGCTCGTTCAAGAGGCAGGTGTGCTGGGCGGGGGAGGAAGGAAGGCCGGCAAGGGTTTGGTGGGTGGGAACCGAAGGAAGGGGGGGGCGGGTTCTAGAGGAGGTGGGAACAGGAGGGAAGGGGGTAGCCGGGGTGTGGTGGCGAGGGGAGGAGGTGGGGGGAGGAATAGGGCAGTGGGGGACGAGGGGGATGAGGGCGAGGGTGAGATGGGATGGGGAACGTGGAGTGATGTGGGAAGGTGGAGGAGAGAGGTCGAAGAGATGGTGGATGAGGGAGAGGAGAGAGAGGTCAGTAACGAGGATGGTTGTAACGAGGATAGAGAGGAGGGTAGCGGACATGATGAAGAAGAAGAGGAAGAAGAAGAGATATTTGAAAGGCCTGCGTCGCCCAAGTGGAATGAGGGGCACGTGCTTACAACGCAGCTGCTCTCACCCCCCATGCATTCACAATCACGCCTCAGGTCCCCCCTCTGGAGCAACGGATCAAGATCAAAGTCAAGGTCAAAGTCCAAATCAGAACGAAGGAGGAGGAGAATCCCAGATGACGCAGCAGCAGGCGAAGAGGAGAGTGGAAGAAAGAAGGACCGGCTGATCCCAGTGTCATTTGAATCCCAGGGGATTCTGAAGTCGCCTGCCGATCATTCTCGTTTCCATTCTCCTCAACCTCGGTCCCGAGTCACCTTCAGCTCCATGCCGCCTCCTCGCATCCCCCCTTCTCTCCTCCGCATGCCTACAGCCGCTGGGGCCGCTGCCAGTCCCACCACCACCAACCCTGCTGCTGCTGCTTCTGCTGCTGCTGCTGCTGCCACCACCACTGCTTCTGCTGCTGCTACTTCTGCGCGTGCTGTTTCTGGACAGTCACCAATAGGAAAATCATCTCTCCCTATTGGAGAGTCCCCCCCTACACCTCCTTCTCCTGCTACCACCGGTCTGAACCCCTCTCAACCTTCACCCACTCTCCTCCAATCACCCCCTCTCATCCAATCGCCCCCCCACACACAGAGTTTCCGACCTCCTCTTCCACCCTTCACCCTGGCCCCCTCCCCTTCTTCTGCGTCTCCTGTTTCTCCAGAATCGTATCATATCCAATCTAGCAGAATTCCAGGTGGATATTCAGGTGTTTCTAGGCCGTTCGGTGAACCTGGTACTGGTGTTTGGAAGGGGCATGCTCTCGGCCAATCAGGGGCTGCCAGGTGGCGAGATTTCTCCCAGCTGACCCCAGCAACTCAGGCTGCGACTCCGGTCAGCCAATCAGGATTCAGGGAGAGTAAGAATGGAAAGAAGGGGAGTGGAGAGAAGGTGAGAATAGAGGAAACCGGCGAAATGGGAGAAGGGCGAAAAAGAGCTACTGCAGAGGGAGAGGCAGAAAGAGTTGGTCCGGGGATAGTTGGAGGAGTGAAGAGGAGGGCTGAGAAGCAGAAAGGGGAAGTGACACTAGAGAAAGTGGAGGAGGAAAAGGAGGAGGGTGGAGCAAAAGCCGAAGTTATGAAGGATGATGCAGCAGATACAGGAAGAAGCTCCGCCGACAGAAAGAAAAGAACCTGTTCCTCCTCCCCTTCCTCCTCGTCCTCCTCCTCCTGCTGCGAGCATATGGTGAGCATGAGTGCGGAGGTGCTAGCATGCACCAGAGGGGACTTGCTTCCTGACCCTGCTCTGGACGCGCTGTGCTGTGTCGTGCTAGCCACACAGCGGGAAGGGGAGGGGGACGGGGAGGCGGAGGGGGATGGGAAGGAGGAAGGGAAAGCGGAAAGGGAAGACGAGTGGGAGCGGGAGGGGGGCGGGAATGAGGTGGAGGCAGAGCACGTTTTGGAGAGGGAAGAGAGTGGGAGAGGGGAGTGGAAAGACAGGCGAGGGAGGGCAGAAGAGAGCGGGCCAGGGAGAGGGAGGAGGCGAATCAGGTTGAGGCGAGTTGGAGGCAAGGCTCAGGTGGACGTGCTTATACTGGAAGATGCTCCTTCAGGCCTCGCCCACAGGTACAGTTCTTTCCTTCTCTCTTTTCTATTAATAGACGACCCAGCTGCTACCTGGTAACGCCGGCCGTAATCCAACGGGGGGGTTCCAGGGGATTGCTGGCAGAGAGAAACATCCACAGAAACCCCCTGAGGGTCCATGCTTCAGGCTTTAAGGTTTAGGTTTAGTGTGGCTGGCAGGGAGGGCGTCAGGGTTGCTGAGGGCGCAGCACGTGATTTTGAGGGCTCTGCCGGCGGCTTCTGTTTCCGTTTCCTCTTCTGTTTCAACCCTGCGAGACAATTTCTGGGGTGGCACGTGCAGGGGGGCTTCTGGGTGAGCTTCGTTGGTTCAACCGTTGTTCTCTATTTGTTCTCCTTTTGAATGGGCTCGAAAGTCATCTTCTGCATCCTCTTCTCCGTTTGTTCTCCATTTCTCCACCTCAGGAACCCTGACGCCCTCTCATCCTGCCGTGTGCACCTGCTATCCTCTGAAGTTGCCCTCTTGGAACGAGTGGTAGCAGTGGTGAGGGAGTATGATCCGGACATACTGCTGGGGTGGGAGGTGCAGGGGGGCTCCTGGGGATGGCTGGCAGAGAGATCGCAGCACCTGGGCTTTAACCTCCTCAAATCGCTCTCTAGAGTGCCGCCTGTGCACGATGTGAGGGTATCGCAGGCAAGGGCACCGTTCAAGTGTAACCCCATTGAATTTGAAGCACGTCCCTCCAGTCCTCCACTCCCAACTCGCCCTGATTCCACCGGACCTCAGCAGTTTCAGTCACACCCGCCACAGTCACACTCACCACAGTCGCACCCGTCACAGTCACACCCAACTCTGTCACACCCAGCTCCATCACACTCAGAACATCCACTCCCGTTACAGTCACCTCAGGCAGCAGTCACGTGTGAAATGCCCTTGGATTCCCATCACATCCTCATGTCCCCCTTGCACTCCCAGCTGCACCCCTCCCCATCGCTCCCTCCTATGGGCCCTTCCCAGTCACCCCTTTCTCCTCCTCTTGCCACTGCTCCTCTTGATGCTACTCCACCTGACGCCACCACTCTTGATGCTACTCCACCTGACACCACCACCCCTGACGCTGCTCCGAATGACGCCACCACTCCTGACACCAGCCTAAACGTCTCGCAGCAGCAGCAGCAGCAGCAGCAGGAGCAGCCAGTTGCCCCATCCCCCATCCACTCTTCTCCCCCCATCCTCTCGTTTCCGCTCTCCCCCTCCCAGTCCGTCCCCGTGCCTCAAGACATGAGCGCATGGCACCGTGGGTTCGGAGGATTTGCCCTCCCCCCTGCACATGCAGCAGCTGCTGTGCCTGCGGAGGCAGGTGTACAGATGAATTCCACCACATATGGTGCACAGGTGCAGGCACAAACGCATGTGCATGTGCAAGCACATGCACAGGGGAGTAAAGGGAGGGAAGCTTGTGCTGGTCCTGCCTTGCTGGCAGATGACCCTTCCACGTGGCCTCTCCTCATCCCTGCCACGTCAGCTGGGGGAGCAGCAGGGGGGGAAGGAGGACGTTGGGGAGCAGGGGGGAGAGTGGGAGGCGGGGGATCAGGAGGGGGAGGGGGCGGAGGGGGAACGGGGAAAGGGGATGAGAGACTGAATAGATGTGATGGACGGATGGTGGGAGGAAAGGGGCCTCTGGGACGGCCAGGGGAGGGAGGAGAACGAGGAGGGGGAACAGGAGGAGGAGGAGGAGGAGGGAAAGAAGGCGCGACAGGTGACGGGGAGAGGGAGAGGTGGATGAGAAGGAGAGGGGGAGGCCGCGGGCGGGGGGACGACGACGCAATTGTATCAGACGAGTGGGGGAAAACGCACGGCAGTGGCTTGCACGTGGCCGGGCGGATCATGATAAACCTGTGGAGAGTGATGCGAGCTGAGGTGAAGCTGCCTGTTTACTCGTTCCATGCGGTGGTGCTTGCTGTGCTGAGGCGACACGTGGCGAAGTATGACTGGTGCACGCTGACTGGGTGGTGGAAGACTGGGGGGGAAAGGGGAGGGGGAGGGGGAGGTGGAGGAGGGGGAGCATCAGCAGCAGTGGGTGCAGCAGAAGGAGAAGGAAGGGGAGGGGGAGCAGCAGCACCAGCGGCGACCGTACCATTGGTTAGAGTGCAACGGTGGCGGTGCATTGAGCATTTTGTGGCGAGAGCTCGGCTGAATCTTGACATGATGCGCCACCTGGACGTTGTGAGTGCTGCCACGTGGATGTTTTGAGTGATGCCACATGGAGCACATTTGACATGAAAAGCACCCTCGAACATCCCTTTTCTCCCCATCCATTTCCCTCTGTTGCCCCTCCATAACCATCCTCATTATAAGGTGGACCGCACAGCGGAGCTAGCACGGGTATTTGGAATCGACTTCTTCTCGGTGCTGTCACAGGGCTCCCAGTACCGAGTGGAATCCATGATGCTGCGACTCGCACACTCCCAGAACTGCCATCTCTCGCCCTCTCCTCCCTTTGCCACTCTCCCAGGTCAATCGCACAGCGGAGCTAGCACGGGTGTTTGGAATCGACTTCTTCTCGGTGTTATCACGGGGCTCGCAGTACCGAGTCGAGTCCATGATGCTGCGACTCGCACACTCCCAGAACTGCCATCTCTCGCCCTCTCCTCCCTTGGCCGCTCTCCCAGGTCAATCGCACAGCGGAGCTAGCACGGGTGTTTGGAATCGACTTCTTCTCGGTGTTATCACGGGGCTCGCAGTACCGAGTCGAGTCCATGATGCTGCGACTCGCACACTCCCAGAACTGCCATCTCTCGCCCTCTCCTCCCTTTGCCGCTCTCCCAGGTCAATCGCACAGCGGAGCTAGCACGGGTGTTTGGAATCGACTTCTTCTCGGTGTTATCACGGGGCTCGCAGTACCGAGTCGAGTCCATGATGCTGCGACTCGCACACTCCCAGAACTACCTGTGCATCTCGCCCTCGCGCATGCAGGTATGCGTTGTGGTAACCATGTTATTACACACGTAAATGCGCCTGCATGCATCCCGCTGGTGATGGAGCCAGAGTGTCGCTACTACACCAGCCCAGTGGTCGGGTTTCACTCTATCCCCCTGCCTACTCTTCCCTCTCCCCCTCCCTCTCAGGTATCCTCCCAGCCAGCACCTGCATGCATACCTCTCGTCATGGAGCCGGAGTGTCGCTACTACACCAGCCCCGTGGTGGTGCTTGACTTCCAGTCGCTCTACCCCTCCATGCAACCTCTGCTTCCCTCAACCCTTCCAAAAAGCATCTGTTTCTCTTCTCCTTTCTCCCTGAATGACAGGTGTCGTCCCAGCCGGCCCCTGCATGCATACCCCTCGTCATGGAGCCGGAGTGTCGCTACTACACCAGCCCTGTCGTCGTCCTTGACTTCCAGTCGCTCTACCCCTCCATGCTCATCGCCCACAACCTCTGCTTCTCCTCCTGCCTCGGCCGCATCCCGACCCCCTCCTCCTCTGCTGCTGGCGGTGCCGCTGCTGATGGTGGGGGTGGTGTTGCTGCTCCTGCCGCTCCTACTGATGGTGCTCCTGCTGCCGGTGCTGGTGATTCAAGTGTGGCCACTGCTGCCGCCTCTGCTGCTGCTTCTGCTGCCGCCAATGGTGCTGCCGCTGCTGCCACTGCCACTTCTGCAGCAGCAGCAGCGGCTCAGAAAGCGTCTCCTGGAGGCAACCTATATCAGGGTGGTGAGGGTGAGAAGCAATGGTGGGGCGAGGAGGAGAGGCCGCTGGGTGTGACGACCTATCGTGTGCCGCCAGGTGTCGTGTCGTCATTGAAGGACGACCTGCTGCTGCTGCCCAACGCAGTGATGTATGTGCCGCCCAAGGTGAGTCGTGCTGGCAGCTGAAATAGACCTATGCCATGCCATGCTGTCCTGTGTGCCATGCTGTTCTCTGTGATATAATGCTGAACGCACTGCTGGCAAAGCAGTCGCCGCTTTTCCCCCGTGTGTGCTCTCAAGCTCATCTCAACTGCTGACCTGTTCGCTTTTCTCCCCGCTTTCCAGGTCCCATGTGTGCTGCCGAGGCTTCTAAAGGAGATCCTAGCAACGCGAGTGATGGTGACGAAGGCAATGAAGAAGCTCCCACAAGGGAAGCAGAGCCGAGTGCTGGACCGTGTGTTGAACCATTTTCTCTGTTTACACTCTCCCTGCTTCACAGATGCGTCCAGGCATGTTACCACGGGTACTGAAGGAGATCCTGGCAACCCGAGTGATGGTGGAGAGGTTCATGAAACGAGGTGACTTTTGAGTCGACTCAAAAGAGATCCTGGCAACCCGAGTGATGGTGACTTTTGAGTCGACTCAAAAGAGATCCTGGCAACCCGAGTGATGGTGGAGAGGTTCATGAAACGAGGTGACTTTTGAGTCGACTCAAAAGAGATCCTGGCAACCCGAGTGATGGTGGAGAGGTTCATGAAACGAGGTGACTTTTGAGTCGACTCAAAAGAGATCCTGGCAACCCGAGTGATGGTGGAGAGGTTCATGAAACGAGGTGACTTTTGAGTCGACTCAAAAGAGATCCTGGCAACCCGAGTGATGGTGGAGAGGTTCATGAAACGAGGTGACTTTTGAGTCGACTCAAAAGAGATCCTGGCAACCCGAGTGATGGTGGAGAGGTTTATGAAACGACTGCTCCCACCCCGTCGCACCCTTTCCCCGTTTACCTCCCGTGAACACGCTCCCTGCTTCCCAGGTGCGACCGGGGGTGCTGCCACGGCTACTAAAGGAGATCCTAGCAACGCGGGTGATGGTGAAAAAGGCGATGAAGAAGCTGCCACCAGGGAAGCAGAGCCGGGTGCCGCACCGCGTGCTGAACGCACGGCAGTTTGCCCTCAAGCTCATCGCCAACGTCACCTATGGTCACCTATGAATACACGGCGGCGTCGTTCCTAAAGGCAATCCGCTCTCTCAATTTCCAACCCCTCCCACCCCTTCCTTGCTTGCACGCTCTCCCCTTCACCAACACCAGGTGCGCCCGGGTGTGCTGCCACGGCTGCTGAAAGAAATCTTGGCAACACGAGTGATGGTGAAGAAAGCAATGAAGAAGCTGCCACCGGGGAAGCAGAGCCGGGTGCTGCACCGCGTGCTGAACGCGCGGCAGTTCGCCCTCAAGCTCATCGCCAACGTTACTTATGGGTACACTGCGGCGTCTTTCTCCGGCCGCATGCCCATGGCTGAGCTGGCAGACAGCATTGTCCAGGTCAGGCTGATGTGGCAGGGATATGTTACACGTTTAGGTTGTGTCAGTCTGTCAGATGTTCCACGATCCACCCTGCACATCAAGTCCGAAGGTTTATACTAAGGTCTGTAGCAGGAATTGTTTTTGAGTCATGAGTGACGGCAGGACTCTAAAAGAGTCACCTACGCGTACACTGCGGCCTCGTTCTCCGGCCGCATGCCCATGGCTGAGCTGGCAGACAGCATCGTCCAGGTCAGGCTGAGCTGGCAGGGACATGCTTCGTTTTCTTTGTTGGGTGTCAGTCATGTTTACTCCAGATTTTGAGCACGATCCCAATGCTAACAAGTGGCTATACCAAATTGTTCATTTTTATGGGAGTTCTCAAAAGTCAACGAGTCTCGCACCCCTCTGGTCTGGAACCAGTCATGAGGAATGCGCAAACCACTCAAACAGCCTCTCCTTTCCCTCTGCGCATGCTCTCGCCATGCCTTCTCCTGTGCAGGCGGGGCGAACAACACTGGAGAGGGCAATAGCTCTGGTGAACAGCCATCCATCGTGGAACGCTCGGGTGGTCTATGGTGACACTGACAGGTGGGTGGGTGCTTCGGGCTCTTGGTTTCTTTTGTTGCTTTGCTTCTCATGCTCACTTGGTTCGTACTCCCATCCTCCAAAAGCCTGTTAGTTCTCCTGGAGGAATGTACCGACAGGAAGCAGTTACCATCCTATCCGGGTATCCCACTCCTTGTCTTCCCCATTCCCCTTCTTTTCCTCACTCCCCCCACCCGCCTCCCTCCCTCCCTGCAGCATGTTTGTTCTTTTGGAAGGCAGAACCAGAGATCAGGCCTTCACAATCGGGAATGAAATCGTTACGGCGGTAACCGCGCTCTCCCCGGCCCCGGTGGCTCTGAAGCTAGAGAAGGTGTACCACCCGTGTGTGCTGCAGACCAAGAAGCGTTACGTGGGCCTTGCGTACGAATCCCCTGCTGCCACGTGTCCCCCTGTGTTTGATGCCAAGGGGATCGAGACGGTCAGGCGGGACGGCTGCCCTGCTGTGAGCAAGCTCTTGGAAAAGTCCCTCAAGATTTTATTCTCCACCAACGATCTATCGCGAGTGAGTCTGAACACCAAGGATAGTGAGATGATGGTCACTGGTCAGGCAAGACGGGTGTCCTGCTGTGAGCAAGCTGCTGGAGAGATAATATTCTGTTTTCGACCAACGGTTTATCTAGAGTGAGTTTGGATGCCAAGGATATAGAGATGGTCGCTGGTCAGGCGGGACAGCTGTCCTGTTGTGAGCAAGATGCTGGAAAATCTCTCAAGGTATTATTCTCCACCAATGACCTACCTAGAGCGAGTTTGGACGTCAAGGGGATTGAGGGAGGAGGGAGAGAAGGAGGGAGAGGCATTTAGCTACGTGCAAGCTAATGGGAATGTCTTGCAAGGTTTCACTTTTATACAGCGAAAATCAACCTACAGGTGAACTCAGCCCCATTGCCCTCCTCTACTTTCTTCCCTCACCACTCCCTTTTCTCCCTCTATCCCAGGTGCGATCCTACCTAGTGAGGCAATGGCAGCGCATGCTGCAGGGCCGAGTGTCCCTGCAGGACTTCATCTTTGCTCAGGAGGTTCGCCTGGGCACCTACAGCACCAACCCCCGCGCGCTGCTCCCCCCTGCAGCCATCGTCGCTACCAAAGCCATGCAGAGAGATCCACGTGCCGAGCCGAAATACAAAGAGAGGGTTCCGTATGTGATTGTGTGCGGTGATCCTGGGTCTAGACTGGTTGATTTGGTGGTGGAGCCTCGGGTGGTGGTAGATTCGCAGTGTCTCCGGCTGAATGTGGGGTATTATATCACGAGGAAGGTGATTCCCGCGCTGCATCGGGTGTTTGCGCTGGTGGGGACACGTGTCGCGTCGTGGTTTGCTGAGCTGCCGCTGTCGCAGCGGGTCGGGCTGGGGAAGCAGCCCCTGCTGACGTGGCAGGAGGGGGAGGGGGTGGGGACTAGGGGGAGTGTTTTGCAGGGGCAGGGGCAGGGGCGGGAGAGGGGAGGTGTAAGGGGGAGGGGAAGGGGGAGAGGGAGGGGGAGGGGGAGAGGAAGGGGCAGGGGGCAAGGCAGGATAGATCAGTATTACGGCAGCGTGCACTGTGTGGTTTGTGGGCGGGTGGTGGTGAGAGAGGTGAGGCGAGAGGGGGTGATGATGGCAGGTAGGGTTGAGAGAGGACGGGGCAGAGGATGCAGAATAGAAGAAGCTGGAGTAAGAGGAAGGGGAGGAGGACTAGGAAGTTGTGGAAGAGGGGGAGGAATGAGAGTAAGCGGGGAAGAAGCAGTGGAAATGGGGGAAGTGGGGGAAGAGGGGGAGGGCAAGCAGCAAGGCATGAGGGTGGGGGAAGGTTCGGAAGCAGCAGGACTGGCTGCGCCTGGAGAGGAGGCAAGGAGTAGAGCACAGGATGCAGATGGGTGCTCTGCGGTTCCAATCTGCAGCTTGTGTAGAGGGCTCGGGGCTGATCCGAGTAATGTGTATGCTGATGCTGGTGCTGGTCCTGGTTCGGGTGGTGCTGCTGGTGGTGGCGGTGGGGGCATGTGTGCTTCTACTGTGGGTCAAGAAAGTCAAGCAGGTCAAGCAGGGGAGCTAGGTCAAGTGCCAGCGCTGGTGCTGACGATGAGAGCCGCCCTTCTGGAGAAAGAATTCCGCCACTTATCAGCGGTAAGTGTGCTTGTTTGTCTGTCTGCTTGCTTGTATGATTCTTTTTTCCCCTACTTTTTTTCTTCCCTTTTGAACCTTCAAGATTGAATCGTGAATTTCTATGTGTTGCAATATCTTGGGCAGATCTGCTTTGACTGCGGTGCATTTCCCGAAACAAGCCTAGGCGGAGGCAATTCGTCCAACTGTACAACTTCTTTGGCTCAGGGGTTAGATAGTTTAGATGTTGCATGTGTGTCTCTTGATTGCCCCGTGTTCTTTGAAAGGAGAAAGGTTCAGAGGGAGCTTAGAGCAGCAGTAGATTTGCCAGCACGCCTTGGTTTGTATCCAGAGTTGTTTTAAATCTACATCTGTACACGGGATTCAGATTACTGTACCTTATCACATATTTGTGACTTACAAATACCTACTCTTGAAGTGAAATGATTGTGGTCGCAGTCTGTGTAGCGAGGATGAAAACTGACAGGCAAGTGGTTTGGTTGCCGCGACCCATCAAAATCAGTTTCTAGAGAACACCGTTTTGGTCGCACCTGACAGATCCTCGGTCCGCGACTCGACCTGTGACCTGAGAACTTCGAAAGCTCTAAGCTTTAAGATCGTTTGTGGAGCTATATAGCCTGTTATCAAAACCATCTAAGCATCGCGTTATCGGGTACAGCAATCATGCAGGCTTTCCGCGTTGATTGGAGACTCGCAAGGACGCAATGACAGAAACATCGCGATCGTACGGCCAGATGATGGCCACGTTAGCGAAAGGAAATCCGAGCCGTTTATTCGCTCCGTCGGTCACTCTAGGAAGATGCGGATTATCGAAGCACGCACTAACGAGTCGTCTGCGTCGCCAGCTCGCCGTGTTCTGGTCGCTGGTCCTCGCGGCCGTTACAACGGCTGGTTACCACACCATTCTCGCGACGGCCGCTAGTCCTGGGCGTGAGTGCTTCCTTCATCGTCGCCGTCATCGCCACCGTCGTCGTCTGAGTCGCTATTGAGACTCTGTCGTCGTCGAAGTTATCAAATGTGTAACTTCGCTACAAGTTAGGTCGTTGTTCGCTCATGACGTTCGGCTTATTCCTTTTCCCACACCCCAGTGTGAGAGCTAATCACTGAAACGCGTGCTAACAATGCAGTCCCCGCTCCCCCGTTTCCCCCTGTTCCCGCTCTATTGCTTCTTCCATACTTCCAGTGTGGGAGCTAGTTTCACTGAAGCGAGTGCTAGCAGAGTCATCCCCAGGAGCCCTCTCCGCTTACAGTGACTCCTCTCCCCCCTCTCCCCGCCTCCCGCCGCTCTCGCCTTTCCCCCCGACCCCCAGTGTGGGAGCTGGTGTCACTGAAGCGCGTGCTAGCAGAGTCATCCCCAGGAGCCCTCTCTGCTTACAGTGACACCGGGGATCCGTGCAGTGGAGCATGGGGGGACAGGGTAACATGCGACGAGGCGGGTCAGATCGTGACACTGTGAGTATGAGATATCTTGAGTGCTATCTACGCTTACTGCGACTCGAATGACCCGTGCAGTGGGGTGTGAGGCGACAGGCTCAAGTGCTACGAGGCGGGCCAGATCAGCGCACTGTGAGTATGACCCCATCTGCTTATAGTGACTTGAGAATTCTATGCAGTGGAGCGCGCAGGGTGCAGCGGACCGTGAGGCGACAGGGTTCGTGCTACGAGTCGGGTCAGATCATCACACTGTCAGTATGTGCTATCTCTCACTCCTCCCATGTCTACTGCTTTGGCGCTATCTTTGCTTATAGCGACTTGAGAATTCTATACAGTGGAGCGTGCTGCAACAGGGTCACGTCACGTGCAACCAGGCAGGTCACATCACATCATCTCACCCATCTCCCTGCACTAGTCCCAATTCCCCCCGCCTCCCCCTCCCCTCCCCACCAAACCACAGGATCTTCACAGCGGAGTGGCTTACAGGGGCCCTTCCAGGCAAGGAGCTGTCATGTCGACTCTAAACTTGTACTCACCCCAATCACCCTCCACCCCCTCGCCTCACCAACGCCCCTCTCTCCCTCTCCCACCAACCACAGGAACTTCACTGCGGAGGGGCTTACAGGGGCCCTTCCAGGCAAGGAGCTGTCGAGATTCCGCACCCTACAAAGCCTGTGAGTGGTTCAGTGTGGTGTAGAGCGGTTCAGAGCAGTAGAGTGGGGAAGAGTGGGTTCGTATTGGGCCTCTGCCAGGCAAGGAGCTGCCAAGAACTGTAGAGAGTGGTGAAAAGCCTGTGAATAGTTCAGGGTGGTGAGTGCTTCAGAACTGTAGAGAGTGGTGAAAAGCCTGTGAGTAGTTCAGGGTGGTGAGTGCTTCAGAACTGTAGAGAGTGGTGAAAAGCCTGTGAGTAGTTCAGGGTGGTGAGTGCTTCAGAACTGTAGAGAGTGGTGAAAAGCCTGTGAGTAGTTCAGGGTGGTGAGTGCTTCAGAACTGTAGAGAGTGGTGAAAAGCCTGTGAGTAGTTCAGGGTGGTGAGTGCTTCAGAACTGTAGAGAGTGGTGAAAAGCCTGTGAGTAGTTCAGGGTGGTGAGTGCTTCAGAACTGTAGAGAGTGGTGAAAAGCCTGTGAGTAGTTCAGGGTGGTGAGTGCTTCAGAACTGTAGAGAGTGGTGAAAAGCCTGTGAGTAGTTCAGGGTGGTGAGTGCTTCAGAACTGTAGAGAGTGGTGAAAAGCCTGTGAGTAGTTCAGGGTGGTGAGTGCTTCAGAACTGTAGAGACTGGTGAAAAGCCTGTGAGTAGTTCAGGGTGGTGAGTGCTTCAGAACTGTAGAGAGTGGTGAAAAGCCTGTGAATAGTTCAGGGTGGTGAGTGCTTCAGAACTGTAGAGACTGGTGAAAAGCCTGTGAGTAGTTCAGGGTGGTGAGTGCTTCAGAACTGTAGAGAGTGGTGAAAAGTGGTCTGGCTTTGAGGGGCTAGGGAAGTCTGGATGTGAGTGGTTCAAAGCGGTGCAGTGCAATGAGGGATTGGTTGGCATGCTCGAAAATGAGCATGTCTTTGTGCCTGCATGTGTGCATCACATGTTATGCTTATAATAACTCCTTCTCACTCCTACGCATCTTTTCCCTCTGCAGTGATTTCCGGCAGAACAGTTTCGCGGGTAAAATACCCCCGGAATTGGCATCACTAACCTCCCTAACTTATCTGTACGTGGAATTTTTACACCCAAATGTCACGCACGCCTGCAGCCCAGCCATTGTCCCACTGATCGCTTCTCCCCAGTGCTCTCCAAAGTCTCTAAATCGCCTGTTCAGACTGTATTGCTGACACTAACAAGCCCCCCCCAACACTAACCCCAGTCCCCCCTTCGCTCCCGGATTCTCTTTGCAGGTCTCTGGCGTTTAACAACCTCACAGGCAAAGTCCCCTCATGGCTGCTTGGCTTTTCATCGAAGTTTGCTCCCCACCCCCTCTTCCCTCCACCTCCCCTCACGTCCTTGCAGGTCTCTGGCGTTTAACAACCTCACAGGCAAAGTCCCCTCATGGCTCGGTCTCTCCTTCCTCAACCTCGTCGAGTTGTAAGGAGTGCTGTGCGGTGCAAAGCGGTGCATTTTCTTCTTTGAGGCTTTGTAGAAGTCGTCTCGAATCTTCTTTCTCAGCAGTAATGAGAGTCGCTCCCCATTACTGCTGCTGCTGCGTCTGGTCTCTGTTGCAGGCACCTGAGCGACAACCTGCTGGAGAAGCCTCTACCTGAGAGCATAGGCGGCCTTCAGGCATTACGAACAATGTGAGAGAGAGGGGCGTGACACATCCTTCAGATCATGTGTGGGTACATGAAGTGATAGATAGACTGACTGATAGTCATGCCATTGACAGCATCTGATTTTAGGTTTTTTTTTTCTTCTTTAACTCTCAAAAGTGTCTCAGAAGCAACTCAGACGGACCACTTTAAGAAGCATTAATTTGTGTGGCATCGACAGCATCTTATCCATGATTCATGTGTGGCGCTCATTTCATGTGCCACCATGCATGCATGCATGTGCCGCCATGCGTTCATCATGTGCCCGTGCCATGCATGTATTCACGTATGTGCTACCATGCATGCATGCATGTGCCGCCATGCGTTCATCATGTGCCCGTGCCATGCATGTATTCACGTATGTGCTACCATGCATGCATGCATGTGCCGCCATGCGTTCATCATGTGCCCGTGCCATGCATGTATTCACGTATGTGCTACCATGCATGCATGCATGTGCCGCCATGCGTTCATCATGTGCCCGTGCCATGCATGTATTCACGTATGTGCTACCATGCATGCATGCATGTGCCGCCATGCGTTCATCATGTGCCCGTGCCATGCATGTATTCACGTATGTGCTACCATGCATGCATGCATGTGCCGCCATGCGTTCATCATGTGCCCGTGCCATGCATGTATTCACGTATGTGCTACCATGCATGCATGCATGTGCCGCCATGCGTTCATCATGTGCCCGTGCCATGCATGTATTCACGTATGTGCTACCATGCATGCATGCATGTGCCGCCATGCGTTCATCATGTGCCCGTGCCACGCATGTATTCACGTATGTGCTACCATGCATGCATGCATGTGCCGCCATGCGTTCATCATGTGCCCGTGCCATGCATGTATTCACGTATGTGCTACCATGCATGCATGCATGTGCCGCCATGCGTTCATCATGTGCCCGTGCCATGCATGTATTCACGTATGTGCTACCATGCATGCATGCATGTGCCGCCATGCGTTCATCATGTGCCCGTGCCATGCATGTATTCACGTATGTGCTACCATGCATGCATGCATGTGCCGCCATGCGTTCATCATGTGCCCGTGCCATGCATGTATTCACGTATGTGCTACCATGCATGCATGCATGTGCCGCCATGCGTTCATCATGTGCCCGTGCCATGCATGTATTCACGTATGTGCTACCATGCATGCATGCATGTGCCGCCATGCGTTCATCATGTGCCCGTGCCATGCATGTATTCACGTATGTGCTACCATGCATGCATGCATGTGCCGCCATGCGTTCATCATGTGCCCGTGCCATGCATGTATTCACGTATGTGCTACCATGCATGCATGCATGTGCCGCCATGCGTTCATCATGTGCCCGTGCCATGCATGTATTCACGTATGTGCTACCATGCATGCATGCATGTGCCGCCATGCGTTCATCATGTGCCCGTGCCATGCATGTATTCACGTATGTGCTACCATGCATGCATGCATGTGCCGCCATGCGTTCATCATGTGCCCGTGCCATGCATGTATTCACGTATGTGCTACCATGCATGCATGCATGTGCCGCCATGCGTTCATCATGTGCCCGTGCCATGCATGTATTCACGTATGTGCTACCATGCATGCATGCATGTGCCGCCATGCGTTCATCATGTGCCCGTGCCATGCATGTATTCACGTATGTGCTACCATGCATGCATGCATGTGCCGCCATGCGTTCATCATGTGCCCGTGCCATGCATTCACTCATGTATGTGCTACCATGCATGCATGCATGTGCCGCCATGCGTTCATCATGTGCCCGTGCCATGCATTCACTCATGTATGTGCTGCCATGCATGCATGCATGTGCCGCCATGCGTTCATCATGTGCCCGTGCCATGCATGTATTCACGTATGTGCTACCATGCATGCATGCATGTGCCGCCATGCGTTCATCATGTGCCCGTGCCATGCATGTATTCACGTATGTGCTACCATGCATGCATGCATGTGCCGCCATGCGTTCATCATGTGCCCGTGCCATGCATGTATTCACGTATGTGCTACCATGCATGCATGCATGTGCCGCCATGCGTTCATCATGTGCCCGTGCCATGCATGTATTCACGTATGTGCTACCATGCATGCATGCATGTGCCGCCATGCGTTCATCATGTGCCCGTGCCATGCATGTATTCACGTATGTGCTACCATGCATGCATGCATGTGCCGCCATGCGTTCATCATGTGCCCGTGCCATGCATGTATTCACGTATGTGCTACCATGCATGCATGCATGTGCCGCCATGCGTTCATCATGTGCCCGTGCCATGCATGTATTCACGTATGTGCTACCATGCATGCATGCATGTGCCGCCATGCGTTCATCATGTGCCCGTGCCATGCATGTATTCACGTATGTGCTACCATGCATGCATGCATGTGCCGCCATGCGTTCATCATGTGCCCGTGCCATGCATGTATTCACGTATGTGCTACCATGCATGCATGCATGTGCCGCCATGCGTTCATCATGTGCCCGTGCCATGCATGTATTCACGTATGTGCTACCATGCATGCATGCATGTGCCGCCATGCGTTCATCATGTGCCCGTGCCATGCATGTATTCACGTATGTGCTACCATGCATGCATGCATGTGCCGCCATGCGTTCATCATGTGCCCGTGCCATGCATGTATTCACGTATGTGCTACCATGCATGCATGCATGTGCCGCCATGCGTTCATCATGTGCCCGTGCCATGCATGTATTCACGTATGTGCTACCATGCATGCATGCATGTGCCGCCATGCGTTCATCATGTGCCCGTGCCATGCATGTATTCACGTATGTGCTACCATGCATGCATGCATGTGCCGCCATGCGTTCATCATGTGCCCGTGCCATGCATGTATTCACGTATGTGCTACCATGCATGCATGCATGTGCCGCCATGCGTTCATCATGTGCCCGTGCCATGCATGTATTCACGTATGTGCTACCATGCATGCATGCATGTGCCGCCATGCGTTCATCATGTGCCCGTGCCATGCATTCACTCATGTATGTACTACAGGGACTTGAGTCGGAACAGACTGATAGGTAGCATTCCCCAGAGCATTCACGGATGCAACGCTGCCACGCGTCTGTGAGTGAACCTCATTCATGGGTGTGGTGTGGGGATGGGTGCAATGAGGTGAGTGAAAACTTGTGCATGAATGACGACGATCGAGCATCAGTGAGTGAAGCGTTTAGGTGCATGGGTGCATGCATGGGTGCATGGGTGCATGGGTGCATGGGTGCATGCATGGGTGCTGATGAGGCTTCAGGAATCATCTGCATGAAGCATCTATGCTCTCAGGAAGAGGTTTATCAATATGAGTATTATTATTCTACTAACATGATTCTCAATAATGCATCCAGATGTCAATCCATACCATTGCCCTCTCAGAAGATTCACTTCTCATGCTCCCCTTTCCTGTGTGCTACACAATCACAGGAGTCTTGCCTTCAACTCTCTCACGGGCAGCATCCCGGCATCCATTGGATCAATGAGCCGCCTGCAAGCACTGTGAGTGAGCAGCAGGCACTCCCTTACGCCCCTCCCCTATGAGGATATGCGCCTATGAGTGCCTACGAGTCTCTGTGAGTCTTGCCTTCTACTCTCTCACGGGCAGCATCCCGGCATCCATTGGGTCAATGAAGAGCCTGCAAGCACTGTGAGTGAGCAAGCACTGCCTTTTCCAACACCGTTTCTGATGCTGCTGCTCCAACACACTCGTACTTCCCATCCCATGAAGATAGGTTGGTCCCCTATCTATCATCAGTGACCTCCAGTCGAACCAACTGAGTTGACTTTTGAGTCGACTCAAAAGTCATCTCATGAAGATAGGTTGGGCCGGTATCTATCTTCAGTGACCTCCACTTGAACCAACTGTCTGACACCATACTGCAAGACATCGGGCAAGCCACCACCCAAACCCAAGTGTTTATCACGCTGCTGCTGCTCCAACTCTCTTGAGGCGCCTCAAAAACCTTTTGACTTTTGAGACGTCTTAAAGATGTCTCAAAAGTCTCCAACTCTTTTGAGGCGCCTCAAAAACCCAAGTGTCTATCGTGCTGCTGCTCCGATGTATTCCCCCACTTTCCACTCCCCTCCCCTCAAGCTCATTCCGCAGGAGATGTCCCCTTGCTTCCCGTGATGTTGCGCCCTTCCCCTACATCCAGTGAACTTCAGAGCAACCAACTCTCAGGATCCATACCTCAAGAAATTGGGCAAGCCACCACACTCACTCTCTTGTAATGCCCCTTCACCTCACCCGCTCTCGCTTGTGTCACATTACTCATTACTCGCTTCTGCATGCTGACTCCGCCTTATCTGTCTGCCTGTTGTGTTTTGAGTCGACTCAAAACACGACTCACCTCACCTGCTCTCGCTTGTGTCACATTACTCTTAATGCTTCTGCATGCTGACTCCTCCTTATCTGACTGCCTGTCTGCCTGATTGCTTGATTACTTGATTGCTTGTTTGCTTGTTTGCTTGTTTGCTTCGATGCTTACTGCCCAATATCTGCCTGGTTCCAGATCTCTCGACAGCAATCTCCTTTCTGGGCCAATCACACCGTCTCTCGGCAAGCTGCCTCTTCTTCGTAACTTGTGAGTCTCTCAGCGCACCGCATTCCACCACACAACATCTGCTTGTACCACTTTGAACTTCTGCATTTTGATTAGATGCATTCCACGTGCTGCGTGTGTACCACAGCCGCCTTAATTCAGGGGTGAACCTTAATCCGGGGGTCAACCTTAATCCGGGGGTGAACCTTAATCCGGGGGTGAACCTTCATCCAGGGGTGAACCTTAATCCGGGGGTGAACCTTAATCCGGGGGTGAACCTTAATCCAATGGTGAACCTTCATCCGGGGGTGAACCTTAATCCGGGGGTGAACCTTCATCCAAGGGTGAACCTTCACCCGGGGGTGAACCTTCATCCGGGCGTGAACCTTAATCCGGGGGTGAACCTTCATCCGGGGGTGAACCTTCATCCGGGGATGAACCTTAATCCGGGGGTGAACCTTTATCCGGGGGTGAACCTTAATCCGGGGGTGAACCTTCATCAAGGGGTGAACCATCATCCGGGGGTGAACCTTCATCCGGGGGTGAACCTTCATCCGGGGGTGAACCTTCATCCGGGGGTGAACCTTAATCCGGGGGTGAAACTTAATCCGGGGGTGAACCTTAATCCGGGGGTGAACCTTAATCCGGGGGTGAACCTTCATCCGGGGATGAACCTTAATCCGGGGGTGAACCTTGATCCGGGGTTGAACCTTTATCCGGGGGTGAACCTTAATCCGGGGGTGAACCTTAATCCGGGGGTGAACCTTAATCCAGGGGTGAACGGTGAACCTTAATCCGGGGGTGAACCTCAATCCGGGGGTGAACTTTAATCCGGGGGTGAACCTTAATCCGGGGGTGAACCTTAATCCGGGGGTGAACCTCAATCCGGGGGTGAATTTTAATTCGGGGGTGAACCTTAATCCGGGGGTGAACCTTAATCCGGGGGTGAACCTTCATCCGGGGGTGAACCTTCATCCGGGGGTGAACCTTCATCCGGGGGTGAACCTTCATCCGGGGGTGAACCTTCATCCGGGGGTGAACCTTCATCCGGGGGTGAACCTTAATCCGGGGGTGAACCTTAATCCGGGGGTGAACCTTAATCCGGGGGTGAACCTTAATCCGGGGGTGAACCTTAATCCGGGGGTGAACCTTAATCCGGGGGTGAACCTTAATCTGGGGGTGAACCTTCATCCGGGGGTGAACCTTCCTCCGGGGGTGAACCTTAATCCGGGGGTGAACCTTCATCCGGGGGTGAACCTTCATCCGGGGGTGAACCTTCATCCGGGGGTGAACCTTCATCTGGGGGTGAACCTTCATCCGGGGGTGAACCTTCATCCGGGGGTAAACCTTCATCCGGGGGTGAACCTTAATCCGGGGGTGAACCTGGGGTGAACCTTAATCCGGGGGTGAACCTTAATCCGGGGGTGAACCTTCATCCGGGGGTGAACCTTCATCCAAGGGTGAACCTTAATCCGGGGGTGAACCTTCATCCGAGGGTGAACCTTCATCCGGGGGTGAACCTTCATCCGGGGGTGAACCTTCATCCGGGGGTGAACCTTCATCCGGGGGTAAACCTTCATCTGGGGGTGAACCTTCATCCGGGGGTGAACCTTAATCCGGGGGTGAACCTTAATCCGGGGGTAAACCTTAATCCGGGGGTGAACCTTAATCCGGGGGTGAACCTTCATCCGGGGGTGAACCTTCATCCGGGGGTGAACCTTAATCCGGGGGTAAACCTTAATCCGGGGGTGAACCTTCATCCGGGGGTGAATCTTAATCCGGGGGTGAACCTTCATCCGGGGGTGAACCTTCATCCGGGGGTGAACGTTCATCCGGGGGTGAACCTTCATCCGGGGGTGAACCTTCATCCGGGGGTGAACCTTCATCCGGGGGTGAACCTTCATCCGGGGGTGAACCTTCATCCGGGGGTGAACCTTCATCCGGGGATGAACCTTAATCCGGGGGTGAACCTTAATCCGGGGTTGAACCTTAATCCGGGGGTGAACCTAAATCCGGGGGTGAACCTTCATCCGGGGGTGAACCTTAATCCAGGGGTGAACCTTAATCCGGGGGTGAACCTTCATCCGGGGGTGAACCTTCATCCGGGGGTGAACCTTCATCCGGGCGTGAACCTTCATCCGGGGGTGAACCTTAATCCGGGGGTGAACCTTAATCCGGGGGTGAACCTTAATCCAGGGGTGAACGGTGAACCTTAATCCGGGGGTGAACCTCAATCCGGGGGTGAACTTTAATCCGGGGGTGAACCTTAATCCGGGGGTGAACCTTAATCCAATGGTGAACCTTCATCCGGGGGTGAACCTTAATCCGGGGGTGAACCTTCATCCAAGGGTGAACCTTCATCCGGGGGTGAACCTTCATCCGGGGGTGAACCTTAATCCGGGGGTGAACCTTCATCCGGGGGTGAACCTTAATCCGGGGGTGAACCTTTATCCGGTGGTGAACCTTTATCCGGGGGTGAACCTTCATCCGGGGGTGAACCTTAATCCGGGGGTGAACCTTAATCCAGGGGTGAACCTTAATCCGGGGGTGAACCTTAATCCGGGGGTGAACCTTAATCCGGGGTTGAACCTTTATCCGGGGGTGAACCTTAATCCGGGGGTGAACCTTCATCCGGGGGTGAGCCTTCATCTGGGGTTGAACCTTCATCCGGGGGTGAACCTTCATCCGGGGGTGAACCTTCATCCGGGGGTGAACCTTCATCCGGGGGTGAACCTTCATCCGGGGGTGAACCTTCATCCGGGGGTGAACCTTCATCCGGGGGTGAACCTTCATCCGGGCGTGAACCTTCATCCGGGGGTGAACCTTAATCCGGGGGTGAACCTTAATCCGGGGGTGAACCTTAATCCGGGGGTGAACCTTAATCCGGGGGTGAACCTTCATCCGGGGGTGAACCTTCATCCGGGGGTGAACCTTCATCCGGGGGTGAACCTTCATCCAAGGGTGAACCTTAATCCGGGGGTGAACCTTCATCCGAGGGTGAACCTTCATCCGGGGGTGAACCTTCATCCGGGGGTGAACCTTAATCCGGGGGTGAACCTTAATCCGGGGGTGAACCTTAATCCCGGGGTGAACCTTCATCCGGGGGTGAACCTTAATCCGGGGGTGAACCTTCATCCAGGGGTGAACCTTCATCCGGGGGTGAACCTTAATCCAGGGGTGAACCTTAATCCGGGGGTGAACCTTCATCCGGGGGTGAACCTTCATCCGGGGGTGAACCTTCATCCGGGGGTGAACCTTAATCCAGGGGTGAACCTTAATCCGGGGGTGAACCTTCATCCGGGGGTGAACCTTAATCCGGGGGTGAACTTTAATCCGGGGGTGAACCTTAATCCGGGGGTGAACCTTAATCCGGGGGTGAACCTTCATCCGGGGGTGAACCTTCATCCGGGGGTGAACCTTCATCCGGGGGTGAATCTTAATCCGGGGGTGAACCTTCATCCGGGGGTGAACCTTCATCCGGGGGTGAACCTTCATCCGGGGGTGAACCTTCATCCGGGGGTGAACCTTCATCCGGGGGTGAACCTTAATCCGGGGGTGAACCTTCATCCGGGGGTGAACCTTCATCCGGGGGTGAACCTTAATCCGGGGGTGAACCTTAATCCGGGGGTGAACCTTCATCCGGGGGTGAACCTTCATCCGGGGGTGAACCTTAATCCGGGGGTGAACCTTCATCCGGGGGTGAACCTTAATCCGGGGGTGAACCTTAATCCGGGGGCGACCCTTAATCCGGGGGTGAACCTTCATCCGGGGGTGAACCTTCATCCGGGGGTGAACCTTAATCCGGGGGTGAACCTTCATCCGGGGGTGAACTTTAATCCGGGGGCGACCCTTAATCCCTTGGCGCGCCTTATTCCGGGGGCGCGCCTTATTCCAGGGGGGCGCGCCGTGTCGAACTGAGTTACAGCATCCTGCTTTGTTTGTTGTCCATATGCATGCACCCATGATGCGTGCATGTAGAAACCCGTGCTTAGTATGCTGTGTTCCGCTTACTCGTTTTATGCTTCTTTCCCGATATTATATATATTTTGAAATGTTTCTTTACCCGCACACTTCTCCCGGCAGGACTCTCTCCAACAACCGCCTAGACGGCCCCATTTCTGAGTCCCTTCAGTATCTGCCCCTCATCGCTCACCTGTACGCACTCCTTTCTTTAGTCGGTGACTTTTGACTCAATATTACGAGTCGACCCAAAACTCTCTCCAACAACCGCCCAGACGGCCCCATTCCTGAGTCCCTTCAGTATCTGCCCCTCCTTGCTCACCTGTACTGCACTCCCATCCCATCTTTACTGTCTTCTGCACGAACTCAGTTCTGAGACTTCTCAGTCAAAAGTCCAACCTTCCAGTAATGCGAGTCATAGCACGGGAATGAACGAGTCTTTTTTCTCTTTTTCCTTATAAAAAGCTGAAAGAATGCTAGAGCGTACTTCTGCTTCATCTCACGCCATCCCTGTCATCACCATCCTTTCCCCACTTGTTCTACCCAACCAGTGATGCGAGCCATAATACCGGGATCAACGGCTCTATTCCGGGATCCCTTGCTGTCTTGACCACACTCCAGACACTGTGCGTTCCCTCTCTCTCTGCTTGCTTCTCACCCAACCGACCGCACATGTGTCTTGCATGCTCCCTCTCTGCCTGCGTGTGATGTGAACTGTCCTCTCTGTTGCGTATGCCCCTCACTTCAGTTTTCCCCGCTGGTTCCCTCCTCGTCTCCCCTCTTCTTTCCCCCATCAGGTCCCTTCAGTGCTGCCTCCTTTCCGGCTCTTGCCTTATGAGGCGACTCACATATGGATTTTCTCTTCTCCCTTCCATCTTCCAACCCCACTCAACATCCTCCCCTCATCATCAGGTCCCTCCACTCTCCGCCTCCCTTCCTCTCTCACCCTCCTCCTTCTGCAGTGAGACGATTTATAAGCACCTAAATAATCGTACATCTGTCCCTCATCTTCCCCCCTTCTCCCACCCATCAGGTCCCTACAGTACTGCTCCCTCTCCGGATCCCTCCCGCCCTCCCTCACCCTCCTCCCCCTCCTCTCCACCCTCCACCTCTCCCACAACCTCCTCTCAGGCCCTCTCCCTCCCCTCCTCTCCTCCCTCTCCGCCCTCACCACCCTCCACCTCTCACACAACCTCTTCTCGGGTGTAATTCCCGACCCAATCTGTGACATGCCACGGGTTGCTGACCTGGATCTGTCGGCCAATCAGCTGCAAGGGACCATCCCTCCCTGTCTCGTGGAAATGCCCACACTCCGGATTCTGTAAGTGCTGCGGCGCAGCGCAGTGCACCGAGCCTCGTGCGCAAGTCTGGTGCTCCGAGCCTGGTGCGCCGGACCTGGTGCGCCGAGCCTGGTGTACCGAGCCTGGTGCGCCGAGCCTCGTGCGCCGAACCTGGTGCCATGCTCCAGATTCTGTAAGTCGAGCCCAACAATTGTTGAGTTGAGAGTCCTCACTGAGTCCCCAACAATTGTTGAGTTGAGAGTCCTCACTGAGTCCCCAACAATTGTTGAGTTGAGAGTCCTCACTGAGTCCCCAACAATTGTTGAGTTGAGAGTCCTCACTGAGTCCCCAACAATTGTTGAGTTGAGAGTCCTCACTGAGTCCCCAACAATTGTTGAGTTGAGAGTCCTCACTGAGTCCCCAACAATTGTTGAGTTGAGAGTCCTCACTGAGTCCCCAACAATTGTTGAGTTGAGAGTCCTCACTGAGTCCCCAACAATTGTTGAGTTGAGAGTCCTCACTGAGTCCCCAACAATTGTTGAGTTGAGAGTCCTCACTGAGTCCCCAACAATTGTTGAGTTGAGAGTCCTCACTGAGTCCCCAACAATTGTTGAGTTGAGAGTCCTCACTGAGTCCCCAACAATTGTTGAGTTGAGAGTCCTCACTGAGTCCCCAACAATTGTTGAGTTGAGAGTCCTCACTGAGTCCCCAACAATTGTTGAGTTGAGAGTCCTCACTGAGTCCCCAACAATTGTTGAGTTGAGAGTCCTCACTGAGTCCCCAACAATTGTTGAGTTGAGAGTCCTCACTGAGTCCCCAACAATTGTTGAGTTGAGAGTCCTCACTGAGTCCCCAACAATTGTTGAGTTGAGAGTCCTCACTGAGTCCCCAACAATTGTTGAGTTGAGAGTCCTCACTGAGTCCCCAACAATTGTTGAGTTGAGAGTCCTCACTGAGTCCCCAACAATTGTTGAGTTGAGAGTCCTCACTGAGTCCCCAACAATTGTTGAGTTGAGAGTCCTCACTGAGTCCCCAACAATTGTTGAGTTGAGAGTCCTCACTGAGTCCCCAACAATTGTTGAGTTGAGAGTCCTCACTGAGTCCCCAACAATTGTTGAGTTGAGAGTCCTCACTGAGTCCCCAACAATTGTTGAGTTGAGAGTCCTCACTGAGTCCCCAACAATTGTTGAGTTGAGAGTCCTCACTGAGTCCCCAACAATTGTTGAGTTGAGAGTCCTCACTGAGTCCCCAACAATTGTTGAGTTGAGAGTCCTCACTGAGTCCCCAACAATTGTTGAGTTGAGAGTCCTCACTGAGTCCCCAACAATTGTTGAGTTGAGAGTCCTCACTGAGTCCCCAACAATTGTTGAGTTGAGAGTCCTCACTGAGTCCCCAACAATTGTTGAGTTGAGAGTCCTCACTGAGTCCCCAACAATTGTTGAGTTGAGAGTCCTCACTGAGTCCCCAACAATTGTTGAGTTGAGAGTCCTCACTGAGTCCCCAACAATTGTTGAGTTGAGAGTCCTCACTGAGTCCCCAACAATTGTTGAGTTGAGAGTCCTCACTGAGTCCCCAACAATTGTTGAGTTGAGAGTCCTCACTGAGTCCCCAACAATTGTTGAGTTGAGAGTCCTCACTGAGTCCCCAACAATTGTTGAGTTGAGAGTCCTCACTGAGTCCCCAACAATTGTTGAGTTGAGAGTCCTCACTGAGTCCCCAACAATTGTTGAGTTGAGAGTCCTCACTGAGTCCCCAACAATTGTTGAGTTGAGAGTCCTCACTGAGTCCCCAACAATTGTTGAGTTGAGAGTCCTCACTGAGTCCCCAACAATTGTTGAGTTGAGAGTCCTCACTGAGTCCCCAACAATTGTTGAGTTGAGAGTCCTCACTGAGTCCCCAACAATTGTTGAGTTGAGAGTCCTCACTGAGTCCCCAACAATTGTTGAGTTGAGAGTCCTCACTGAGTCCCCAACAATTGTTGAGTTGAGAGTCCTCACTGAGTCCCCAACAATTGTTGAGTTGAGAGTCCTCACTGAGTCCCCAACAATTGTTGAGTTGAGAGTCCTCACTGAGTCCCCAACAATTGTTGAGTTGAGAGTCCTCACTGAGTCCCCAACAATTGTTGAGTTGAGAGTCCTCACTGAGTCCCCAACAATTGTTGAGTTGAGAGTCCTCACTGAGTCCCCAACAATTGTTGAGTTGAGAGTCCTCACTGAGTCCCCAACAATTGTTGAGTTGAGAGTCCTCACTGAGTCCTGTCCCGTGTGCCATCTCAGGAAAGAGAGGCTTGTGATCTCCGTCCTTACTTGCATCCCATCCCATCATATCACTCCTCTTGGCCATCCCACCCCTTACTCCACCACCCCTCCTCTCCTCTCCTCTCCTCTCCTCTCCTCTCCTCTCCTCTCCTCTCCTCTCCTCTCCTCTCCTCTCCTCTCCTCTCCTCTCCTCTCCTCTCCTCTCCCTCCCCAACAGGTCAGTCGCATTCAACAACCTGTCAGGGCCTGTTCCGGAATTACCCGACGGCAGCGAGCTACAGTTCATGTACACCCCTTGCTTGATAAGCTTCAGCTCATGCACACCCCTTGCTTGCTTTATTTCATCGGGTACAGTTCATACACACCTCCTACTCTATGGGCTACAGCGTGCAGCTCGTGTACACCCTTAATTTATGGGCTACACTTCATGCACACCTCTTTACCACATTCGCATATGATTTATATCTCGCAACCATGGCAATCTGGCTATTGTGTTCCCCTCCACCCCACCCCACCCCACCCAACCCCCAGCGACGTCCAGTCCACAACTGTCTCGGCTAGCAGGTGCCAGGTGTGGGCCTCACCCCATCATGCTCACAGCTGCTCACCCCTCCAACAAAACAACCATCTCACTCACTTCTCCCTCCCCCCCCCCTCTCTTCGCCTCCCCACTTCCTCCCACTCACCAGCTACAACCACAACTGTCTTCCCACTCCCCTTCTCACTCCCATTATGCGCTTCACCAGCTGTGCGCTGCTGGCCTTCATGCTGCAACCCACCCAGTCACCATAAGCAACCCTCTCCTCCCCTTTCTCCCCCCACCTCCCACCCCCCAGCTACGACCACAACTGTCTGGACAACACGCCTGAGCAGGCATGCGCTGCAGCTCGTGATGCTATCAACTGCCCATTCCACCAACTAAGCCAGCAGCCCACTCTCTCCTCTCTTCCCCCATTCCCCCTCCAACCTCCCAGCTACGACCACAACTGTCTGGACGACGCGCCTGAGCAGGCATGCGCTGCAGGCCTGCATGCCACCCCTTATGTGCCTCCCACGTCTGCTCCCAGCAGCAACAGTAGCACCAGCGACGGCAGCAGCAGCACGTGTACGTATGCCATGCATGTAAAATCATCAGTACATGTATGTACCATCATGCTGCAGGCCTCCATGGCACCCCTTTTGTGCCTTCATGTTGCCATCCCTTTTGTGCCAGTTGCCTGTGTTGGGCTCTTCTCCATCTCTTTGATTCTCCACTCCCCTTTCCTCCCTTCCACCCACCAGCGTCCATACCACCTCAGGCTCATCGTCACAGTAGCCTGTGTTGCCCTCTTCTTCGATCCTCTTCTCCCGCTTTCCAATCCTCCTCTCCTTTTCCTTCTCCCCTCCACCCATCAGCGTCCATCCCACCTCTGGCATACGTGCTCCTAGCGCCGCTCATCGTCACGGTGGTCTGTGCCGTGCTCTTCTCCCTCTCTTTAATATTCCTCCCTCTTTTCTCCTCCTCTCTTCTTCCCTTGCGCCACCAGCGTCCATACCACCTCTGGCGTACGTCCTGCTAGCACTGCTCATCGGCACGGTGGCCTCTGTTGTCCTCTTCCCTCTCTAATCCTCCTCTCCTCTTCCGTCCCATACACCACCAGCGTCCATACCACCTCTGGCGTACGTCCTGCTGGCGCTGCTCATCATCACTGTGGCCTGTGCCAGTCTCTTCTCCCTCTAATCCTCCTCTCCTCTTTCTTCCCTTCCATCTCCTCCCCTCCACCCTCCAGCGTCCAACCCACCCCTGGCATACGTCCTGCTGGCGCTGCTCATTGTCACAGTGATCTGTGTTGTGCTCTTCGGTCTCTTTGGCACCGTCCACCACATCAAAGTGAAAGCCAGCAAGAAGAAGCAGATGAGTGAGTGAATAAAAGGGGGCTTGAATCACATCTGTTTGTCCCATGAGTGTGTGTGTGTTGTGCTCTTCAGCCCCTTTGCCACCGTGCAAACATCAAAGTGAAAGCCAGCAAGAAGAAGCAGATGAGTGAGTGAAGGACTTGAATCACATGTGCCTTCGTGTATGTGCGGTGCGGGTGATGCTTGGATGTTGATATTTTTTAGTGGATTCAAATGCTTGCATGTTGCTGCCAATGTTCCCATTTCTCTTTTGGGCAACACATGCTGCTTCAATGTGAAAGCCCGTCTGCCTGAGCTCTCAGGGAGTCACTTCTGTGCACTGCGAGAATGGGGATGAGAGAGAGAGGTCACATCACATGCTGGTGTTGCATGTACATTCCTGTTCCGCCATTCCCCATCCCCCTCCCCTTTGCCTGTTCCCCCTCCCCCCACCAGCCCACCTGCCCGAGTTCTCGGTGTCACGCCTCCGTGCCGCAACCAGAGGCTTTTCCACAGAGCACGGTAGAGGGAGGCAGCTTCCCTCTTCCCTATCAGCCTATCCCATCATCCTATTCCTTTCCTTCCCCCCCTCCTCATCACCACCAGCCCACCTGCCCGAGTTCTCGGTGTCACGCCTCCGTGCGGCAACCAGAGGCTTCTCTACAGAGCACGGTAGAGGGAGCTTCGGGACTGCTTATATCGCGTACGACCTCTTTCCAGAGGCCAGCGGAGGGGCAGAAGGAGGAAGGGGGCATGGCGGTGCATCGCATGGGCATGGGTACATGCAAGCTAACTCTCATGCCATGCCGCCTGCTATCCCCAACCCAGAGAGACACGGGTTGTTGAAACGAGCTCGCGACCCTGACAGTGAGTGATTTTTCCCTGTATATCTATCTGCCTGTGTATGCCCATGCTTTGTTATTAAATCCGTTCCAGTTTGCCTTCATGCTCCCCCATTCTTCTGCCCTGACCTGTTTCCCTTACCATCACCTTCCCCTTAACATTCTCTTTCCCCTTTCCCCACTCCCATCGGTATCATCCCGTTGCTCCTTCCATGCGCCTTCTCCGCCCCCCACTGCACCTTCCTGCAGGCTTCTCGGAATCTGCCTTCTGTCAGAAGGTAGCACTGCTAGCAGCAGCAAGCAACAGCCATCCGTGCATGGTGCACGTGAGGGGGTTCTGTGCGAATGGCGGGGAGAGGATGGTGGTTCTGGAGCTGGTCACAGGAGGCACGCTGCGCCAACGCATGATCCGTGAGTGCCCTATTCACTTTAAGCGCTTCGTGCCCTATTCACGCATGATCCGTAAGTGTCTCATTCACACCACCATCACAGTAAAGTAGTGCCACACACGCAGGGGAGGAGAGGATGGTGGTGCTAGAGCTGGTTACAGGGGGCACACTGCGCCAACGCATGATCCGTGAGTGCTGTAACAGTCGGATTGAAGAGGGGATGCTACACCTTGTGTCAGCTGATCCATGAGTGCCTCATTCACAAGTAACATCCCTTGTCTCAGAAGGTAGTGTTGTGTACGCAGGGGAAATGCGGGGCCTTTTGGTCAAAGGGCAACCCTACTGGTAGCAGTGAAGTGAAGTGATTTCTTTATTTTAAAGTAGTACTTCCAGTGACATGTATTCTTTCTCCTCGGGATTGGCTAAACCGAAAATTCATTTTCCCATTGTCCTCCCTTCTTCGTCCCCTCCTTTTTCTTTCTCTGTCCGCATCTTGATAGGAGGGGATCTGGACGCGCTGACGTGGCAGGAGAGGGTGCAAGTGGCAGTGGACGTGGCCTCTGCGTTGTATCACCTTCACTATAATCACACGCCGCCCTTTGTGCACCGCGCTGTGACTTCATCCAATGTGCTTCTAACGGAGGACATGACTGCCAAGGTACTGCCTGCCAGATCGAGTCAACTCTCTGCCAAATGTTTACCTCTATGCACCGTGTTGTTGTGACGTTGTCAAATGTGCTTCTAACGGAAGACATCACTGCCAAGGTGCTGCCCCGCCTGTTGTTTCCCTGCCAGCTGTTGGACTTAGGCAGCTTTGATGCAATGGAAAAACGGGGTTTCGTCCATTGCTGTCGTTCCAAACAGTCCACCCCGTTTTCCCCACCCTCCCCCTCTCTTTCCCCCCACCCTTCCGCTCTCCCTTTTCCCCCTCCCTCCCCTGCCTATATCACTCCCATGCCCCTCACCCTGCCAGCTGTCAGACCTAGGTTTGGCCCGAGGCAGCTCCGATGCTTCGGGGTTTCGTCCGTTGCAGTCGTCCCTCGGAGTGGCGACGACAGCAGATGTGCTGGCTTATGGGGTGCTGCTGCTGGAGCTTATAACGGGGCAGACTGCAGACGGGACAACCCAGATTGTTGCTACAGTATGTGCTTTAATTTGTTATTCTTATTGAGTCGGCTTGTAAAGGCAGGATTGGCCTATAGGGTGCTGCTGCTGGAGCTTATAACGGGGCAGACTGCAGAGGGGACAACACAGATCGTCGCTACGGTGAGTGTCCTTTGGGTAGTATTGAGTCTGCTTATAAAAAGGGATTGGCCTATGGGGTGCTGCTACTGGAAAATTCACAGGTGATGGCTCACATAGCAGATGCCCAACAAGGAGGGGAGTAGCTTTAAAGTGTTGCCGCGTGCTCTTTGTCCTCTCTTGATCGACTTTTGAGTCGACTCAAAAGTCAACGCGTGCTCTTTGTCCTCTCCTGATCTTCTCTCTCCCACCCCGAAGACAACACTTTAAGGTTCTTTCGTGCATCCCTCTATTCACACTCCGCCTGCTCTCTTGGCCACCCTTTTTCGTTCTTGTTCTTTATGCGGCCAGCTGGTAGGAGAGTAGCTTCCAAACGTAACAGCGTTGTAACACGCACTCCGCTTCTTCCTCTCATTCTCCTCCTTCCTCTGCTGCCCCACAGTCGGCCCCATCCCTTAAATGATCCACAGATGATGCCCCTCATGGGAGATTCGCAGCTGATGGGAGAGACGAGCAGCATTCCAACAAAACAGCATGTTGCGCACTCTCCTTCCTCCCTTTTCCCTCCTTCCTCCCTTTTCCCTCCTTCCTCCCTTTTCCCTCCTTCCTCCCTTTTCCCTCCTTCCTCCCTTTTCCCTCCTTCCTCCCTTATCTCTCCTTCCTCCCTTTTCCCTCCTTCCTCCCTTTCCCCTCCTTCCTCCCTTTTCCCTCCTTCCTCCCTTTTCCCTCCTTCCTCCCTTTCCCCTCCTTCCTCCCTTTTCCCTCCTTCCTCCCACCACCCAGTCCGCCCCGTTCCTGGACGATCCACAGATGATGCCTTTAATGGCAGACGCTCAGCTGGGAGGGCACTTTGATCGGCCACAACTGGAGGTGCTGGCATCGCTGGCACGCGCGTGTGTGCTGGTGAGACATCTGAGGGCATGGCATGTGTACATGCTTGGCATGTGTACATGCTTGGCATGCGTACATGCTTGGCATGCGTACATGCTTGGCATGCGTACATGCTTGGCATGCGTACATGCTTGGCATGCGTACATGCTTGGCATGCGTACATGCTTGGCATGCGTACATGCTTGGCATGTGTATCTAGATGCCTCTATACCCTCTTCCTCTCTCTGGGAGGGCACTTTGATCGGCCACAACTGGAGGTGCTGGCATCGCTGGCACGCGCGTGTGTGCTGGTGAGATCACGTCTTGCTGTGCATGTATGCACATGAGATTGTGTAGGTCGAATTCTGTGCTCGGCATTCATGGCTCGCTTCCTCAAGAGCATCCCTGCCGCATGTCTCTGCTGGGAGGGCACTTTGACCGGCTACAGCTGGAGGTGCTGGCATCACTGGCGCGTGCATGTGTGCTGGTGAGGTGTTTGAGGCATGCACGTGTGTGCATACATGCACACCTCAAAGAGTGCTGCTTGCTCGGGCATGTGTGCATGCATGCACACATGTCCCCATGTCTGCTTGTCCCCATGTCCCCATGTCTGCTTGTCCCCATGTCCCCATGTCTGCTTGTCCCCATGTCTGCTTGTCCCCATGTCTGCTTGTCCCCATGTCCCCATGTCTGCTTGTCCCCATGTTCCCATGTCTGCCGGTCCGCACATCAGCATACCACCGATCCCTGTAACTCATACCCCATGTCGGCATGTTCCAATGTCGGGACGTCACCACGTTACCATGTCCCCATGTTCCCATGTTGACATTTCCCCATGTCCTCGTGTCGACATATCTCCCTGTACCGTCCCACCCCTTGTCTCTATGCGAGCACACAGGACGACGCTGCCGCCCGGCCCACGATGCACGAGATACGGCAGGCCTATGAGCAGCACCTTCAGGTGGATCCTCAGGTGTTTGAGCCCCTGGACGTGGACATGGGGGATGTGCCACTAGGGCATGTTGGGAGTATGGAGGGACATGCAGATGAAGCTGCTGATGGTGATGCTGATGATGGTGCTGGTGATGGTGGTGATGGTGCTTTTGGTGCTGCTGCTCCTGGTGCTGTTTCGGGCATTTCCGCTGTTGCTTCTTCTCCTTCTCCTTCTGCTTCTCCCGCTGCTGCTGCTGCTTCTCAGGAAACTCAATATTCCACTAGCAACTGGGCAGCCAAAATAGTCGCCTCTATGAGTGCTGCTGCTGCTGCTCCTGCTGGGGGTGCTTATAACGAAAGACAGGCCGGGCAGGGAGAAGCAGACAGCAGTGTGCTTTTAGAGAGCGGCTTTTCTGCCCCACCTCCTAAGGGGGGAGGCAGGGCCAAGGGAAAGCAACGACAGGGAGCAAGAGGGAAAGGAGGTGGGAGAGGAATAGGCGGGGAAGCAGGAGGGGGTGTAGGGTCTTCTGTAGCAGGGGTAGCAGGAGTGGGAGGAGCAGCAGCAGGGGCATGGGCGGCGGTGGGGGGTGTGGTAGAGAGTGTGTCGAGAGGGGTGTGTGTGGGGGTGCCTGGGAGTGTGAGTGAGGTGCGAGATGCTGAGGCCGCTTCGCTGCTTATATCGAGACCAACAATGGAAAATGGTGGTAGATATTGATAAGCCACCAAGGTGGTGATATTATAGCTGCTGTTACGGTATTATTCTAATTATGCCTAATCATCTCTTCTGGCTGGTACAACGCCACAATCTCTATGAATGACGATTTTTTGCTTGTTGGAAAATGCTTCTTTATTAATCAGGGCCCCTACTAATAAGATGGTCCTGTGTTTCACCAGGAGCATCTCCAAAAAACCACGCCACATATTGCTGAGTGCACACATGTGGTAGTACGGTAAGTAGCAGTACGATAAGTAGCGCTACCTACTTAGAAGAACACAACTCCCCAGTCAGAACCACAGCAAATTTGCCTAGATGCTCTCCCGACCCGATTCCGAGCGTCCAACCCACCACACCATTTTCACCATCTGATTCGTCTCAGTCGTCATCATCATCACTCTCCCCCCAGCCTCCACCATCACCCATCTCATAATCACTGTCCATGGCATACTCATGCTCAATATCCTCATCCTCTCCACCACTCTCCTCCTCCGATGCCTCCCCCCCCCCCCGCCTCTTCCCTTTCCACGGCCACATCGCCCCCCTCCTCCCCTTCTTCCTCTTCCGCGTCCCCTCCCTCCCCCTCCTCATCCCCCTCCTCTTCTTCCTCCTCCTCCTCACCCTCTACCTCCTCTCCCTCCTCCCTCCTTGCAGGAACTCCTCTCGTGTCTCGCCTGGGCAGCAACGGGCATTCACTGATGTTGCACTCACGCAACATCGCCATATTCCGGAGGGAGGAAGGCAGCCGAGTCAGCTTCTTGCACGCACACACCTCCAGCTCCTCAAGCCTAGGCAGCTGAGTAAACGAATCCGGCAGGCTTCGCAACTGCTTCAGTCCCAGAATCTGCAACTTCTGGAGGGAAGAAAGCTTCCAGATATCATCCGGAATGGCTGAGACTCCGAGCTTTTTAAGAGAACAGGATCGTAGCTTGGTTAATTTCACAAACGAATCTGGAAGCTGCATCAGCTTGTAGCAATCGATAATCTCCAGCGTCTCGAGCATTTTCAGCTGCCCAAGAGACTCGGGCAGCTGTCGCATTGTCGTGAGGTAAACCAGCTGCAAAACACGCAGCCCTGCAAGCCCTCCAAGGGTCTCGGGCAGTGCTTTCAGAATAGAAGCCGAATGAACCTTGAGCCTTTGCAGTTGTGAGAGTTGAGAGATGGAATCAGGGAGAGACTCAAGACTGTCCATTTCCAGAAGCTTCAGCTGTGTCAGAGAGGATAGACGACCAAAGGATGGGCCAAAAGACTCAACGTTAAGCTCCTTTAACTTGAGGCTCTGAATGGAAGGAAGCAAAGGGCGGCTGCTGCTCCGACTGCCGACGCTGGACACGACGCCCCTGGCAGTACGTCTAAGCACCTTCTCATCGCCTAGCACCGCACGTAACCCATCACACCCCCGCACGTCCAACGCCTGCAGACGGGGCAGGTCAAGAAGCGCCGGCGGGAGACGAATCAACCCGTCCATCCCAAATATCCTGACCTCCTCGAGCTTCTCCAGCCGTCCGATTCCCTCAGGCAGGACAGTCACTTTAGGGCAATTTCCCACTTCCAGGCTCGTGAGGGAAAAAACGCCCGAGAATGAAGCAGGGAGGGCGGATAGGCGTGGCAAAGAGTCGAGCGACAGCTCCTTGAGACTTTTCAAGCTGCCAAAGCCGTCTAGCAGCGAGCCCCTGAAGCGTTTCACGTGCAGGATTTTAAGGGTTTCAAGAGACATCAGGCCGGAGAAGGATGGAGGCAGGTGGGAGAGAGCGGTGCAGTCCAGTAGAAGCAGATGGTGCAAGGACTGCAGACCCTTTCCCATGTCATCTGGCAACACCGTGAGGCGCGGACAAATGTTAATCTCCAGGCGCTCGAGAGAAGACAGCTGGGATAGGGAGTCTGGGAGCTGCTGCAGCTTCCCACACTCCAACAGTTTCAGCTCCCGAAGAGCAGCCAGCTGTCCAAAGGATTCGGGCAGATGTGTGAGCAGCGGAAGGCGCTTCATGTACAGCGTCTCCAGAGAAACCAGCTGCCCGAACTCCTGGGGCAGAAATGTCAGGTGTTGAAGGTTATAGAGGGAAAGCTCTTGAAGAGTGGTAACCAGGGCGATGGAATCAGGTAAGGCTGTGAGACTCCTTAGGTCAAGCACGAGCGTTCGAAGCACTGACAGCTGCCCGAGATCTTCGGGCAGCACTGAGAGTTCCATGTCAAGGGTGAGTTCGGAGAGTGCAGGCAGGCGAGGGAGAGACACGGGCAGCGACGTGATATCGCTGCAGTGCTTGATGGTTAGAGTCTTCACTCGCTGAAAATGCTCCAGAGCCGCAACCAAGCTGCGCATACCCCTCGCTTCAACCAGAATTATGGTTTCGAGTGCCACCAGGCAACCGAAATTGACCCGCGATGGAGGAAGAATCCTGCAATGTCGAACCTCCAGGGCGGCGAGAGAAGAAAGCTTGGTGAAAGAGGCGGGCAGCTGAAAGGTCGAGCAGTGACTCAAGCAAAGACGCTTCAAAGCGGTAAGCTGTCCGAAAGCTTCCGAAAGTGACCCCATGCGGCAATCGCGCAGCTCCAGCGACGTTAACGAACTCATTCTGCCGAAATCTTGAGGCAAAGCTTCGAGCCTGTAACTGCTCAGTACGAGGCTTCTGAGAGACTGTAACGAGGTAAGAGTGTCGGGAAGACGCGTAAAGCTGCCCCTGAGGGTTAAATTCGTGAGCCGTGTGAGTCGGTCGATCGACGGGGGAATCGAACCACGCTCTGAACAATACAGATTAAGATCTTCCAGTCGCACACACCCCTCAAACAGGGCGAGAAGGCTCTTCTCAGATAAAAATCCACGTGACATCGGTTCGACACAAAGCTGGGTCAGATGCGGGCACGTGTTGGCGAGGCGAGAGAATAGAAAATTAGACGCAGAGGTGAGACTGTCCGCAGATAGAATGAGCTTTCTGAGGTTTGTGAACGGCGACAGAAGCTGAACGAGCCGACGCGGCTCCATACGGAGGTTTCTGGCAAAATGAAGCTCGTATTGCACGCGGTAGGCGACGCGATGCCATTGCTTGCTAACATGTGCGTGCTCCAACTGGCCATCCGGTCGAACCAGAAAACGCAGGATCCGAGAAAGAACATCTTCAGGTAAGCGCTGGATCGGCGATCCGACTGACATTGTGAGAGGAGGAGAAAATCAGAAACGTATGGCTGTCCAAGTCTGCCACCAATTAGGTGAAGCCGACTGCTAATGGTCAACAAGCAAGGTCAGCCAGACTACATGAGCCTTTCAGTCTTTCAGAGGATCAGTGAAAACATTTCTCGGAGGATCAGGGAAAGCAACTCTCTCATGGCGAAACCCTTGGACTTGTCAGGCTCACCGCATTCAACCGTTGGATTTTCTCAAACAGTACCCTAGAGACTCCCACGTAACACCATATACCTCCTGCGAAGGGAAGGCGACGCAAGCCGAACGCCTATCTAAATTTCGCGAGGATCACCCACGTGCCTATTCGACCGTCAAATGGGTGCGTTGTGGTGATGGGATGTAGTCCTGTGAGCTTCCCGCCAAGATTAGTTGCAACGTACCCGTTTGTGCATGCGAGCAAGGTCCCCTCCTGTGATTCACCAAAGGCACTTCCAAAACAACGTGCTGCAGCACATTGCCGATACATTCAGCTGGTAAAAAGAGCTACCTCAAACCTCTTGAAGTAACACATCAATCTTCCCCATGCAAATTACACGGATTTTCATACATGCTCTCCTGATCCCCAGCGTAGCGTCCAATTAATTAATCCAACTACTGTACTAGTCATCCTCATCACTCTCCCCCCAGCCTCCGCCATCACCCATCTCATAGTCACTCCCCAATGCATACTCATGCTCAATATCCTCATCCTCACCACCACTCTCCTCATCCTCTCCACCACTCTCCTCATCCTCTCCACCACTCTCCTCATCCTCACCGCCACTCTCCTCATCCTCTCCACCACTCTCATCCTCTTCACCATCAGTCTCCTCATTCTCTCCACCACTCTCCTCCTCCGATGCCTCCCCGCCCGCCTCTTCCCTTTCCGCGTCCCCTCGCTCCCCCTCCTCCTCCTCCCCCTCCCGCTCCTCCCCCTCCCACTCCTCCCCCTCCTCCTCCTCCCCCTCCCCCTCCTCTCCCTCCTCTCTCCTAGCAGGAACTCCCCTCGTGTCTCGCCTGGGCAGCAAAGGGCATTCACTGATGTGGCACTCCCGCAACGACGGCATTTTTCGAAGAGAGGAGGGCAGGCGAGTCAGCTTCTTGCACGCACACACCTCCAGATCCTCAAGCCTAGGCAGCCGAATAAACGAATCCGGCAAGCTTCGCAACTGCTTCAGTCCCCGAATCAGCAACTTCTGGAGGGAAGACAGCTTAAAGATATCATCAGGAATGGTTGAGATCCCAAGCATGATGAGAGAGCAGGTTCGTAGCTTGGGTAGATTCACAAATGACGCTGGAAGCTGCATCAGCTTGAAGCAATCAATAATCTCCAGTGTCTCGAGCATTTTCAGCTGCCCGAGAGACTCGGGCAGCTGTCGCATTCTCGAGAGGTAAACCAGCTGCAAGACACGCAGCCCTGCCAGCCCTCCAAGGGTCTCGGGCAGTGTTTTCAGACTAGAAGACCAATCAACCTTAAGCCTTTGCAGCTGAGAGAGTTGAGAGATGGAATCAGGAAGAGATTCAAGCTTGTTCATTTCCAGGAGCTCCAACTGCGTCAGAGAGGAGAGGCGACCGAGGGATGGTCCAAACGACTCAACATTGAGCTCTTTAATCTTGAGGCTCTGAATGGAAGGAAGCAAGGGCCTGCTGCTGCTGCGCCTGGTGCTACCGGTGCCGGTCACAAAACCCCTGGCGGTACGTCTAAGCATCCTCTCATCACCTAGCACTTCACTTAACCCATCACATGCCCGCACCTCCAAAGCCCGCAGACGGGGCAGGTCAAGAAGCGACGGAGGGAGACCTATCAGGCCGTCCATTTTGAAGATCCTGACCTCCTCGAGAGCATCCACCCGTCCAATCCCCTCAGGCAGGACCGTTACTTTGGGGCAGTTTCCCACTTCCAAGCTGGTGAGGGAATCAACGCCCGAGAAGGAGGCAGGGAGCGCGGATAGCCGCGGCATAGAGTCGAGCGACAGCTTCTTGAGGCTTTTCAAGCTGCCAAAGCCATCTAGCAGCGTGCCCCTGAAGCGCTGTGCGCGTTCAATCTTGAGGGTTTCGAGAGAGGTCAGGCAGGAGAAAGATGGAGGGAGGTGGGTGAGAGCGGTGCAGTCCAGTAGCAGCAGTTGGCGCAAGGAGTGCAGACCCTTTCCCATGTCGTCTGGCAGCATCGTGAGGCGCGGGCAAATGTTGATCTCCAGGCGCTCAAGAGAAGATAGCTGGGATAGGGAGTCCGGGAGTTGCTGCAGTTGCCCACACTCCAAAAGTTTTACCTCTCGAAGAACTGCCAGCTGTCCAAAGGATTCGGGCAGATGCGTGAGCAGCGGAAGGCGCTTCATGCACAGCTTCTCCAACGAAACCAGCTGCCCGAAATCCTGGGGCAGAAATGTCAGGTGTTGAAGGTTATAGAGGGAAAGCTCTTGAAGAGTGGTAACCAGGGCGATGGAATCAGGTACGGCTGTGAGACTTTCCAGATTTAAGGCGAGCGTCCGAAGCGTTGACAGCTGCCCGAAATCTTCGGGCAGCAATGAGAGTTGTCTTATGGCAAGGTTGAGGTTGGTGAGTGCAGGCAGGCGGGGAAGAGACACGGGCAGCGACGTGATATCACTGCAGTCCTTGATGGTTAGAATTTTCACTCGCTGCAAATGCTCCAAAGCTGCAATCAAGCTGCGCATTCCCGTGACTTCAAGGAGAGTAATGGTTTCCAGAGCCCTCAATCCACTGAAATCAACCCGCGACGGAGGAAGGATCCTGCTATTTAGAATTTCCAGAGTGGCGAGACAAGAAAGCTTAGTGAAAGAGGCCGGCAGCTGCAACGTCGAGCAGTAACTCAGAGTAAGACGGTTCAGCGCGGCAAGCTGCCCGAAAGAATCTGGAAGTGACGTCAACCGGCACATATGGAGCTGCAGCCTCGTTAAGGAAACCAGATTGCCAAAATCTGGAGGCAAACTTTCTAGCCCATAACTGTTCAGCGTGAGGCTTCTGAGGGACTGTAACGAGGTAAGAGTGTCGGGAAGACGCGTAAAGCTGCCCCGGAGGATTAAATTCGTGAGCCGTGTGAGTCGGTCGATCGACGTGGGAATGACAACACCATATGAACAAGACAGTTTAAGATCTTCCAGTCGCACACATCCCTCGAACAGCGCGAAAAGGCTCTTCTCAGATAAAAATCCACATGACATCGGTTCGACACAAAGCTGTGTCAGATGCGGACACGTGCTGGCGAGGCGAGAGAATAGAAAAGTAGAGGCGGAGGTAAGGCTGTTTGAGGATAGAATGAGCTTTCTGAGGTTTGTGAACGGCGACAGAAGCTGAAGGAGCCGACGCGGACTCATACGAAGGTTATTGGAAAAATGAAGCTCGTATTGCACGCTGTACGCGACGCGATGCCATTGCTTGCTAACACGTGCGTGCTCCAACTGGCCATCAGGTCGAACCAGAAAACGCAGGATCCGAGTAAGAATATCTTCAGGTAATCGCTGGATAGGCGATCCGGGTGCCATTGTGAAATGAGGAGATGGATAGGAATGAAATTAACGGCTGTTGAAGTCCGCTACAGTACTAATTAGGTGAGCCGACTACTAATCCTCAGACTGGAATGAGTCTCTGGGGGAGCAGTCTAAACATTTCTCGGAGGATCAGTGAACATTTTCAACCCTTGGGCATCTCAAGTTCATCGCACTCAACCGAGTAGAACCATTCTTTAGGGCGATGTCAGGTTGTACAACTTTGTGTACGCCCTCTCCGGTAAATCTCGTTTCAAGACGGTGCAGAGCGGCAATTGTCGAGAAACGCTTTTCACCGTGTTGGACCGTCCTGAACCACGATACAGGAACTGTAAGCGCGTGTGAAATGTACAACCTGACGTCGCCCTTAGATACTCTCCCACGTAACACCACCATTCTTTAGATACTTTCTACACGAGGATCACCCACGCGCCTTGTTGGCCTCGAAATGGGTGTGCTGTGGTGGCTGGATATGGTAGCGTACCCGTTTGTGCGTGCAAATCCAGCACTCATCAAAATAAATTTCGATTTTCATGGAGCTCGATATGTAAAATTGAAAATCAAGCTGCACAAGGCTGAATGCATACACATGGCAAGGAGCGCTATCTATTTCAGATAACACATAAACTCCCCATTCAAAATCACAGCCAATTTTCATACATGATCTTCTAATTCCTGACGTCTAACCTGCCACACCAATTTCGCCATTTGACTGATCCTACTACTCATCATCATCGCTCTCCCCCCAGCCTGCATCATCACCCATCTCATAATCACTGTCCAAGGCATATTCATGTTCAATATCATCATCCTCACCACCACTCTCCTCCTCCGATGCCTCCCCGCCCGCCTCTTCCCTTTCCCCGACCATATCGCCTCCCTCCTCCCCCTCTTCCTCTTCCGCATCCCCTCCCTCCCCTTCCTCCTCTCCTTCCTCCTCTCGCTCCTCCCCCTCCTCTTCCTCCTCCGCTCTCCTTGCAGGAAGCCCTCTTGTGTCTCGCCTGGGAAGCAACGGGCATTCACTGATGTTGCACTCACGCAACGACGACATATTTCTAAGAGAAGATGGCAGCCGAGTCAGCTTCTTGCACGCACACACCTCCAGATCCTCAAGCCTAGGCAGCTGCGTAAATGAATCCGGCAAGCTTTGCAACTGCTGGAGGGAATCAGCAACTTCTGGAGGGAAGACAGCTTCCAAGTATTATCAGGAATGGTTGAGATTCCGAGCTTGATAAGAGAGCAGGATCGCAGCTTGGGTAGATTCACAAACGAATCCGGAAGCTGCATCAGCTTGAAGCAATCAATAATCTCCAGTTTCTCGAGCATTTTCAGCTGCCCGGGAGACTTGGGCAGCTGTCGCATTGTCGTGAGGTAAACCAGCTGCAAGACACGCAGCCCTGCCAGCCCTCCAAGGGTTTCGGGCAGTGCTTTCAGAACAGAAGCAGAATCAACCTTAAGCCTTTGCAGTTGTGAGAGTTGAGAGATGGAATCAGGGAGAGACTCAAGCCTGTCCATTTCCAGAAGCTTCAGCTGGGTCAGAGAGGATAGACGACCAAGGGACGGGCCAAAGGACTCAACATTAAGCTCCTTTAACTTCAGGCTCTGAATGGAAGGAAGCAGAGGCTGACTGCTGCTGCGGCTGGTGCTGCCGGTGCTGGTCACAAAACCCCTAGCAGTACGTCTAAGCACCTTCTCATCGCCTAGCACCGTACTTAACCCATCACACCCCCGCACGTCCAGCGCCCGCAGACAAGGCAGGTCAAGAAGCGACGGAGGGAGACAAATCAGGCCGTCCATCCCAAAGATCCTGACCTCCTCCAGCTTCTCCAGCCGTCCGATTCCCTCAGGCAGGACCGCTACTTTAGGGCAATTCCCCACTTCCAGGGTGGTGAGTGAAGAAACGCCCGAGAAGGAAGCAGGAAGGGTGGATAGGCGTGGCATACCATCAAGCGACAGCTCCTTGAGGCTCTTCAAGCAGCCAAAGCCGTCTAGCAGCGTGCCCCTGAAGCGTTTCGCGTGTAGAATCTTACGGGCTTCGAGGGAGATCAGGCCGGAAAAGGAAGGGGGGAGGTGGGTGAGAGCGGTGCAGTCCAGTAGAAGCAGTTGGCGCAAGGACTGCAGACCCTTCCCCATGTCGTCTGGCAGCACCGTGAGGCGCGGACAGTAGTTCAACTCCAGGTACTCGAGAGACAATAGCTGGGATAGGGACGCCGGGAGCTGCTGCAGCTGCCCACACTCCAAAAATTTCACCTCTCGAAGAGCTGCCAGCTGTCCAAAGGATTCAGGCAGACGGGTGAGGCGCGGAACACGCTTCAGGCAGAGCGTCTCCAAAGAAAGCAGCTGACCGAACTCCTGGGGCAGATGTGTCAGATTCAGAAGATCAGTGAGGGAGAGCTCTTTCAGTGTGGTAACCAGAGCGATGGAATCAGGTAAGGCTGTGAGACTCCTCAGGTTCAGCACGAGCGTTCGAAGCACTGACAGCTGCCCGAGATCTTCGGGCAGCACTGAAAGTCGTCCCATGTCAAGGGTGAGTTCGGTGAGTGCAGGCAGGCGGGGAAGAGACACGGGCAGCCACGTGATATCACTGCACTCCTTGATAATCAGGGTCTTCACTCGCTGCAAATGCTCCAGGGCCCCAATCAAGCTGCGCATTCCCGTGACTTCAACGAGAATGATGGAGTCGAGAACCCCCAACTTACTGAAATCAACCCGCGATGTAGGAGGGATCCTGCAATGTCGAACCTCCAGGACGGCGAGAGAAGAAAGCTTGGTAAAAGAAGCCGGCAGCTGCAACGTCGAGCAGTGACTTAAGGAAAATCGGTTCAGAGAGGTAAGCTGCCCGAAAGATTCCGGAAGAGACCCCACGCGGCAATTGTGCAGCTGTAGAGACGATAACGAACTCAGATTGCCGAAATCCCGAGGCAAAGCTTCGAGCCTATAAGCATTCAGCACGAGGCTTCTGAGAGACCGTAACGAGGTAAAAGTGTCGGGAAGACGCGTAAAGCCGCCTCTGAGGGTTAAGTTCCTGAGCCTTGCGAGTCGGTCGATGGACAGGGGAATGGAACCAAGCTCCGAACAATACAGATCGAGATCTTGCAGCTGCGTACACCCCTCGAACAGCGTAAGGAGGCACTTCTTAGATAGAGATCCACGTGGCATCGGTTCGACACGAAGCTCAGTCAGATGCGAACACGTGTTGGCGAGGCGAGAGAAGAAAAAGCTAGAGGCGGAGGTGAGGCTGTTTGAGGAAAGAATGAGCTTTCTGAGGTTGGTGAACAGCGATAGAAGCTGAAGGAGCCGACGCGGATCCATACGAAGGTTACTGGCAAACTGAAGCTCGTATTGCACGCGGTAAGCGAGGCGATGCCATTGCTTGGAGACAAGTGCGTGCCCCAGCTTGCCATCAGGTCGAACCAGGAAAAAAAGGATCCGAGAAAGAACATCGTGTAACCGCTGGATAGACGATTCGACTGACATTGTGAAAGGAGGAGAAAACAAAACAATTGAGACCGTTCACCTCGTCTGCTACTTATTAGGTATCTGACTCCTAATCGTCTAGTCACGAGTCAAAAAATGAACAATCACGATCCACAAGAGAGGCAAGCTGTTAAGGGGGGATTTACTGTTCATTCCGAATAGTACTTTCCAACTCACTCTTATCCTTATCTTCCTAGATTTCCTAGTGCCACGTGGCACTCTACTTTTCTTGCCTTCAATTCCTAGTCCCACGAAGTACTTTCCGACATTCGATCTTGCATGCTATATCAACCTTGCTTGTACTTGCCATTATCAATCAATTTTCATTCAACTCTTCTTCAATTACTCAGTAACTTCCTCGCCTATTTCGCCAATAGTTCTTTCGCCAAAGTCTTCCGCCGCATTTCATCCTCGACTTAGTCGAACCCGCTAATTCTTTAGCGAACTTAGGCCGTCGGGCCTAACACTTGGTATCAGGAGCCTTCGTGGGGAACGACTTCCAACGAGCGACCGTCGACGACGAGACTACGACGTCATCGTCCCGCAGTGCCGACTTGCAGACTTGGAGTCGTCGAGCGAACATGGACGAAACCATGCACGCTCTCCCCCACGACATGGGCAACACGCTTGCCGAACTCATGCGCCAACTTCAAGAGTTGACGTTGGAAAATCGTCAGGTACGAGCTGAATTGCAACAGCTTCGTGAATTGGCTTCTAACCCCCATGGTCATGCCGCACCAACTCTTGCACCCAATACGTCGACTGGCGCGGAAGCGCTGCTGGAACGTCGAAGCGCACTCAAGCCGCAGAAACCCGGGTCGTTCGACCCAAGTCAACGCGACGCGAACGTGTGGACGTGGCTCTTCATGCTGAACAACTACTTCGCCGCGAGCGGGGTGCAAGAGGCGGACGCGCAGCAGCGGATCGAGTACGCCGTTACGCTGCTGAGGGGCCCGGCCTTGGAGTGGTGGCGCCAACTCACGCAAACTGCTGTAAGAAGGGCTCAGACAGACGGGCATCAACAGGGCGTGGGGCATGCAGCTGCAACTTCGAGCTTAGGGAGTTTAGCTTTAGGTGTTACCACGGTTCCGACCACATGGGAAGGATTTGAAGCGGCGCTGAAAGGTAGGTTCGATTTGGTGAACGCCTCCGAAGCTGCTAGGAAGCGTCTGCGTCATTTCCGACAGATAGGAAACGTCCAGGAGTACACACGATGGTTCTTGAGCATCTGCAACGAAATAGATGACATCACGGAAGCAGAGATGCGCGATCGCTACCTTGAAGGGTTGAAGCCGGACATAGCGGAAGTTATAGCGATTCACGGGTTGTCCACCTTCGAGTCAGTTGTCGCAGCCGCAGAACGCGTCGACGCAGTACGAAGCCGACGGGGTCGTGACGATCGCGATAGGGGATACAACAGACCGATCAACGACGCTCGATCGAGGGACGGACCATCGCCCATGGAGATTGGTGCAGTTAACAGTGACGGCTCACAGAAGACGGGTTTCAGGGGGAACTGTCACTACTGCAAAAAGCCGGGACACATGAAGCGGGACTGCCCACAGCTTAAGGAATGGCAGCAGGGAAACGGAGACCGCCAGTAGATAGCGGGTCGCTAGCTGGTGTGGAGGTTCCCGTACCCGCCACGTCTACCAACGTAGAGGAGACGGCTTTGCAGCAGTCATCTAGGACGAGGTAGACACTGTTGACCGACCAGTCGTGCTTCTAGGGAAGCTTCGCGGAGTTCCTGTTAAGATTATCGTAGATAGCGGAGCTAGCCACTCGTTCGTGTCTTCATCGTTAGTTAGTCGTCTCCATCTCGAAGCAGATCCGGCAGTCAACTTCAAGGATGCACGCATGGTAGATGGGACGCCTCTCCACATAGGACCGGTCATTCGCAAGTTGCGCGTAGTGCTAGGACCCATCACAGTTAGGCGTGATTTCGACTCTGCGACGCTGGACGGTTACGACTTCATCTTCGGTAGAGATTGGTTGCGGACGGTCAGTACTCAGTTCGATTGGGCTCAGGGAAGCTGCAGCGTCAAGGTAGATGGCGAGTTCCGGGAGCTGCCACAGTGGAGCGATGCGGCCACATCCTCCGCAGCTATCATTAATGCTGTTCGTGTGCGACAGTTAGTGAAGCGTGCGGCGCGGATCTTCGCGGTTTTCCTTGAGGAGGTGGAAGCGGAGGTGGGGAAAGGAGGGAGCGCAGCAGTTGGCGATAAGACAACTCTTCCTGCTGAAGTGAGTGCACTCTTAGCGGAGTTTAGAGACGTCTTCCCCGACGAGTTGCCCCCAGGGTTACCTCCTAGCCGAGCAGTCGACCATCGGATAGAGTTAGAGCCGGGGAGCAGGCCAGTAGCGAAGCCGCAGTGGAGGTTGAGTCCAGCAGAGACAGAGGAGATGACGCAGCAGGTTAGGCACTTTCTCGCGCAGGGTTTCATTCAGCCATCTAGATCGCCTTGGGCAGCACCAATCCTTTTCGCACCCAAGAAAGACGGAGGGTTACGGATGTGCATAGATTACCGCGCACTGAACGCCGCCACCGTCAAGAATAGTTTTCCGGTGCCGAGAGTAGAGGATCTCCTAGATGCGGTGCAGGGCGCTAGAGTCTTCTCAAAGATCGACCTTCGTTCGGGTTACCACCAGATTCGCGTAGTTCCAGAGGACCAGCACAAGACGGCGTTTCGTACGAAGCAGGGGTTGTACGAGTTTAGGGTTCTACCGTTCGGATTGACCAACGCCCCAGCGACGTTTCAGACGCTCATGAACACCGTCCTCTCCGAGTTCCTAGATTCGTTCGTTGTAGTTTACCTAGACGACATTCTCATATTCTCCAAGACGAAAGAGGAGCACGTGCAGCACTTGCAGAAGGTCTTCGAGGTTTTACGGAGGGAGCAGCTGTACGCTAAGCAGTTGAAGTGCGAATTCTTTCTCCCCGAGGTCGAGTTCCTAGGACACGTCGTATCCGCTAGTGGCATTAGGACCGACCCGAAGAAGATCGCAGCAGTACATGATTGGGTAGCACCGACCTCAGTCAAGGAGTTGCAGAGCTTTCTCGGATTCGCCAATTACTATCGTCGTTTCGTTCAGGGTTACGCATCGATCGCTAGTTCACTCACCGAACTACTTCGGAAGGGCGTAGATTTCGATTGGGGTCCAGCGCAGCAGCAGGCGTTCGAGCAGATGAAGCAGTCGCTCACGTCTTCACCGACACGGTCAGTACTCAGTTCGATTGGGCTCAGGGAAGCTGCAGCGTCAAGGTAGATGGCGAGTTCCGGGAGCTGCCACAGTGGAGCGATGCGGCCACATCCTCCGCAGCTATCATTAATGCTGTTCGTGTGCGACAGTTAGTGAAGCGTGCGGCGCGGATCTTCGCGGTTTTCCTTGAGGAGGTGGAAGCGGAGGTGGGGAAAGGAGGGAGCGCAGCAGTTGGCGATAAGACAACTCTTCCTGCTGAAGTGAGTGCACTCTTAGCGGAGTTTAGAGACGTCTTCCCCGACGAGTTGCCCCCAGGGTTACCTCCTAGCCGAGCAGTCGACCATCGGATAGAGTTAGAGCCGGGGAGCAGGCCAGTAGCGAAGCCGCAGTGGAGGTTGAGTCCAGCAGAGACAGAGGAGATGACGCAGCAGGTTAGGCACTTTCTCGCGCAGGGTTTCATTCAGCCATCTAGATCGCCTTGGGCAGCACCAATCCTTTTCGCACCCAAGAAAGACGGAGGGTTACGGATGTGCATAGATTACCGCGCACTGAACGCCGCCACCGTCAAGAATAGTTTTCCGGTGCCGAGAGTAGAGGATCTCCTAGATGCGGTGCAGGGCGCTAGAGTCTTCTCAAAGATCGACCTTCGTTCGGGTTACCACCAGATTCGCGTAGTTCCAGAGGACCAGCACAAGACGGCGTTTCGTACGAAGCAGGGGTTGTACGAGTTTAGGGTTCTACCGTTCGGATTGACCAACGCCCCAGCGACGTTTCAGACGCTCATGAACACCGTCCTCTCCGAGTTCCTAGATTCGTTCGTTGTAGTTTACCTAGACGACATTCTCATATTCTCCAAGACGAAAGAGGAGCACGTGCAGCACTTGCAGAAGGTCTTCGAGGTTTTACGGAGGGAGCAGCTGTACGCTAAGCAGTTGAAGTGCGAATTCTTTCTCCCCGAGGTCGAGTTCCTAGGACACGTCGTATCCGCTAGTGGCATTAGGACCGACCCGAAGAAGATCGCAGCAGTACATGATTGGGTAGCACCGACCTCAGTCAAGGAGTTGCAGAGCTTTCTCGGATTCGCCAATTACTATCGTCGTTTCGTTCAGGGTTACGCATCGATCGCTAGTTCACTCACCGAACTACTTCGGAAGGGCGTAGATTTCGATTGGGGTCCAGCGCAGCAGCAGGCGTTCGAGCAGATGAAGCAGTCGCTCACGTCTTCACCGACACTGTCGTACCCAGATCCCACTCGCCCATACGTTGTAGTGACCGACGCATCAGATCGGGCCATAGGAGCAGTGCTTCTTCAGGACCAGGGACGCGGGTTGCAGCCGATCGCGTACGAGTCGCGTAAGCTTAGGGGAGCGAGCTGAACTATCCGATTCACGACAAGGAGGCGCTCGCGATCATCCATGCGTATAAGGTGTGGAGGTGCTACATAGAGGGGGCAGATAGTGTTATACGCACGGACCATTGCTCGCTTCGCTTCCTCAAGTCGCAGCCGCAGCTGAGTCGTCGCCAGGCTAGATGTATGGAGTTCATGGAGGGGAGTTTCCACTACAGGATAGAGTACAAGCCAGGCGTTCGCAACCCAGCAGATCCGCTCACTCGCCCTAGTTGCCAGCTCGCTAGTCTCACAGTCACTGCCGGCCACCCACTTCTCACAGCACTCTTCGAGCACGGTTATACAGTAGATCCCGACTTCACACCGCAGCCGCCCGCAGGAGCAGAGGTGCAGGGTAGTGTCTACATACGGAAGGGTACCACACGGATTTGGGTTCCAGCCTACCGCCCTCTTCGACAGCTTCTTCTTTCCGAGGCGCACGATGTAGTTAGCGCAGGTCACTTTGGAGCAGATAAGACGGCTAAGACGCTTAGTCGCACGTACTACTGGCCCGGGCTTGCAGCAGACGTAGAGGATTACATTCGCTCGTGCGACACGTGTCAGCGTACGAAGTCCTCTCGCCAGCGCAAGGCAAGACTTTTGCAGCCGATTCCACCGCCCGACCGCCCTTGGCAGGTAGTTACCATGGACTTCATCATGGCTTTACCGCGCACAGTTAGGGGTCACGACGCCATCTTCGTGGTAGTGGATAAGTTTTCTCGAGCAGCGCACTTCATCCCCACGCACGGCAAGGTCACAGCAGAGGAAGCCGCGACGCTGTTCGTAGATAACGTAGTCCGACTGCACAGGGTTCCAGATTCCATCATTTCCGACCGCGACCCTAGATTCACCTCGAAGTTCTGGAAGCAGCTTTTCGCACTGTTTGGGACTCGCTTAGCCATGTCGTCAGCGTACCATCCAGAGACAGACGGACGGACTGAGCGTGTGAACCAGACCTTGGAGCAGATCCTTCGCAGCATCACGATGCACGACGCAGCCGCATGGGACAAGAAGCTGAGCATGGCCAAGTTCGCATACAACAACACGCACCACTCGTCCACATGAATGTCACCGTTCTTTGCACTTTACGGTCAGCACCCCAATGTCCCCACTCGTGTCGATCTCACACCCACTGTCCCTCGTGCGGACAACTTCCATCAGCATCTCACCTTCATTCATGATCACGTGAGGAAGCATTTTGAGCTCGCAAATGCACGCATGGCACGCACCACCAACCGCAGTCGTCGTGAGGTGTCGTTCGCAGTCGGCGACCGTGTTCTCTTGGATAGCCGCAACCTCCGACTGCGATAGGACAGCAAGCTTCGTCCACGTTTCATTGGTCCATTCGTCATTGAGCGCGCACTTGGTCCAGTCGCATACCGCCTCCGCCTTCCCGCTCATTTCCGCATGCACCCGTCATTCCACGTGTCGCTTCTTCGTCCTTACACCGATCCCAACGCCACCTTCTCGGGCCGTGACCGCACTCCACTGCCGGTAGCTGTTGACACCAACGAGCCCGACTACCAGATCCAGCGCATCCTCAGGCACCGTCGCCGTCTCCAGGGAGGTGTCCCTTTCATCGACTTCTTGGTTCGTTGGCGTGGTTACGACGCAGCAGACGACAGCTGGGTTCCTTCGTCCTCGCTGTCTCCCGACAACGCTTGCCTCCAAGCGTACCTCCAGTCTGCAGGCGCCGCGGACGTCGCCTCCTTGGGAGGGGGGTAGTGTTAAGGGGGGATTTACTGTTCATTCCGAACAGTACTTTCCAACTCACCCTTATCCTTATCTTCCTAGATTTCCTAGTGCCACGTGGCACTCTACTTTTCTTGCCTTCAATTCCTAGTCCCACGAAGTACTTTCCGACATTCGATCTTGCATGCTATATCAACCTTGCTTGTACTTGCCATTATCAATCAATTCTCATTCAACTCTTCTTCAATTACTCAGTAACTTCCTCGCCTATTTCGCCAATAGTTCTTTCGCCAATGTCTTCCGCCGCATTTCATCCTCGACTTAGTCGACCCCGCTATTTCTTTAGCGGACTTAGGCCGTCGGGCCTAACACAAGCGGATAGGGTTCTGTCACCAGGAGACCTTGGGCATGGGCTTGCCCGTGGCATGGCACCGTGTTCAACCGCTCAGTTTCTCTGGAACCGTTCCCGCCAAAATCTCCACGTAACACCACATTTGCGAAAAGGACGACGAGGCGTCCTTCGCGATCCCCAAACGCGCATGCGATGGTGACTGTATGTGGCTGTCAGCACTGTTAGCCAAGAGAGTGATGGCAGCGAAACAATTTATATCCTAGAGATAACATGAAATACTGGGAATTTCAGAATGTGAACAGACTAGAGTGTGTGCTTATGCATGTGGGTGAGAAAGACTCAGCTCTTCTAGTCGTGAACCACCATGCTAAACAACACTGAACCAACTCCCCTTTTTATGCGAGACTAGCCTACCAGTTCCCAATCTCATCTCCCAACCAATACCGTATCACACCTCCCCATTCGACCATAACAACCTCCTTTCCTTTCGCCTTGTTCCTCGAGTCCTTCGCATTCTTCAGAACTATATTAATAGCACTGGTGATGCTTGTTCAGCTCTGTACACTTACTACTGTACCACTATGAGAGCTTGGTAAGGTAGCGTGCAATATCAGGGTCGTCCAGAGGAACATCGAGGTCCCCTCGTATGCGGAACAGCTGCTTCACAAAGAGAGGTGGCTCCTCCGCCTTCACTCGACTCAATGCAGCCTCTAACTGTTCTTTTGTACCGAATTTCTCTGAAGAGTGTATGAGGGAGGCAAAGGGGGGTGTGGGCGAAAAGGAATGGAGAACATTTCACAAAGAGAGGCGGCTCCTCCACCTTCACTCTGCTTAACGCTGCCTCCAGCTGCTCCTTTGTTCCGAATTTCTCGTGGAAGAGTCCGGAAGGGGGAGGCAAAGGAGAGTGTGGACAAAAAGGAGTGGAAAGTATTTCACAAGAGAGAAGCGGCACGTCCGCCTTCACTCGACTCGATGCCGCCTGCCACTGCTCCTTGCTGCCGAGTTGCTCTGGAGGGGGGAGAGAGGGGGAAGGGGGACATGAGGCAACATCAGGAGAGGCGGCTCGTCCGCCTTCACTCGACTCAATGCTGCCTCCAGCTGCTCCTTGCTGCCGAAATTCTCTGGGGAGAGGGGACGAGAGGAATTGAAAGGTGGGGGAGGAAAGGATTATGGGGTGGGGATTGAGAGAAAATGGGAGTGAATGGAAGGGAATGAGAGGGAATGAGAGGAAAGGGAATGAGAGGGACTGAGTGGGAATGAGAGGGAAGGGAATGAGAGGGAGTGACAGGGAATGAGAGGGAATGAAAGGGAACGGGAGGGAATGGATGGAAATGAAAGGGAATGAAGGAATAAAAACGCTGTACCACTACAAAAACCCCCCAAGGGAAGGAAACGGGAAGACGGGAGTGTAAGCAAAAAAGGGTGGGTGGTGGGGAAGCATCGAGGAACGCATCTGAACGTGGGGAGGCTAAGATGGTCAAGAGAGAAGGACGGGGGGGAGGGGAAAAAGGAAGAGGGGGAAAGGGGAGCAGAATTCAGAGAGGAATCGGAAGAGAGGATGATGTAAATGATGATCTTTCGAGAAATCTTAGGATACCTTGCACTCGGTCAAGCGCTCTGGCAACGGCGGGATCGAGGCGAGGCAGCGTGGGAAGCACGCCCGTGGCGAGAACCTCGGGAGTGAGCTCTACCTCTGTGCTGCTGTGCCGTGCACCCGATGCCATGCTTCCGCTGCTGATAGATGGGTAGAAGGGGAGGGGAACAGGGAGGAGCAGGATTGAGGCAGCGTATCTGTGCTACGTGCCGCCATTTGCCCTGCTGGCGTGAGGGGTTGGAAGGGAGGGGGTGGAAGGGAGGGGGTGGAAGGGAGGGGGTGGAAGGGAGGGGGTGGAAGGGAGGGGGTGGAAGGGAGGGGGTGGAAGGGAGGGGGTGGAAGGGAGGGGGTGGAAGGGTGGGAAGCACGCCCGTGGCGAGAACCTCTGGCGTCAGCTCCACTTCCGTGACTGTACTGCGTGCTGCCGCAGATGCCATGCTGCTGGGGGGAGAGGAGAAGGGGAAGGAGGAGGAAAGAGCGTGAGAGGCACAGCCCCATGGAAGTGCAGGGCTCTCGTCAACACCCTGGCGAGGCTTTCAAACAATCGAATTCTACCTCAAACTCGTGTAAAAGAGAGTCAAACTCTCGTATCGCGCTTCTCTTTTTCGAGTCAGACTCAAAAATCGGCTCAACCCTCGTGTAACGCTGCGAGCTAAGGGAGTCGGTAATGAGGTTGCCTGGTAGCTGCCTGGCATTCTGACGCTTTCAGCCCACCCGCACAAGGGAATACTGCAAACTTTAGCTCGTTTTAGAGAGATTTCGAATGAACGGAACGACAATACGATACAGGAAAATGTTTCCCTGTATGATTCCGTTTTTCCGTGAGTGGACGTCTATCATACCACGGAAACCGAGCCTTACCGAAGCTAATGGCTTGTCTACTCGAGACGGAGCAGGGATCGGGACAGGTTCGCCTGATACGCCAAGGTATAATGGGGGGTAAGAGCGCGGCGCGAGGGTGAAAGAGGAGGTGGACGTGCGTACGCTGTTAGGAAGACATGGTAAGGTAAGGAACTGTCACTCATACGGTATCAAGGTTCTGTACAAGATTTTTAAATATACGGTACGCATGTTTTGCTCCATGTTTCCTTCCTGCCATGAGTGTCCACCATTTGGAAGGTAAGGACACGTGCAGGATTATGCATGAAGATCTAATGGTTATATCATTGCAGGCACTACTGGTTGAGTCTGGTTACTGCTATCTGCAAACCATTTGAAGGAAAATGAATCAATTCACAAGCCTAAGAAGACAATTTGTCAGTACAAACCTCAATAACAACCAACCTTAGTAGGGCCATCGGCCAAAGCTGTATGAAACAAAAACCTTACTGGAATTGCCATCATTGCACCTGCCCTGCCGTCCTCTTAGCCCCACAAAAGCTGCTGGTTTCCACAAACTGCAAGAAGCAGAGTGGAGTGGTACCAAACCATACATACCAGCCATCCCACAAACGCAACCCCTCTGCCCCACCCCCCCTTCCCCCCTAGCACAACCAAATCACCATCCTGTGGCTGTTCAGATCTGCATATGCAACAATCACATCCGCATCAGTCACATCTGCCACAGTCACTCCCCTCCCCGTCTTCATTGCCCCCCAGGCGGGGGGGGCATGCCTGGGCGCGGGGGGCCATACATCCCCGGATGCCCCCCTGGCGGAGGGGGCATCCCCGGCCTGGGCGGACCCATCATCCCTGGCGGAGGCATTCCCCCCGGCGGGGGCATTCCCCGCCCGTACTGCATCGGCGGCGCACCGCCTGGCGGAGGGCCGCGCGGGGGGAATTGCGGAGGCGGACCGCCAGGGGGACCGTAACCGGCGGGCGGGGGAGGCATGCCCGGGCGCGGGGGACCCTGGGGGTACATGGACGGGGGAGGGCCCATCCCGGGCGGGCGCATTCCGCCTGGCGGGGGGGGCATCCCCGGCCGCGGCGGAGCTCCCCCAGGGAAACCCGCGGGCGGGGGGAACGAGACGGGAGGCGGACGGCCAGGAGCAGCGCCAGCCGCGCCTCCAGGAGCCTGGTACGAGATCGGCGGAGCCGCAACTTGCGGGCGCGGCTGCATCAACGACGGCGCCGGTCCCCCCACTCCACGCGCGGGCCCCGCCAAGCCGGGCTGCGCTTGACCGAGCGGAACCGTCGGAACTCCGCGCCCTGCCGCGCGCCCAACACCGGGTCCCCCTGCCGCTGCGCCGGCGGCTCTCCCACGGTTCTCATCCTGCGGCGGCGGGCCTTCGACGGTAAGACTAACTACCTCCTCCCCGCGGAGAATAAGTAGCCCTAATGTCCGGCGCTCCTCGCGGTCCTCCGGCGCCTTGGAGCCCTTTTTGGGCGGCAGCTTGCGGAACTCCTCGCAGTCCCCCAGGACGAGGTTCATGTGGCGATCGTAGGCCATGAATTTCCCGACGAGCTCGCGGCCATCGGTGACGGTGACGCGCATGCGGTAGTTGATGTACTGTAGCAGCTTAGATCCCTTGGACATCGACATGGCGCCTCGATTTTCAGCGCCGTCGACGGAGGGAAAGAGGATTAGTTATCAAAAGGACGACTCGTCAGATCATATGTACTTGAGTTATGAAGACACTGAAGGGTGGAGGGGTAAGTACTAGCGGGGCTGACGGGAGGGAGGCACCAGAAAAAAATGTCGAGCTTTAGGGTTGAGCCTCTCTTTTAGTATAGACCTTCGAGATCAGAAGCGGGACAGACATTTGCTGGTTGGAAAGTGTAACGTGTTTGAAGTGCGTGAGGAATATAAAATGCATATTACTATCCCCACCAACATTCACTGGAAATCTGTGCTCCTATTCACATATCAAATGGAACCTTCTATGACTTAATTCTCATATATTATCATAGAAACTTCTATGAAGTAAATATATGTTTGAGAAATATATATTTCAAGAATTATAACATTTACACGTACTCTTGGTGTGTACTTGATTACCTCATGTGGATAAGAGGTCTGAAGTGCACAGCAGGATTGCTGCTTCTCGGTGTATATGTCCCGATGTCATCTTGCCGCGTATGTCAGAATCCCAATGAAGCACATGGCACAGTGGCCAATGGTGGCGCCAAGTTCTGTCAGCGCGACGAGGAATCCCGCACTGACAGGTCGAACAGCCTGCTTTTCCTGATCGAATGGGTTCGTTCGCACGTCCACTTTTGAGTCGCTGCTGGCGACTGTCTGACGACTTTTGAAACCTCGGGGTCGCCGTCGACCTGCGTTTCGCGAAAACTAGTTCCCATCGCACATCAGTTCGAAAACTCTGTGCATCCCTGGCGACAATCTGACGACAGTGGAGGGAAGCCTCGATAGAGCCTTGCGATGCGATGACCATCAAGGTCGTGCGACGGACTCGCTTCGCAGGCAAGCCCATCAGTTCTTCCCCATCAGTTCGCAGCCAACCCATTTGAGGCACCCGCATCTGGTTTCCTAGATTCTACCATCTCCGCTTCTCAAGTCACCAACTAGTTGATTCACACATCTTCCCAGATTATAGTGTCATTATTTGAAGTCGCTGCTCCATTCTGCTGTCTTAGCTTCTCTGCGGTTTCTTACCCTAGCTGGTCGATAGGGCTATTGTCATCATGCCGCAGATCCAGTATTCTGAGAAATATTTCGACGACGTCTACGAGTACAGGTATCCAACTTGTTACCGTTTGTCATCCATCCGAGTGCAGGACAGCAGCCGAACTAGTAGTCCATGGCCCTGAAACTGAACGTTTCGTTTTGTCGGGTGCCTCTTGCAGGCATGTAGTTCTCCCCCCTGATGTGGCGAAGTTACTTCCGAAGAACAGGCTGCTGTCCGAGGTAATTGTTGTCATTGGTGTTCTGACTGAGAATATGGCATGCATGGTCAGAGTTCCAACCTGACAGCTTTTTTGTTGCTGATGTTGACTGTCTGCAGGCTGAATGGAGGAGCATTGGCGTGCAGCAATCTAGAGGATGGGTTCACTACGCTATTCATCGGCCCGAACCTCACATCATGCTTTTCCGTCGGCCACTGAACTATGGACAGCAGGTTCAGCCGCCGACGCAGCAACTTCAGCAGCAAGTAGGAGCATAAGATACTACTGCGGCGACCACATACGGCTGGTGCAGAGGATTTGACCGAACAAGCGTCACCATTCCTCTGTCGCCAAGCATAACCTGTGTCTAGGGAAAAAACAATCTGTCAATACTCAACCCCTAGTTGCGATTCCTATTTTTTTCTATTTTATATTAAGAGGTTCCCACTTAGATGTCATCCAGGCTTTACTGCACATCTTCCATGCACAGTATGCTTGGTACCATACTCCGTAACCTAGTGAAGCTCCTTGGTGCTCCTATTTTAACAAGGAACTCCAGCTGGTAGATTCTTTAAAGTACATAATAAATAACAGTCATCCACTCTCTTGGAAAAATACAACTCAGTCAGTTTGGTTGGCTGTAACAGGTTATGTCTCAACACCCAACACTTGTCCAAGTGATCAGCCAGATTCCTCCTTTTCTTGCTGGAATAATGATCCTTCATTATCAAAGAGTGCAATTACAGAGCAATACTGTACCATATTATCAAAGAATGTCAGCCTGGTCTGGAAAAACATCAGAGCGCCTAAAGATTGCATGAGAATCACACTAGTGACAGCTTTTCACGTCTACCTATCTTCAAAGGTAACCTTTTCCTCAAACAAAGTTGAACACAAAGCCACTCAAAGCAACTGTACAGCAGCAATCGATGGAATTTTCTCCCTGAGCTTTTGAGTAACAGCCACTCTGACCGTCATTACTCCTGCTGCGGGCCCATCGATCCTGACCTTCACAATCGGCGGATCAATCTTCACAAGAGTCAGCTCCCCACCACCCGTTCCTACCAAATATGGCCTGATCTCGGACAGCACCTGCAAAAAAGAAACTATCAGTACACATCTCTGAACAAACAACAAATCATAATCAGGTAAAACACGATGCATTAGCCACAGAAAGACTCTCACCTTTTCCACATTCTCCTCGTCCAGTGGAAGGCCCGTCTCTTGGTCCGTGATCTGCTCGACAGAGACTATTTCTGGAATCTTCTCCATCAACCTCCGTTCGATCCCCATCTTCATGGTCATTGTGGAACTCGGGCACGAGCCACACGCACCCTGAAGCCGCAGCTTCACGACGAGACCGTCAATGTCGTACAGTTCCACATTGCCGCCGTCCGCCATCAAGTACGGTCGAACCTCGTCAAGAACCTTCTCAACGTTTTCCTCAGTCAGCTCCAAGCCCTCGGTAGAGACATCGCCTTGTGAAGCAAGAGCGGCTGCTGCAATACACAATAGCATGGATGCTCAATTGCTCCGGCTGATTGACATGATGTAATTTTGTGAGTTTTATGCCAGCGTACCTGTAGGTTCTCTTCTGGAGTACCTCTGCTCCCCGATACTCTCCGCGTTTCTGGCTAGGGGTGCAGCACGAAACTGCATGGTAGAAACGCTTCCCGTCATAAACTAAACAAGTTGAAGAAGACAATACGACTGGAAATGACGTGATCCACGAGCTAAGCTTCACCTGTCGACCTAGACGTGATGGAGCGGTTGCTGAACTGACTAACGTCGATGCTTCCCTGACGACGCCACTGAATGGAGCGAGACGAAGCGAGATAGTTGCCATGGTTCAACGGAACTTCGATAAGAAAGAATCGGCTAGCTGCGTCAACAAGATTTTACCCGCTCCACCACACAATTTTCAGCAGCTCCTAAAAAAAGGAGCAGAGTAAACTTGTGTAAGTGCTGTTCACGCAACGTTGATGTAAATGCGATTCTAGTCACTTGCTTCAATACCGCCGACCCTCCGTTCACGCCGCTCACGCAACGTTGGGCGTCACGCTCCTCAGTCACGCAAGGACTCGTCTGAGGTTACGGGAGAACTGCGCCTGGCACGCACAGCTGTATGGCTGGCTGGACTGGGATAGTGGGGGGGGAGTGTGTGTGCCTAGACTGGGCTAGGGATATGTACGTACCAGAGGGAAGGGTTGTGGAGTGGTTGTAGGGGACGGACGGGGTCGGGGAAATGGGGGGGTATCTGGAGGAGGAACCTGTGACCTGCACGAGACCGGCTTCTTGGTTGCCGTTCGATTCAAGCATGCTCGGGAAAAGGCAATGTCGACTCCAGTGCTTTTATGACACTTGGCACAATAAGGTGACGTGGCAGTTGTCGGCAGTTATGCTATTTGCGAGTGGCTGTGTTCGTGTACGAAGCAACACTGAATCCATAGGTGAAGTTACGGACAACAAAAAATACTGCTGGTATCATGTGAAGGCTTGGAAAAATACTTGGAAACAAAAACATATTTCTTCCAACATACAAAACAGCACTCATTGTGGGCTGACTAAACGCATAACGCCTCAATCGACTTCAAGCATTCCCTGGCCCTTTTGAAAGCCTGCGAGATCGTCTGGTCGGAGCCACTTCCCAACCGTCGGCCACCTCCTCTTGTGTCAGCAACGGCTCCGGAGGAGTTTCTTTAGCAGCTCTATGCGATCCCGAACCAGAAGCTCCCATCCCAGCACCCCTTCCTGGCGCATCTTCATCCATGGCTCCTCCGTTCCCCACTTCCTCCACGTCAGAATCACTGTCATCGCTGTATGCGTTGCGGTTTGCCTGTGAAAACAAGCACACACACCAGCATGCAGGAACAAACATGAGTTTAAGAAGTAAAAGTAAACGCAACACACGTTCAAAATTCAATTCTGGTACCATCTACTGCATTCATTTTTTTCTCCCCTGCCTGCACAATCATCCAGCCCATGCTGACTCACCGCCCAGCCAATGCTGACTCACCGCTTTGCTCTGCTGCAGTGCCGCTCGCCTTCCCTTGGCAGCAGCGGCTGCCTCCTCTGCTTGCAGCTGCTGCACGAGAGTGAAACTGCCGTCTCGACAAGCCTTGAACACCTCAACTACCTTATCTGCCACCTGCGGGTGGAAGGATGGAAGAGAGAAACGAGGAGAGAGCAAGAAAGAGGAAGATGGGAGCAGAAGGGATAAGTCAAGGAAATCAACACAAGGATTGCCCACTTCTTCACCCAGTCCTCCTTTGAGACACCTCAATCACCATCCATTAGTTTGAGGCAGCTACATGCAGCAAAGCACAGACGGCATCTGCTCAGCTTGCTTCACCTTTCACCTTATCTCCACTCCTTCCACTCCCCTCCCCATGCGTTTCCTTCACGCCCACTTGCTTCCCTCATCAGGCTCCTCGCAATCAACTGGCACCTGCGTCCCTAGTATGTGCAGACAGTGCAGTGCAGCTGTTATCTACGATTTTCCTTCCAGCATCAATTCTCCTCCGCCTTCCTGTGACTCCCTCTCTCACCTCTCTCAGGCTCCCATCCTCCACCTCCACGTTGAAATCCCTAAAACGTGCGGCTGCACTGCACCCCACCTGCTGTCCACTTATCGATCCTCCTCTCACCTCCCTCCGGCTCCCATCCTTCACTTCCATGTTGAAACCCCTCCTCTAATGCATGCTGAACTCCCTCACTGCCGCCTCGTCCAGCTGGCATCCGAGCTGGCGTCCAGCTGGCATCCGAGCTGGCTTCCAGATAGCCGAGCTGGCGTCCAGCTCGTCCTGACTCACCTCTCGCAGGCTCCATCCTCCACCTCCATGTTGAAGTCCCTCACAATGTCACACAACTGTACCCCGCCGTTTTTCCACTAACTCACTAACCATCAATCCTCCTCTCAACGCCCTCCTTACTCACCTCTCGCAGGCTCTATCCTCCACCTCCATGTTGAAGTCCCTCACTGCAGTTTGGTGTCACTGCTAACCGCATTGCACCTGCACCCACCGATTCTTCACTTGAATATGACCCTCTCACCTCTCTGAGGCTCCCATCCTCCACCTCCATGTTGAAGTCCCTCACCGTCGCCTCGTCCAGCCACTCCTCCAGCTCGTCCCCGTACACCGCTCCTGGTACACTCACCACAGCAATGAGAAAAACGATATAATACATAAAGCGTTTTTCAGTAACACCCGTTTTTCAGTAAATTAATCAGTCTCTCACCAACATCCCGTTTTTCAGCATAGTTGCCAAAAGCGTTGATGTTTCTGCACTGTGCAAGACGACGTGGGCACTGATTGGCGGTTTGGCCGCCACGAATAATTGCTCCCCATAACGGCTTAATACTCCCTTTCCCCTTCACCTTTTTCCCCCGCCCCACCCGCGCTTGCGGACCAGGTCCGCCTGCAGGTGTCGCGCCTTCCCCGCTCTCCCCCGCTTATCGCGCAAAATCCCCCCCACCTTCGCCGCTTACCGCGCTTGCTGTAGCAGAAATGCACCAGGTCCGCCTGCATGTGTTGCGCCTTCTCCGCGCTCCTTCCGCCGCCCCACTGATTCTCCACCGCCAGCTGCAGCGCAGTCCAGCGCGCAAACACCAGGCGCACGCCCTCGCGGAACCACCCGTCCGCGTGCTGCTCCGCCGCCGTTATGGGGACGGGCACGGGGCCGGGGAGAATCGCTCCGCTGCGCAGCTCCATGGTCGGGGGAAAGATGGCACGCGGAAGGGGAGGATACGCGTAATAACGTTGCGCGGGGCGGAATTGCGCGGAAGAGGTTGCGCGAAAATAATATATGCGGAAACTGATGCGCGCGGAAAAGGCGCGGAACACCTGCCTGTCAGAAAAAGAGTCGTGACTGAGAAAGTGGGGAAGCGCAATGCCTGCAAGCAAGTGTAAGGGGAGAGGGGATTAGCCAAGGGGTTGAGTTGGGTTGGAGGGTGAGAAAGCTCACTGGTTGGTTGGGTTCGTTGGTTGTCTTTGAAAGTTTGTCCCGAAAATACGAAACTTTGCGGTGTAAACAGTTTCTCTTTGAGTTGTAAACGGATCATCTCGTCACGAGTACGGAATCCACTTCTTGTTTGCGGTCCGTCCCAGAATAGACATTCCCAAGGTCGCTCTGACACTCCCGCCAGGCAACACCGCAGCATTCTCCCAGGCAAACCCAGCTCGCGCTGCTCCTAGTCTCTCGCCTCTGCTCTTGAGGCTCTTAGCCTGATAACTCTATTGATCACTATAATGCATCGCTTGATTCGCTTTTGCCGGGGATTGGCGGGACTGCAGTCTTGGTGGTGCCATTGAGAAGGTTTGCCAGTCCTCATTCGTCTTGCGAGTTCGTTAGCTTCCGCGATCGTAGGGTTCGCTAGATTCGTTAGCCTTGCGAAAAGTTTTTCGCTAGTCCTCAGTCGCCTTGCGAATTCTTCAACCTCCAGGCTTTCTCAGCATCTTTGCGAAGAGTCTTGATCTCGCTAATCTAGTTCCTTCGCTAATCCTTCGGCATCTTGAAACCTGCTCGGCATTTACGATTGCCTCCTAGAATCAAATCCTGGTGACGCGATCACGTTCAGTGAAGACACGTGGCAGTTTCTAAGGCACCCAGCTGGCGCGACCAGAGGCAGAGAGGGTGAACGGATAGCGACACGTGCAACCAAGAACAGCTCACTAGGAAAATACCGTTTCTCCATGGCTGCTCATGCTCATAACGGGACCAGTAACCCCCGCAATAACGCGTACAGCGGACCCTTATCGCCGTCGGCGGGTCTGGGCAGAACGGGAAGTGTTACTACAGGGGGGGGTGTGACTACAGCAGGGTCGGTGAGCGACAGCAGCAAGGCGGCCAGCGCGTTATGGCTCATGGCGTCACACTTCGAGAGTACACATCAGATTCCGCAGGTGAAGCGTTGACGTGCTTGCCCCTGGTAATTTTCTAATCAATGGACTCCGATTCGTCCCTGTTACAGACCATCTCACCTTCCCTCGGGTCCCCCCCCTCTCTCTGCAGGTAGTGAAGTGTCTAGAAGCCGTGTGTCAGAGCCCCCAGCCGTTCCTTCCTCTTGTGGAGGTTCGCACGCAGTACTGGTTGGCCCACGTGTTGACCCCCGCACCTCCTCTCCAACCCGGCCACTCCCCTACCCTTCTTGCAGTTGGTGAAGTGCTTGGAAGCCGTGTGTCAGAGTCCCCAGCCGTTCCTTCCTCTCGTGGAGGTTCGCACCCGCTGCTGGCTGGCTCATGTGCTACTGAAACACTCCCGCTATGTGCTGCACGCCAAGGCACATCTCGAGAGAGCGGTAAGACTTGGTGATGTGCGGTGATTAACAGTTCCAGTAGGGTATGGTGGAGGTTTGCACGCGGTGCTGATTCGCTCACGTGCTGTTGAAACACTCCCGCAACGTGCTGCACGCCAAGGCGCATCTCGAGAGAGCGGTGAGATGCGGTGGCGACTGGTGCGCAGTGGTTGAGTGGGACTGGTAGAATCTGATAGTGGTCTCAATCTCAACCTGGTACTGGCTGGCTGGAGTCTTTTGAGACGTGTCAAAAGATGTGCTGCTGTGCAGTCCACAGCTTCCCGCCTTTACCCTCCTTCCCACCTGTGGCGTGGTGCACTCTCTTTCCCTCTGCCCTCTCCCCCGTCTCCCCCCCTCTTTTCCAATGCAGCAAGTGCTTCTGAAGGCCATTCCTGGGAATATCCCCCTCAAGTGCACGGCCCTCTCTCTGCTCGCCACGTGTTACCACCTGATTGGCCACGCCCACTTTCACAAGCACATACTTCAGAAGGGCATCGATCTAGTCACACACCAGCTCGCCACACTCCCACGCTCAGCCTCGGGTTCTGAATCAGGTCCCAGCTCGGCTGCAGGCTCGGGGTTAGGTTCGGGAGGAGGTTTGGGCGGAGGTTCGGGCGGAGGGTCGGCGGCGGAGCTGGCTCGGTGGATGGGGGTGTTTTCAGTGGGGATGGCGGGGCGGTTGCTGGGGGAGGGGGATGTGGAGGGGGCTGCTGCTGCATTGGCGAAGGGGATGGCTGCTGTACAGACGACAGGGGATAGGGGCATGATGGTAAGCGTGTCTTGCTGATGTGAAGGGGCACTTGAGTGTTAGTTGTGTATGTATGTAGCACGTTGGCAGGGCGGCTGCTGGGGGAGGGGGATGTGGAACGGGCTGCTAGTGCGCTGGGGAAGGGGACGGCTGCTGTACAGACGACAGGGGATAGGGGCATGATGGTACGTGTGTGTGTGGTGGAGGGAAAGGGGGGGAAAGGGGAGGGGGAGGAGGGGGGAGGAAGGTGGGAGTAGGTGTGTATGTGTATATTTTTGTTTATGTATTCGCTATTGCGTGCATACCAGTTGGTGAAGAGCATGCGAGTCTAGGCGATGTTATTCCATGCGAGAGCTTCCGCTAGCTGATATGCCACTCCTCTCCTCTCTTCCCTCCCTCCCTCCCTTCCCTTCCTATCCCTTCCGCCCCTTGATACATTTCACCACCAGCTCCTGCTATCCGCTTCCCTGCTGCACATTCGCATCTCGACCGTCCATCACACGCCACAGCAGATCTCAGCCCTTCTTTCGGACTGCACCTCGTTGTGGCAGCAGATCCCGCCACGTCAGCAGCCAGACTACCGTGGCCTGTTCGTCTACGTCCAATTACTGGCTGCCACGTGGCACCTCCGCATGGCTGACTACAACCAGGCCAAGGCTGACGTGGCAGCAGCAGAGGAGGCACTGGCGGGGATGAGTCCCGCTGCAGCGAATCGTGAGGCGCCAGCTGGCAGCTCGCCAGTTGCTGCGTCAGCGCCACGTCAGCAGCAGCAGGGCGGGAATGTGCATGCACAGAGGCTGGGGCAGGATACAGGAGCAGTAAGAGCAGTGGGTGCAGCAGGAGCAGCAGGGGCAGCAGGAGGGGTGATGGGCAACGGAGCAGGGGCAATGGTCGCAGGGGAAGGAGGAGAAGCGTCAGGCGCATGTTTCAGGGATGATCTGTTGATGCGGTTACCACTGGGCCCGCCCCACGTGCTCAATGCTGATTGGCTGCCGCTGCCAGCTGTCAGGGCGGTGGCAGGCCTGCTAAAGGTCATGCTGAGCCGCCCGGGAGGAAAGCTCCTGGAAGCTGAGGGGGCGTTGAAGGAGGAGAGGGAGATGCTGCGAGGTGGGTGGGGGGTGTGTGAGAGAGTAGCGATGTGGCTGTTGATGTGTGACGCACTTATTCTTAGTACTAACCCCACTGGGGTTGAGGGGCAATGCAATGCGCCCAGTGGGGTGTGACATGGGTTATGACATAGAATTCTGCGCATGGTTGCTGCCGATCCTTCCAGTGTTGTCTCGCCACCCCTCCCATCCCTCCTTTTCTTCATTTCCCATACAGTATCGCGTCCTTCCCATCTTCGTCTTCCTGTTTCCTCCTCCTGCTGCAAGTTTCCAGTCCTCTCATTCCTCTCCTTTGTCTCAAAACTCTTTCTCCCCTGCACCTGCTCGCATGCTCCTTCCCATCCCCCTGTCATTCTCACCATTCTCGAAATCTTCACCCTTTCAGATGAGCTTCACCGCATCGGGGTCCTCCCAGGCTCTACAGGTACCCTCCCTCACTCACACCCTTGCGTCGTTTCTGAGAAATATCAAGAGTCACTTTTGAGAATCTTCACAAGTGACTGAACGGGTACGCTCACACTCTTGCTTCCCTTGAGCCATATGAAGAGGCACGTTTGATGTTTCTCTGAAGTGGTTCAACAGGTAAGTTTGGACATGCTTCCTCACCTAGTAAGGGCACGCCTATCCAGCCCACGAATAGCAGTGCTCCTCTCAATGGCTCCTAGCGTGGAGACTCTGCAATTGGAACCACGAATACAGTTCTCTGACTCCCTACTTCATGTGTCAAAACCCGTGATTCTCATTGCAGAGTCTACTCTGGAGCCATGGAGTGTGGCGTGGGCCGGCACGCTCCTGCTCTTGCTCCTCTCCACCACACCTTCTTGACCGTTTATAGCCCGTTTCCCTCCACTCACTCCCATCACAGAGTCCACTCTGGAGCCGTGGAGTGTGGCGTGGGCCGGCACGCTCCTGCTCTTGCTCCTCTCCACCACACCTTCTTGACCGTTTATAGCCCGTTTCCCTCCACTCACTCCCATCACAGAGTCCACTCTGGAGCCGTGGAGTGTGGCGTGGGCCGGCACGCTCCTGCTCTTGCTCCTCTCCACCACACCTTCTTGACCGTTTATAGCCCGTTTCCCTCCACTCACTCCCATCACAGAGTCCACTCTGGAGCCGTGGAGTGTGGCGTGGGCCGGCACGCTCCTCCTCTTGCTCCTCTCCACCACACCTTCTTGACCGTTTATAGCCCGTTTCCCTCCACTCACTCCCATCACAGAGTCCACTCTGGAGCCGTGGAGTGTGGCGTGGGCTGGCACGCTCCTGCTCTTGCTCCTCTCCACCACACCTTCTTGACCGTTTATAGCCCGTTTCCCTCCACTCACTCCCATCACAGAGTCCACTCTGGAGCCGTGGAGTGTGGCGTGGGCCGGCACGCTCCTGCTCTTGCTCCTCTCCACCACACCTTCTTGACCGTTTATAGCCCGTTTCCCTCCACTCACTCCCATCACAGAGTCCACTCTGGAGCCGTGGAGTGTGGCGTGGGCCGGCACGCTCCTGCTCTTGCTCCTCTCCACCACACCTTCTTGACCGTTTATAGCCCGTTTCCCTCCACTCACTCCCATCACAGAGTCCACTCTGGAGCCGTGGAGTGTGGCGTGGGCCGGCACGCTCCTCCTCTTGCTCCTCTCCACCACACCTTCTTGACCGTTTATAGCCCGTTTCCCTCCACTCACTCCCATCACAGAGTCCACTCTGGAGCCGTGGAGTGTGGCGGGGGCTGGCACGCTCCTGCTCTTGCTCCTCTCCACCACACCTTCTTGACCGTTTATAGCCCGTTTCCCTCCACTCACTCCCATCACAGAGTCCACTCTGGAGCCGTGGAGTGTGGCGTGGGCCGGCACGCTCCTCCTCTTGCTCCTCTCCACCACACCTTCTTGACCGTTTATAGCCCGTTTCCCTCCACTCACTCCCATCACAGAGTCCACTCTGGAGCCGTGGAGTGTGGCGTGGGCCGGCACGCTCCTGCTCTTGCTCCTCTCCACCACACCTTCTTGACCGTTTATAGCCCGTTTCCCTCCACTCACTCCCATCACAGAGTCCACTCTGGAGCCGTGGAGTGTGGCGTGGGCCGGCACGCTCCTGCTCTTGCTCCTCTCCACCACACCTTCTTGACCGTTTATAGCCCGTTTCCCTCCACTCACTCCCATCACAGAGTCCACTCTGGAGCCGTGGAGTGTGGCGTGGGCCGGCACGCTCCTGCTCTTGCTCCTCTCCACCACACCTTCTTGACCGTTTATAGCCCGTTTCCCTCCACTCACTCCCATCACAGAGTCCACTCTGGAGCCGTGGAGTGTGGCGTGGGCCGGCACGCTCCTCCTCTTGCTCCTCTCCACCACACCTTCTTGACCGTTTATAGCCCGTTTCCCTCCACTCACTCCCATCACAGAGTCCACTCTGGAGCCGTGGAGTGTAGCATGGGCCGGCACGCTCCTCCTCTTGCTGCTCTACACCGTGTGAGCTGCCTCATCAGTCAGTTTATTCCACGTGTCTCTCCCTTGCCTTGCTCCCCTTCCACTCTCTCACTCCCATCACAGAGTCCTCTCTGGAGCCTTGGAGTGTGCCGTGGGCCGGCATGCTCCTGATCTTGCTGCTCTACGTCTTGGAAGCCCAGGCAGTGCTGGCTCTGACGTCCACAGAGTATCTTCTCTCTCAACGGGTAAGCAGTTAATCACAGGCGTGTGGGAGGGAAGGGAGGTCTGTGCCGTGGGCCGGCACGCTCCTGCTCTTGCTGCTCTACATCTTGGAAGCCCAGGCAGTGCTGGCTCTGACGTCCACAGAGTATCTTCTCTCTCAACGGGTAAGCTGCGCATGCAGGCATGTGTGTGTGGGAGGGGGTAGAGTGATGGTGAAGTGTGGCGTGGGCCGGCACGCTCTTGCTCTGGCACCTCTACGTCTTGGAGGCCCAAGCTGTTCTGGCGCTGACTTCTACTGAATACCCCCTCTCTCAACGGGTAAGAAGTTAAGCACAGGCGTGTGGGGGGGGAGCAGGGGGTGCAGAGGGGGTTGGAAGGGAAAGCGGGTAAAATGACGTTCCTCCTCTTGCTCCTCTACGTCTTGGAGGCCCAAGCACCCACGGAGCACCCTCTCTCACAGCGGGTAAGCAGACAGACATAGGAGGTGACTTTTGAGTCGACTCAAAAGGCAGACAGACATAGGCGTGTGTAGGAGGGAGGGAAGGGGGGGGTGGGGAGGATGGGAAAGGGGGGAGGGCGGGCAGGGACGCTCCTCCTCTTGCTCCTCTACGTCTTGGAGGCCCAAGCAGTTCTGGCGCTGACTTGTACCGAATACCCACTCTCACAGCGAGTAAGAAGAAAAATACAGGAGTGTGGTAGGGAGGGGTGGGGATGTGGGGGTTTGGGAGTGGAAATTGGGTATGGTTACTCTCCTTCTCTTGCCCCTACGTCTTTGGTTCTCCTTACTCGCGATTCTTTCTCCTCCTTTCTCCCACCCCTCCCACTCTTTCCCACCCCCCCACCTCTTCCCCACCCACCCCCAACCATTTGAATCCACCACCAGGTTCTGTTGGAGATTTGTGATTGGTCAAGCCGCTTCCCGACCCTGCTGGCCTCGTTCGGTCCGAACCTCCACCTCCTGCTCGGGCAGTACGCCCATGCCACAATCGACCTTCCAATTGCAATCCGCCACTTCAGCACCGCTGCTGCCAAGGTTCGTGACTGCCTTGCTTGCTAGCTCTTTTGATCTCTCTTGCTTTCTTGCTTTCTTGCGTTCTTGCGTTCTTGCTTTCTTGCTTTCTTGCGTTCTTGCGTTCTTGCTTTCTTGCTTTCTTGCGTTCTTGCGTTCTTGCTTTCTTGCTTTCTTGGTCTCTTGCCTCCCCATTTTCACCAATGTGCCATTCACCTCCACAAATATCCACTCCCGTTTTTGTTAACCTTGCAACCCCCGCACACACACACTCGCAGACTACATCCTCCTCCCTCCCCCCACCATCTCCACTATCGCCCCATCTGCTGCCTTCCTCTCTACCTCTCCAGCCACTGCCAAAACCGCTCACAACCACTCATTCTATATGTCTCCCACGCACCCACACCCTTCCAGGGTGCATCCTCCTCCCCCCACCATATCCACCATCGCCCCATCCGCTGCCTGGCCCTCTGCCTGTTCACCTCACAACCATTCCTTTTCGCCTCTTCCCATTCTGTATCTCTCCCATCCACACAACCCCTCAGGCAGCGTCCTCCTCCCGCACCACCTCCACCACCGCCCCATCCGCTGCCTGGCCCTCTGCCTGCAACCACTTCCTTTCCCCTTACCCTCCCGTTTATTGCCCCACCCTACTCCCTTCCCCCCATGCACTCCCTTCCAGGCCGGGTCCTTGTCCCCCCATCATCTCCACCATCGCCCCATCCGCTGCCTTGCTCTCTGCCTCTCTGCCATCGTGCATCTCACCATCGACGACCCCTCACACGGGCACATATCCCAGGCGAGTCTTCTGAGACTGTTGAGTCTTGTGGGCGCGAAACTGCTGTTATTGTTGCAAGGTTCAGGAAATCTTCTGCCGGATGAAACGCCATGCGTATAAGCTCTTTCTAAACAAAAAAAAACAAAAAACAAAACAAAAAGCAAAAAAAAAGAGGAAAAAATGCTCTTGGCTACTCCATCATCTCTTTTGCCGCCTCTTCTTTGGTCATCCATCCCCCTTCATCCAGGCAGTGGACATGCCATCGGCTCTGGAGAAAGAAGAAGCACAGGGCGCCCAAACGCGGCTGCCGCAGCAGCAAGAAGCACACCACGCCTTTAGAGTCCACCCTTCTTTCTTTAGCCATTATCCGTGCTGCCTCCTACTATTCTTGTCCCTCCGCGTTTCTTCAGGCAGTGGACATTCTATCAGCTCTGGAGCAGGAAGAAGCACAGCACGCCCAAACGCGACAGCAGCAGCAGCAACAAGCGGGAGCATTGCCATCACCATCAGCAGCATCACCGTCAGCAGCAGGGGTTGCTACAGGGGAGGAAAGGAAGAGGGAGCAGTGCGCGCAGCTGCTGGCAACAGCTCTGCTGGCGCTTAGACAGGGAAACCTGGTGGATGCTAGGTGAGTCTCTACGTGGTGCCGTGTGTGTTGATGGGGTAAGGTGGGTTTGTGGCGGTGCAAGGTGGGTCTGGTAATCTGGGCTCACTGATTTTTTTAAAATTAACTTGTCTAAGATAAGTCACTTTGGCAAGCGTCATACACTGTTCAATTCCCCTTCTCCCTGTCCTTCCACCTGGCAGGAGCCGACTCGCCCAAGGGCTGTTGGTGACTCACCGCCAGCTCAGCAACCACCAGATTGCCGCCCATTTCCTGCTGGCCATAGGCGGCATTGCACTGCGCACCAGCGACCTTGTTGGAGCAAAGGACATTCTGAGATCTGGGTTGACTCTATTCCGGGCGGCAAGAGATACCCAGGGCGTGGTGGCTGTTGCAGCAGAGTTGTCACGTGAGTTATTTTACTACTCAAATAAATACTAATGCAAAAATGTCTCGAAATCAAAAACACATAGCACTACCACGGCAACCAGCGACCTGGTTGGAGCAACGGACATCCTGAGATCTGAAATAATACTCTAAGGGCGTGGTGGCTGTTGCGTCAGAGCTATCACGTAAGCGTAAAAAGAGGGGGGGAAGGGGAGGGTAAGGGATACAAAGACTTTATTGGAGCAAAGGACATCTTGAGATCTGGACTGATTCTCTTCTGGGCAGCGAGGGACACCCAGGGCGTGGTGGCTGTGGCTTCGGAGCTATCGCGTGAGTGTAAAGAGGTGTTTTGAGGCGCCTCAAAATGCACCTCAATGGCTTCCCCCTCTTCTTCCGCACCTGCCCCGTGCTCCACTCTCTTCCAAGAGGCAAGGGATTCACAGCGCGTGGTGACTTTTGAGGCGCCTCAAAAGTGCTCCACTCTCTTCCAAGAGGCAAGGGATTCACAGCGCGTGGTGACTTTTGAGGCGCCTCAAAAGTGCTCCACTCTCTTCCAAGAGGCAAGGGATTCACAGCGCGTGGTGACTTTTGAGGCGCCTCAAAAGTGCTCCACTCTCTTCCAAGAGGCAAGGGATTCACAGCGCGTGGTGACTTTTGAGGCGCCTCAAAAGTGCTCCACTCTCTTCCAAGAGGCAAGGGATTCACAGCGCGTGGTGACTTTTGAGGCGCCTCAAAAGTGCTCCACTCTCTTCCAAGAGGCAAGGGATTCACAGCGCGTGGTGGCTGTGGCGTCGGAGCTATCATGTGAGTGTAAAGGGACGACTTCCCCCTCTCTTTCCCCGATTTCTCCCCGTGCTCCAGTCTTGTACAGGTTGACAGATGAGGCAATGGCAGAGAGTCAGAACACGGCGTATCTGGCTTGCACGCAAGGCGAGCTTTGGATTACACCCATCTTCTTCTTGCTCCCGCTCCCCTCCCCTCCTCACTCCCTTCCCAGTCTTGTACAGGTTGACAGACGAGGCAATGGCAGAGAGTCAGAATGTGGTCTATCTGGCTCGCAAGCGAGGCAAGCCAAGATGACGCACAAGCCCTCTCTGTTTCTTCATCCCCCTCTTCTTCCCCCGCAACTCTCCCTTCCCAGTCTTGTACAGGTCAACAGACGAGGCGATGGCAGAGAGTCAGAACGCGGCGTATCTGAATCGCAAGCGAGGGGAGCTGAGCCAGCAGGTCACAGCAGCGGTTGGTGCACCAGGGCATGCCATACTGCTACAGGTAAAGATCATGTTCTATGCTATCTGTGGGAGTTGCTTTCGATCCACTAGAAGGTTGCATTGCAAACAAGGCGAGCTGAGCCAGCAGGTCACAGCAGCGGTCTGTGCGGTCTCCAAACATTCCAGCACCGGGGCATGCCATACTGCTACAGGTAGCCCTTCCGCTGCACATTCCAGCAGCGGTCTGTGCAGGGCATGCCATACTGCTACGGGTAGCCCTTCCACGCTGGAATGTTTGTCATGGCTGGTGCTACCTAGTTTTGGAAAAAAGGTAGTCTTTTGTGCTGCTCTGCAGAGGTGTCGGCACACCGGGGCATTCCATACTGCTACAGGTGTGTTGATCATGTTCCCTGTAAGGGTTGCCTTCGAATCCACTAGAAGGTTGCAAGCGAGGCGAGCTGAGCCAGCAGGTCACAGCAGCGGTTGGTACACTGGGGCATGCCCTCCTGCTACAGGTAAAGATTATGAAGTGTGTAACAGTTGCTTTTGAGGAAGGTAATGAATACTGAACAAACATGCGAAATGTGTGCCGACTCCTTTGTGTTTCTCCCCTTGCCCATTGCAGTATGGTCCTCCTCTATAAGGCTCTGAATTGCTCTGCAAGCCTCTCAACTGCGTATCACGTGGTCAACCACCTCAGAAATATTATCTCATGAACGCTGCCCTGACACTCCAGCTTTGGCTTGGCGAGGCGGCCGTTTCTGCACCTGCTGCTGGTGGTGCTGCTGAAAAGTTTTCAACCCAACGTCATTTCTGTGCCTGGTTCTGCTGCCGTGTGAAGCAACACCTGCAGCTGCAGCATGCAGACTTGATATGTGTGACAAATGTGGTACATATTTCTGCCGGCCATTAAATCAGTCAAACTTGTTTCCGTGAGCTGGCTAAGCTTTAACAGTGCGTAAGATATCAACAATGTAGCGTATATTGGCACTAATCGTGCCATACGTGTTACACAAGGTCTGAAAGATAAACATGACCCACTCCATATACCGTACCCCAAGCATAGTACGTGAAATAATCTACGGTGCCGGTAAACCCGGGAAGTGGCATACGCCCAACACGTCAAGTTCGAACCCCGAAAAAAAAACAAAAAAAAAAAACCCTTTCCCGTTTCAATCTTACCTCCCCTGAACAGTAGGAAAACATTTCTTTCTACCCATGAACAGTATGAGACCCATCAAAGAGGTCCGCATTGGCCACATGGGCTTGCACTGCAGCTAGCACATGATTCATCCCCGCTCCCGAACCTCCGCTTATCAACGCCGGACCTGCCGCTCCGGTCTCCAAACCTGCTGCCGCTGCCGGAACGGCATTCGCTGCACCAGTTCCTGCTCCCCTCACCCCTCCGTACCCTAGACCCCCACCACCCACTCCTATGTTGCTCTCCCCCTCGCCCTCATTCCCCCCACCATCTCCCCCCAACCCACCCACTCCCCCCACTCCCCCGTCCCCCTCCCCCTCTTCCCCTAGCGCCCCCCCCGCCCCCTTTTCCCCCTCCTGGATGAGCCGTGTGAGAAGCTCCTCTATCTGCACTGCTGTGGCGTCCCTATTTGCTTTCGTGAGCGTGAGCACGGCTGAATGGGGGGGGATAAGTGAGGGGGAAAAGGGAGGATAAGGAGGAATGGCATGAGGCATGAGCGCATGGGCGCCCCCCTCCCGCCCCTTTCTCCCCCTCCTGGATGAGCCGTGTGAGAAGCTCCTCTATCTGCACTGCTGTGGCGTCCCGGTTGGCCTTGGTGAGTGTGAGCACGGCTGAAAGGGGGGGGATGAGTGAGGGGGAAAAGGGAGGATATGGAGGGAGGGCATGAGGCATAAGGGCATGTTCGCCCCCTCCCCCGCCCCTTTCTCCCCCTCCTGGATGAGCCGTGTGAGAAGCTCCTCTATCTGCACTCCTGTGGCGTCCCTGTTGGCCCCGGTGAGCGTGAGAACGGCTGAATGGGGGGAGATAAGGTAGGGGGGAAAGGAAGGATATGGAGGGAGGGCATGAGGCATGAGGGCATAGGGGCTTTTCCCCCCCTCCTGGATGAGCCGTGTGAGAAGCTCCTCTATCTGCACTGCTGTGGCGTCCCTGTTGGCCTTGATGAGTGTGAGCACGGCTGAAAGGGGGGGGATGAGTGAGGGGGAAAAGGGAGGATATGGAGGAATGGCATGAGGCATGAGCGCATGGTCGCTCCCCCCTTCGCTGCTTCTCCCCTTCCTGGATAGGGGCGTGTGAGCAGCTCCTCTATCTGCACTGCTGTGGCGTCCCTGCTGGCCTTGGTCAGGGTGAGCGGGAAAGGGGTAAGGGAAGAATAAGGGGGGAGAGGGATAAGTGAGCAGAAGCTCCTCTACCTGCACTGCTGTGGCGTCCCTGCTGGCCTTGGTCAGGGTGAGGGGGAAAGGGGGAAGGGAAGAATAAGGGGGGAGAGGGATAAGCGAGCAGAAGCTCCTCTATCTGCACTGCTGTGGCGTCCCTGTTGGCCTTGGTGAGTGTGAGCACGGCTGATGGGAAGGGGGGAGAGAAGATAAGGCGGATAGGGTGTGGAGAGTAAGACGAGAGGAGAAAGTTTACAGAATGTTTGGGGCAAGGGAGCATTAAGAAGGCACGAGAGGGTAGTCATAACGACCTGGAAGAGAGGGTGGGATACATGCAACGTTCCAGAAAAGAGAGGAGTTCACTAGTCTCACAAGAGGAAACGTGGGAAATTCGTCCTAAAATTAGACAAAAAAAAGGGATGAAAAGAAGTTTTGAGACACACCAAGAACTGGGCACAGATGTGTTGCTCAAGTCGGTCAATTCAGTTCTGCCGGATTTCCAACACCGAATCCTGTGCAACGAATTTTTGGCACTCGATTTTTGATTACCTGTGTCGGCGCGCTGCTTGATTTCCTCTACTAGCTCCAATGTGTGACCATAACGAGGGGCGGGCAGGGCGCCAAACACCTGCAGACACACACCAACGCGAGCAAGAGAGCAGTGAAAAGTGTGAGCGAGTGACGAATGCATAGGAGGAAGAGTGTATTGAAGAAGATTAGAACCTACGGAATCGGATGAAAATCCTAAAGGCTGTGCAGCAGGGACTAGGGTGAGAATGAAACGGCTTACAGCAACGGGAGAGGCGAGCAGGTTGAGAACAGCGTCTCTGAACTTGTCACTGCAGAGCTCCATGCGCCCGATCTGGTGAGAGGGGAGTGGCAAGGGAGGCAGAAAAGGGGATAAGAGGGGCACAAGGGGAGACGAGCAGGTTGAGTACAGCGTCTGCTTTTGAGTCGACTCAAAAGCACAAGGGGAGGCGAGCAGGTTGAGAACAGCGTCTCTGAACTTGTCACTGCAGAGCTCCATGCGACCGATCTGGATGGGGAGATCGGGGGAGAAAGAAGGGAGAGAGTGGGAGGAGAGAGAAGGGGAGACGGGGAGAAAGGGGGAGAGAGATAGAGTGGGAAACGGGAGGGTGAGGGGAGAGAGAACCGCTTTGCTTGACGCGTGGTGTCCGATGGCATGAGGTGCAGCACGGATGACCCAGACTAGGCACGTTGTTGAACCATCACTCCCCGCCAGCTCACCTAGTCAACAACGTGCAGATGCGCCTCTGTTGGCTTGGCTTGAAGTGACTAATCCACGACTCACCGCATCACTCTAATTAGCCAACCTTGTCTTGTGAATCGGCAGCGGTGGTCGACTCACCGCATCACTCTAATCAGCCAGCCTTGTCTTGTGAATCAGCGACGGTGGTCGACTCACCGCATCACTCTAATCAGCCAACCTTGTCCACGATGTGCAGGCGTGTGGTGTGTCTGATGACATGCGGCACGGCATGAGGTGCGGCATTGATAGCCTAACACCACAGCTGCTGCCAACCCCCCTCCCACCAGCTCACCTCGTCCACGATGTGCAGCCGCGTGGTCTCTCACGGCATGAGGTGCAAGACGAGGTGCGGCATCGATAGCTTAACGCCACAGCTTCTGCCACCTTACCCACAGCAGCTCACCTCGTCCACAATGCGCAGTCGCGTGGTCTCTGACGGCATGAGGTGATAAAAGTGTAGTTTTGAGACGTCTCAAAACTACACTTTTATCACGTGGTCTCTCACGGCATGAGGTGCGGCAACACTACCCGCTTGATTGAAGTGCCTTAGACAAGGTCTCACCACACGCATCTACCCCAACCAGCTCACCTCATCCAAAATGTGCAAGCGTGTGGTATCTGACGGCATGAGGTGCGGCAACACAGCACTATGCACGATCAAATTGCCTTATAAAAGGTTCACTACGTGCATCAACACACCAGCCTACCTCGTCCACAATGTGCAGGCGTGTGGTGTCTGACGGCATGAGGTGCGGCAACACTACCCGCTCGAACTCATCTATTGCCACATAGTACTTGCCGATCTGAGGAAGTGAGGGAGGGAGGGCGAGAGATAGAAAGTGAAAGAGACAGCATGAGACATACTGAAAACTCGGCAGCACTACCCGCTCGAACTCATCTACTGCCACATAGTACTTGCCGATCTGCGGAGGGAGGGCGAGAGATAGAAAGTGAAAGAGAAAGCATGAGACATACTGAAAACTCGGCAGCACTACCCGCTCGAACTCATCTACTGCCACATAGTACTTGCCGATCTGCGGAGGGAGGGCGAGAGATAGAGATAGAAGGTGAAAGAGACAGTATGAGACAGTATGAGACACACTGAAGCAGCACTACCGCTCAAACTCATCTACTGCCACGTAGTACTTGCCGATCTGCGGAAGGGAACAAGGTAGGAGAGGAAAGAGGGCGAGAGATAACAGATTGGTTTTGTGACATGCTTGTAATCGGCAGCACCTACCCGCTCTCAAACTTATCTACTGACACGTAGTACTTGCCGATCTGAGGCGCGAAGAAAGAATGGAGAGAGAAAGTCAAGCAACGAGACGAGTTGAAGTCATCTATTGCCATGTAATACTTAATGATCCTCCCCCAACCCTTGACAGGAACTTCAATCCTTTCAAGACCCCGTCCTTTCAATCCTTCCTCTACCCTCTCAGTCTGCGTAGACGCAAGACCCGAAGGACCCTGATCCATGTCCTTGGTTTCTCATCCACCCTCCCCTTCCGTTCCCCCCTTTCCCCCTTTCCCCACTCCCGGTTCCCCCAACTGCCCTCCTCCCCCCGCCCTCCCATCCTCGTTCCCCCACCTGCCCTCCTCCCCCCGCCCCTCCTATCCTCGTTCCCCCACCTGCCCTCCTCTCCCCGCCCCTCCCATCCTCGTCCCCCCACCTTGGGTCCGCAGCCTCACCTTGGCCCAGCACTGGACAGAGGCGAGCCTAACCCCCATGCACCCAGTTTCCCCTCACCTTTCTCCCCCTTTTTGTCCCCCCTTTCTCCCCCCCTTCCCCCCGTTCCCCCTACCTTGGGTCCGCAGCCTCTTCGTAATCTGCATAGCGGCGCGCGCTCGCCCGCGAAAGTGACTGTAATGAGCGGGCCGGGGGGAGACGGGTGAAGGGGAAGAGGAGAGAAAGAAGGGGAGAGAATGGAAATAAAGCATTATGAGTGGGCGGAGTGTGAGTTAAGGACAGGTGGGTGGGGAGGAAAGAGAGGGGCGAGGAGGGGGAGGGGGACGGGGGAGGGAAAACAGGGATACATGGGAAGGATGGGGGACAGCACGAAGTTCTGAATGCCTCTCTTCCTACTCAATCTTTCATAACGGTTACTCTCCTCTCTCTCTTCCGCTTATTCCATCCTCACTCTCCTCGCTCATACCTCCTCCTACCCTCCTCATTAAGCCTCCCACTCACCTCGTCCCTCCCCTCTCACTCAACTCCTCCTCCCCTGCTCTCCTCCGTCTCCCACACGGACTCACCTTCTCACTCCCCTCCGCTCTCCCTCCCACCCATACTCACTTACATCCAGCCCAAGTCGTTACCCCGTGCCCTCCGCCTGCGCCTCAACCGTGCTGCTATAGGCGCCTAGAGAACTCACCTTCCCCCTTTCCTCCCACTCCCTTCCACCTCACATCCTCACTTCCCCCACACTCCCCTTCCCCTTTCCCTCCCATTCCACACTCACTAACATCCAGCCCGAGTCGTTCCCCCGTGCCCTCCGCCTTCGCCTCAACCGTGTAGAACCCCGCTACTAGATGCTGCGGTAAGCGCTTCGCCACCTTCAGCACCAGCCTGCAGAGAACACACGATACAATCCCACAGTGTATTCACAATAAGGTAACCACTAAAAACGGCCCGTCATCAGGACCTTAAAACGTGACGAGCAGCAACGGGGAAGACAGCCAACAGACCCACCAAACGGAAACCTTCATAGAGCTTCACTTCATATACGCGGTATTGAGTGCACGATGATAAGGAGGAGAAGGGGTGTCTGTGCACACTCACGAGGTTTTCCCGATGCCTGGAGCACACACGCCCACACGTGCCGTGCACACGCCGCCATAGTGTCGTGCACACGCGCCCACGGGGGGAAACGTGGGGAGGGAGGCGGGGGAGGGGGGGGGGGGGGGGGGGAGGAAACGGATTTAACGCCGGCAGTTAAGGAACATGCAAGCGGCAGAGTGAAGAGTCGAGAGTTTTGAGAGCATTAGCTACCCAGGTGCTACCCGGAAGTTACCCTGGTGCTACCCGGTTGCTACCCGGGCGCTACCCGAGTGATACCCGCAGGTTACCCGAGTGCTCCTCGAGTGATACCCGGGTGCTCGAGTGCTGATAACCTGTATTTTGAAACGTCTCTGGAAACGAGACGCGAACACCATGCTGTTTAGCCTGACTGTTTCATGTCGTATACCAAGCCCGGACTGTAACGCAATATTCAGTGTGCTTATAAGGAGGTCCTTGACTGGCTCAATGGTACTGTGGTATCTAGTGTGCCTATAGCGAAGTACCTGGCTGGCCGGTGACGAATACGTTCACGGTGGAGCTGTTTGCACCGCTCGTCCCGCTCGTGCCTTCGTGCGAGACCATCTGTACCATCCACGGAGGTCGCGAGATGACTGAATCTACGGCTCAGATTCGCTGCTAGCTATAGCTACGCTACGTATGACAATGCCGCAGTTTCGCCCAGTGAGCAGAGTGTAACGTCGTGATGACGCTATCACTCCTCTGTCTAGCTTAGCCTCTGCTGGCTATCTTCGACCGTTGAAGGATGCGTAGCTTCTGTTAGTCTCTGCCTACTTCCGTGACGTCATGACGGAAAACGGATATCTGAAAGGGTCTCTAATCAATGGCTGGGACAAGCACACGCTGCGGGAGAGCTAAGCCTTAAGCTTGACGAAATCTACGAAAACAAACGGAGAATGAAGTAAATGTTCAAGATGATGCGGTACGGAAGCTCCGAAGCGCTGTAGTAAGAAGTGGGAAGCGAAGGAAGGTTATCCTGAAGTTAGTTCGTGCTGCGCGACGAAGCAAGGGATGTACCACGCAGATCCTGCTTGGTGCGCAAGAGTGAGTGAGCAACACAGGAGGGATTTTTAGGAAGAACTGGGAAGCTGGTGGGATGGAAACAGGAACAACGTCCGAACAGCTCGGCGAGGCAAATTCTGGGGAATGTCGTAGCTCAGACAACGCGTCGCGGAAAAATCTATGGTCAGGTACGAAATTGCTGGACGAGAAATCAACCCGTACAGAATGACGATGTATGGTCATTTTGACGGGATTATCCTAACTGGGGCAGTTCTCCCAAATGACTGGCGGTTGCTGGTCTGGGCACTGGGCAGTCCAGCGCATAGCCGGAAAAGCCGGGTGTCACCTGAGCTGGACACAACCGAGTCACAAGAAACGCCAGGAGAAAGTCCCTCAAGCTCGAGGCGGGCTGAGCTGGCTCCAAGACATGACTTGCTTTCGTGGCACACCCAATGAAATTGCAGAACGTCCTAAGATGCTGTGCTGTAGATGTCCTGTCACTCCATGATGGAGGAACAGCGTGTACAGCTTCGTACACAGGAGTCGATGTGCCAACACATGGAGCACGACCAAGTTGACCTTAAAGCCCGCGTCCCAAATTGCGGGCCGCGAGGGTCAAGTTTTTAAAACTTGACGAAGTTGAGTGTCCAAGCTTTTGAAAGTCACGCACTTGCAATTTGGGACTTTCGAAGACAGATTCACTCACCAGGGGGAAAACCGAGGGTTGGCTGGGTCTCGCGAAAAAAACGAACCTAGACGAAATCGGAAACTCTCGCCAAAGCCCACACCAGAAAAACTCCCTCTGGTCAACTTTTAAAAGCATGAACAATTTGGGCCGCCGGCTTTAATATACTGTTCTTATCAAGTTAGCAAGCAGTTATGAAAGATTAGGCATTATTTAGCAACTGCATTCACCTGCAGTGCCAAAAGAAGATGGGCATTAAAACACAAACTCGGCACACAAAAAGCTATATTTCCTATGCTTGGATGAGGACCGCTATAAGGTAGTTTCCAAGCAGGCACTGCTGCTACTGTTTATTGGTGTTAAATACATCACCACTCTGCTTACAGGTAAAACGGAGTTGAACAAAAATGAGCCTCTACCAATCATTAGGATACACTTGCCGGAGCTTCTTTCCAGGGACATACGTGCCATCTTGAAACCCCACGAAAAACTGCAATATGAGCACAAATGGATCAACAATTAGGCTAACATTCTTGAATGCATAACGGATAGAAAAAAACAACACACAACTTACCTTTGGAATCCACGGGTGAACAACTGGTGAAGCATCACTCTGGGCTACGAGATTTTCCTGTGCGACGTACGTGGAGACGCCACCTGCTCTATCCCGGGTGTCTACCAAGACGTGGTAGAAGGGCTGACTTCTCCCATGTGTCAACAAGTCCACTTTCATTGCATCTTGCCAGCTGGAAGGGGCTGAGCACTCAGGATCATGACCATACACAACTCCGCGATAGCCTGTACACATAAGGGGGTGGAAAGGGATGGACTATTAAACTTTGCCATGATGAAGAGTATTAATATATTGAAATTTGTTACCAAAGCTCACCATATCTGCGGTGAACGATGACATCTCCCACACGGTACATAATGCGCGGTTTGGCCTGAATCTCTAACAAACGCTTCCGAAACTCCATCATAGCTAGGCTGTCGCGGACCTGCAAGAGAAAGACAGCGTCAATGTCTAGTTTCGGGACTCCGGTGCTACAAAATAATAATCTCAAATGCGGCGTACCACGCATGCTTCCTCGTAATGTTCTGCCGCCACCAGAGCTGCCATCCGGTCTTGCAGCTCTTTCACCTCAGAAGACACAACCACGTAGGACTCACTCATTTCTAATTCCTGCAAAATCAATGGAGAGTGGGTGAGGCCTGCTACGAATACAAAGGGTCTAACGTATACAAGATAAAACCAGCCAAGAACGAGAAAGACGCACCTTCCTCGCCCTCCTCTCCACAACACAGTCATTTCCAAAGGAATCGCGAAAATTCTCAAGCGGATCGGCCACTTCCATGCGCCAAGCCTTCGGTCGCCGGACTTCGCGATTGCAACTGACTTTAGTAGATAGCTTTAAGCATTGACTATTTCCAAACATCGAGGACATTGACGAGCGCACGGTTCGTCCTTTCTGAACTACCTGCTCTTCGCTCTTAACTGGTCCATAACAAGCGCAATCCTTCAAGACTACGGAGCTCGCTGAGAAGGCGGCCATAGCTAATAAATTCTATTGACTTCACAACCCGAGCATCAAATTAAAAAAAATATCGGAGAGATTAAAGATGTTGGTTGGCGAGGCGACGCTTGCAATGCTTGGCATGAGACACAAGTCTGTGACAACCTAGCAAGGGCAGTCCAGCACTGAAAAGGAGCCGATGATCGCCTTCGTCTCTTGAGAGTTCCAACAGGAGTGGGGACTGAATGGAGAGGAGCAGTAGTTCTCGATGGGGGTCACTCACTCGCATGCGTTGAGGGGAGGAGGAAGGAGGTGGAGAAGGATCGGGCAGATGCCTGGTCAGCTGACATGGCATGAAAAAGGGATTGTGATCCGCTGAGGAGGAAGGTTTGCACGGGGAAGAGGTAGCATCCCTCCCAATGTGGAGCCACGTGAGTGGCTGCGGTGGATCGTGGCACAATCAATGACGCCGATTGGAAACCCCGTTAAAGTGGAGGCGGGCTTGGCGCGCAGAATACGACTGGAGGTGAATGGATGATGTTGCAGTTTCGTTTCCGTGCAGACCGCAACAGGAAGAAAGGAGGACGTTCTGTCCACACGTGGTGACTGTGGATGGTGGTGATTTTGACGTGACCCATCAAAATCGACCGAAAATGTGTGGCCTTCCGTTTGAGGATATTCGATGTGCAATTGATATTCCCGTTTACTTGGGGGATGAAATCAGGCAAAGAATTACGTACTGCACTGCTTTAGACCGTTTTGAAAACTGTCCGAAACGTTCTGTATCGCAAAAGATTTGAGGATATTGAAAGTGGTCTCCCCACAACCCATCAAACCTCATGACGAAAACGCTGTGATGTAATATCTAGGATACAAGGACTGAAACTAATGCGAGACGCTCTTTACGCGTACAAATTCTTCGGTGAAGTTTGATCAGCACCTGAGAGAGAACCGTTCCTTGTGCGGCTGCAACAAGATTCCGTGTGCCGCCTATGGTAGTTGATGTCTATATTAGGTGCTGATCAGCCTATGCTTCCAGATACCGTAGTCATGCTTACTGCGGTGCGTACACGAGTAGGTATTGAGCTACGAAACAAATGTTTCGGATCTATTAAGTGGCAGCAGACCAACTCTTAGCTGCGTAGATCGGGGAAGACAATGGCATTGGCACTCAGCGTCACACCTCATGGCCCCAAGCCTATTTTCAGGGCCATTTCCGGGATCCACCCGTCGCGAGAAGTTCATTCAACCGCGAAGCATGTTATGGTAACCAGGAATGAATGGCGAACGAACGACTACGATCGCGATTACGAGCCGACGAAGCCTGTGGGATTGACCATTAGGAGAAGGGCATCTGGCATTGAGCGTGACGAGCCTGCTGCGGACACTATCGCCGTCGGTGACTCATCAAACGCGCATTTGTGGCCTTCCACAGATGAACAGATTGAAGGAATGATTAGGACGGGTAGAGAAAGCAGAGAAATCAGAGACAGAAGAGTCAGCAGAGTCGGCAGAGCCAGCAGAGACAGCAGAGACAGCAGAGTTGTTGGGGACAGGTGGGGTGATGCAGCCAGAAGCGATAGGGTTAAAGGGCTGGTTGGGTTTCAAGACAAGGAGCCGCAAGGCTTGGTGAGGAAGCCTGCCAGGCAGGGACGGAATACGGTGTTGAAAGCGCACGACCGATCTGAGACGAATTTGGCGGCTTCAGATCCGCTTAGGGCGGAGATTCTTGCCGAGAATGCTGATGAGAATGTGTCAGCGTCGCCAGACCGGCACAGGACGGCAGGTTGGGAGAGTCTGCAAAGGTGTTCCGCAGCTAGGCCGGCTGGCGAAGCAAGATCGTCTGATGCGGAGCGACCTGCGGAGGAGGTAGGGACGCCCAGATGGATCAAGAGGCGTGGTGGGGAGGTAGGGAAGCTTGCATGGACAGAGAAGCGTACGACTGTTGATACATTTTCGAAGCCATCAATGGCTAGTACCCCGAGCCAGACCGCCAGCAGCAGCCGACGCTGGGGAAGTGACACTGCTGCTGATGCTAGAAGCAACATGGGTGGTGGGATGGGGCGTGGGGGAGAGGGTGCGAGAGAACGGGCGGCGAAAGCTGCAGCGGAAATCAGAGCTCGAGGGTTGAGGGGAACAGCAGAGGTGGTTGATTGTGTCACACGCCATAGCCTGGCCATTGATAACCGGACACTTAACCTGCTTCTCGGGGTGATGGTTGGAGGAAGATCAGTATCGGATAGCGGAGACCTTATAACGGAGAAGGGAAATGGCGGGAGAGCCACAGATAGGAGGACAGGGTTTAAGCGAGGTTTAGAGGAGAGGGATTGGGAGGGCGCAAAGGCGGTGGCGGCGGCGTTTGAGGTGGAAAGTGTAGAGTTGAACGAGCGGATTTACACCACGCTGATTTCATGCTTCGGGTGAGTGTGCATTCAGCCTCCCTCTCCTTTCTCCCCCTCTCCTTCCCCCTCCCCCTCTCGCCCCGTCTCGCCCTCGCTTCTGGTTGCCGTTCGTCCTAACGCTTTTAGTCAATGCCGAAACACCCCGACGCTTTTTCTCCCCTCCCTGCGCGCTGCAGCAAGGGCGCGCGCATGGGGGACTGCTGGCGGTGGCTCCGCGCCATGGAGAGGCAGTGGGGCGTGCCACAAGTACAGATGGGGGCGCACATGCAAGGGGAGGCGCAATTGCAAGAGGGGGCGCAAGTGCAAGGGGAGGCCCTAGTGCAACAAGTGGTGGAAGTGCAAGGGGAGGCGCAAGTACAGGGCGCGGCTGGCGGAGAACGGGGGGAGGGGGAGGCTCAGGGGAAGCTGGAAGAGGGTAGCTGGGAGCAGAGAGGCTGGGGGGAGGAGGGGGAACGCGAGGGCAAGAAGGTTGGAGGAGAGGGGGGTGCGTACGGGAAGCACGTGTTGCTTCCAGAGGATATATATGACGTGATGCTGGGGGCGTGCGTGCAGGTAAGAGCGTGGGAGGGGAAGGGGGGGAAGGAGGGGGGGGAAGGGGAGGGGGAAAGGGCGGAGGAGGGGGGGAAGGGAAGGGGGAAAGGGCGGAGGACGGGGGGAGCAAGGGGAGCATACAGGGAGTGTGAGCTGCTTCCAGAGGATATTTATAACGTACTGTTGTGTGCAGGTGAGAGCGCGGACGAGGGATGTTAGGGGGAAGGGCGGGGATGAGAGGAGGAGAAGAGGATTTGTGTGAAGCTGTGATTGGGCGACCGGGCCATTGTATGCTCAAGGATTCTTCTTCCGTGTTTTCTCCGCTTGTCCCCCGCATACCCCTCATCGACTCCCGCTCTCCTTCCTCATTGCGAGGACTGGAAAGTGTGCCCTCAGTGCCCTCAGAGCACTAACGATCCACCACCACCTCTCAGCACACGGGGCTGGCTGCTGTATGCTCTATGATTCTCCTTTCCTGTTCCTCCGCCTGCCTCCCTTATACCCATCTTCTGACCCACTCTTTTCCTGCAGTGCGAGGACTGGAAAGGGGCTCTAGCCATCTACCACCACCTCTCAGCACACGGGGCTGCAGCAGCATCAGCATCAGCAGCAGCAGCAGCAGCAGCAGCAGCAGCAGCAGCAGCATCAGCATCAGCAGCAGCAGCAGCAGCAGCAGCTGTCGCAGAAGCAGCCGCATTGTCCCACACGCACCATCAACATCATCAACAGCATGGGCAGCAGCGCATGCCAACGAGCAGTCAGTTCGCGTTGGTGCTGAGAGCATGCGCGCGAGCAGGCAGGTGGCAACTCGCCCGAGACCTGCTGCTTGCTGCTGACCATGTTTTTGTTGCTGCCCTTGCCACTGCTGCTGCTGTTGGTGGTTTTGGTGGTGCTGCTGCTGGTGGTTCTGGCTCTGCTCGTTCTGGTCCTGGTAATTCGGCTAGGGCTGCTGCCGATGGTGCTAGTGCTGCTACCAGTGCCGTTTCTGGTTCTGGCCTCGGTGCTGCTGCTGCTGATGTCAGTGATGGTGACGGTGCTGCTGCTTCTTCTCCTTCTCCCCCTCTTTCCTCGCACCACCCTCCCCTTGCCACCTCATCTGCCATGTTCACTGACGTCATCACAGCCTGTGCCAGGTCAGCACAACCGGCTCCAGCTCTCCGCCTGCTCGATCGCCTTGATTCCCACCCTTCTCCTGACCTCTATGCTGACGTGGCAGCCTACACTGCTGCCATCTCAGCATGTGCGAGCGTTGGCCAATGGGAGAACGCCATTCGTCTGCTGACTAGGATGCAGCAGCAGCCAATTGGAATAAAGATGGGGCAAACTGGAAGATCCTCATCCGTGCCTCCGGGTAATGAGACTCGGCCGAAGCTGGAGGTTCGGGGAAAGCAGGAGGTTTGTCGAAAGCCTGCAGTTCGGCCAAACGTGGTGACGTGGACAGCGGTGATGTCAGCATGTGCAACGGCAGGACGTGCTGACGTGGCACGGGAAGTGCTGAGAAGGATGATGCGAGAAGGGAATGGGGAGGAGTGTCAGGGGGAAGGGGAGGAGAGGGTAGTGAACGGACGAAGCAAAAAGAGCAGGGAGGGGGAGAGAATGGATATGACAGGTGCCACCTCAGCATCTTGCTTGGATGCCATGTCAGACGCCACATCAGATTGTCGTCCCAATGTGGTGACGTGGACAGTGGTCCTGACTGCATGCGCGAGGGCGGGAGAGTGGCAGCAGGCGGAGGCACTGTTCACCCAGATGCAGACAAATGGAGTGATGCCGAACGAGGTCTCCTGGGCGGCATTGATCAGCGCTTATGCAAAGGGCGGGCAGTGGGAGAAAGCTATAAGGGCTCTGAGGACCCTTAGAGGGGGACGAGGTGGGGGAAAAGAGGAGAGGGGGAAGGATGAGAAGGGAAAAGTGGGCAGGGGAAGTGGGAGTGGAAATCAAAAGGAAGTCGAAGGAGGGGGGATCAGCAATGGATTGTCATCAGCCATTCTGGAAGCAACAACATCAGCTGCAACAGCAGCAGTACCAGCAGCAACACCAGCAGCAGCAACGGCATCGGAACCATCTAATCCACCTCAATCCTCACCCCTCCCATCTGCCTGGAACGCTGCTCTTCACGCGTGTGCCAAGGCCAGCAAGTGGAAGCTTCTGGGAAGCCTCGTGCAGGAGATGCAGGAGGCAGGGTGCCCCCCCTCTGTGGTGACCTATGGGGTGCTGGTGGGGGGGTATGGACGGGCGGGGCAAGCACGACTGGCGAGAGAAGCGTTCGAATCAATGCTGGCTGCAGGAATAAGGTGAGGATACAGGGGATACCACTCCCCTGGGGTGCCACCCCTCTGTGGTGACGTATGGGGTGCTGGTGGGGGGTTATGGACGGGCGGGGCAAGCAAGGTTGGCGAGAGAAGCGTTTGAATCGATGCTGGCTGCAGGAATAAGGTGAGAAGCATGGGAACAGAAGGGGGCGCTCCCCCCTTCTCTGTTTGCCCTTTTTCTGTGGTGACCTACGGGTTGCTGGTGGGGGGGTATGGGCGGGTGGGGCAAGCAAGATTGGGGAGAGAAGCGTTTGATGAAATGCTGTTGGCAGGGATAAGGTGAGACTGAAGGAGGTAGATGCGGGTTCTTCCTCCTCCACATCCAACCCGAGTTGAATTTTGAGTCGACTCAAAAGTCAACTGTTGGCAGGGATAAGGTGGGACTGAAGGAGGTAGATGTGGGTTCTTCCTCCTCCACATCCAACCCGAGTTGACTTTTGAGTCGACTCAAAAGTCAACTGTTGGCAGGGATAAGGTGGGACTGAAGGAGGTAGATGTGGGTTCTTCCTCCTCCACATCCAACCCGCCTCCTCTTTCCCTCTGGTGACCCATGGGGTGCTGATGGGGTGGGGGGGTGTTGGGCGAGTGGGGCAGGCGAGCTTGCGAGAGGAGGTTTGATGCGATGCTGGGTGAATCAGATGCACAGGTCAGCCTACCAGATGCATCAGGTGCATCAGATGCACAGGTCAGCCTACCAGATGCATCAGGTGCATCAGATGCACCCAGCCTACCTGCGCAGGTAGGCTGACCTGCGCTGACTAGTGCATCTGATGCATCTGATCTAATGAACATTGGTGTTATGGGGATTCCTGTTCCTCACTTCTCCTTCCATCCTACACCTTTCCTGTTTCTTGCTCTGCCTTTCTTTCTCCCATTCCCTCCGATTCTTGCCCATCTATTATTTTCTTCTTGCTAAAGGCCAAACGCAGTGGTGTGTGCTTCAATGGTGCGAGCGTACGCACGTGCCCGCCAGTTCGGGCAGGCCATGAAATTCTTCGAGGCGATGCCCGGGCTCGGGGTGGTTCCTGACAAATACACATACACAGCGCTGCTCTGGGCTTGCGGTGCCTGCGGGCAGTGGCAGCGGGCAGAAGAAATATTTTCGAGGATGAAGCGTCAGGGGTGTGTGCCGGATGGTTTAACTTACAGAACACTAATAGAGAGCTATGAGATGAATGGAGAGTGGGATAAATCCATGGAGGTCTTGGAAGACATGAACGCTCTGTCTTCAAGAATGTTACAACGGACACGTCATGGAAAACGGCAGTGAGTGAATCAGTGATGTAATGATGACCTTGTGATGATGTGTCTTGGAGCGCCTGGCACTCAAAGCTCACCTTCCAAAATGCTCACTTCACCCTTCAAATTTTCCACTTCACCCTTCAAATGTTCCACTTCACCCTTCAAATGTTCCACTTCACCCTTCAAATGTTCCACTTCACCCTTCAAATGTTCCACTTCACCCTTCAAATGTGCAATCTGAATGGCAGCAAAGCAACTAGTGATGTGGGTAGAGTGTTATCCCTCGGACTGCCCCCCTTCAACTGCTGTGAACTCAATCTGCAGCATACTCATTAACCTCTATCAGATAATCTAGTCTAAGCACCTAAGAGCGTATTCCTATCCTCGTATCAAGAAAACCTCATATCAACCTCCCACTGAAAATTTCCCTAAACCCAAAACCTCTCGCTACTTTTACCAGGCAAAAAGTACAATCTTGATATGAGGTTTTCTTGATACGAGGATAGGAATACGCTCTAATAAGGCAAACTGTAACTGATATGCTCTCTCCAGCTGTCCAACAATCCCAGCCGTCCAACTCTCTGCACTCCAAGCAGATCAACGGAGCACGATAAACTTCTCCCCGTTCACTGCTTGAATCTTGCCCACCCGCTTGATAATCTCCTGAAATCGTTTCTTATCCTGCCAAAATAAAGGAAGCGGAAAGAAACAAAGAAGGGGAGGACCAAACAAGGTGGGGTTTTTTTCCTTATTGGCTTTGAGGTGCCTGTTAAGGTGGCGTTTCGTGCCAAGTGCCATACGGTACCATACCCTGCACACCCAAAACAACTCAGTGTGACTCACCAAGTCACCCCTCTTTTGCTGCGCCCCAAAAGCTGCGCAACACACTCAAAAAGCAACGCAAGAGTGACTAGGCCAAAATCTCCTGACTCACCTCTGCAGTCTTGAGGCACGATCGGAATCGGTTCACCAGATCTGCACTCTTGATAGGCACCTGCCTGCCTTAGCTTCAGAGTCCTGACTGGTCTCTAAACCCATCTGTGAGCACTCCATGAGTCACACGACTCACCTCTGCAGTCTTGAGGCACGATCGGAATCGGTTCACCAGATCTGCACTCTTGATAGGCACCTGCCTGCCTTAGCTTCAGAGTCCTGACTGGTCTCTAAACCCATCTGTGAGCACTCCATGAGTCACACGACTCACCTCTGCAGTCTTGAGGCACGATCGGAATCGGTTCACCAGATCTGCACTCTTGATAGGAGCCTGCCTCAAAATGCCCTTCACTGCCTCCTCTGTCACTGCTGTCGGTTTCGGCCCTGCCGCTGCCCCAGATGCACCTCCCCCAGATGCACCTCCCCCTGGCCTGCCTGCTGCCGCTCCACCCGCCCCTGGTTCCCGCTTCGCAGGCAACGGGGGTGTCCGTTTCCCTGGTTCCACCTTCCAATTCTTTGCCCCTGCTGCCCCTGCTCCAGATGCACCTCCCCCGGTCGCACCCTTCTCCAGGTCCTTTCGCTTCAGCCCCCTGCCTGCTGCCGCCGCCGCTGCTGCAGCAGCAGCACTGAGCGCAGCAGCAGCACCAGCAGCAACAGACGCGGCTGCTGCCCCCCCCTCCCCCTTCCCGCCTCCCGCCCCCTGCCCGCCCGCCGCTGCTCCAGCCCCCTTCCCCTTCTGGAAAATAGGCGAGAAGGCGATATCTAAATCCTCTTCGTCGTCTTCCCCATCCTCCTCCTCTCCTGCTCCCCCGATTCCCCTCGCTCCCACCCCCTCCTCCCCTTCCACCCCAGCCTTATGCAGCAGCTTCTTTAGCGCCTTGCCTGAATGGCTCAGTGATATCCCCTCCCCTTCCTCCTGCCCCTCGCCCTCCTCCTCCTCCTCTTCCTCCACCTCCTCCTGAACACGAGGAGGAGAGGGTGGTGGGGAGGGCGGGTAATGGGACGGGTGGGTTGGGAGAGGGAGAAAGGAAGCAGGGTCTCACCGCTTTAGCTGGGCTCCTCTCCTTCTCCTTCTCGTCCTCCTTATCGTCTGGCTGCATACCATCGCCTCCAGCAGCACACACACTCACAGACACCCTAACACTCCTGCTCATCCCACAAGCCACTCTCACCTCTTTAACCGGGCTCCTCTCCTGCTCCTTCTCGTCCTCCTTATCCTCTGGCTGCATCGCCGTCGCCTCGTCATCATCTGAGAAGAGCTCGTCGTGCTCCCAGTCCTCGCCTGGAGGCATGGGGAGAGAGGGGAAGAAAAGAGGGGAGGGAAGGGCATCGGAGAGAAATGGCATGGGAGAGACGGGCATGAGAGAAATGAAGAGTGTTCGCAATCCTACACAAGTGCTCCCAGTCCTCTCCTGGAGGCACTTTTGTGAGTTCTCAGAAGGGGGGGAGAGCAAAGGGACGAGGAGGGCACGAGTGGGAAGAAGAGTGTTCGCGATCTTTGAAACGTGAACCCAGTGCGAGAGGAAAGTGAAGAGAAAGGCAGAAGAGATTGAAGTAGCACTGGGAGACGTGAACCCAGTGCAGAGGAGAGGCAAAGTGCTCGGTAGCACTGGGAGACGTGAACCCAGTGCAGAGGAGAGGCAAAGTGCTCGGTAGCACTGGGAGACGTGAACCCAGTGCAGAGGAGAGGCAAAGTGCTCGGTAGCACTGGGAGACGTGAACCCAGTGCAGAGGAGAGGCAAAGTGCTCGGTAGCACTGGGAGACGTGAACCCAGTGCAGAGGAGAGGCAAAGTGCTCGGTAGCACTGGGAGACGTGAACCCAGTGCAGAGGAGAGGCAAAGTGCTCGGTAGCACTGGGAGACGTGAACCCAGTGCAGAGGAGAGGCAAAGTGCTCGGTAGCACTGGGAGACGTGAACCCAGTGCAGAGGAGAGGCAAAGTGCTCGGTAGCACTGGGAGACGTGAACCCAGTGCAGAGGAGAGGCAAAGTGCTCGGTAGCACTGGGAGACGTGAACCCAGTGCAGAGGAGAGGCAAAGTGCTCGGTAGCACTGGGAGACGTGAACCCAGTGCAGAGGAGAGGCAAAGTGCTCGGTAGCACTGGGAGACGTGAACCCAGTGCAGAGGAGAGGCAAAGTGCTCGGTAGCACTGGGAGACGTGAACCCAGTGCAGAGGAGAGGCAAAGTGCTCGGTAGCACTGGGAGACGTGAACCCAGTGCAGAGGAGAGGCAAAGTGCTCGGTAGCACTGGGAGACGAAGTGATACAAGGCCTCTCACTTTTGGCCCCGTCCATCTCCGATTCAGTCTCTTCCTTCGGCACATCATCAACAACCCCTCATCCCATGCACCCTCCCCCTCTCTTGTATTCACCGTGATACTAATAATACCACTAATGACAAAATTCTCTCACCTTTAGCCCCATCCATCTCTAATTCAAGCTCTTCCTTTGGCACTTCATCATCATCGTCATCATCCCCACCTTCCTCTCTCAACAGCATCTTTGCGCATTCATACGGACTCATCCTCCTTAATGCCACACCACACGAGACAAGACCTGCTCACCTTTATCGCCGTCCATCTCCAATTCAAACTCTTCCTTGGGCACTTCATCATCATCCTCATCCCCGCCCTTCTTCCCCTGCCCTCTCTTCCTCCCCTCCCCGTCCTCCATATCCCCCCCCATCCCTTCATCATCCGACCCTAGCCCATCATCCAGCCCTCCCTTCTTCCTCCCTCCTCCCCTCCCCCCACCCCCGCCTTCCTTCCCTCCTCCCGCAAGAAGCTTCTCGGACTCTTCCTTGGTGAGCCACTTTCGAAACCCGTCGGCCTTGCGCCGTTTCGACTGCATGCACAGCTCTGCTTCTTCTAGGGTTAGCGTCTTGTACTGGGCTTGCTTTCCAAAGGCATACCTGGGAGGAGGAAGAATGGGGATGGTGTGGAAATGGAGAGTTTGAAACTGCATGCACAGCTCTACTTTTTCTAGGGTTAGCGTCTTGTACTGGGCTTGCATTCCAAAGGCATACCTGGGATGGGAGGGGATGGGATGGGGATGGGGATGGCATCTGATGAGATGGGATGGGATGGGATGGGATGGGATGGGATGGGATGGGATGGGATGGGATGGGATGGGATGGGATGGATGGGATGGGATGGGATGTGATGGGATGGGATGGGATGGGATGGGATGGGATGGGATGGGATGGGATGGGATGGGATGGGATGGGATGGGATGGGATGGGATGGGATGGTATGGTATGGTATGGGATGGGATGGGATGGGATGGGATGCGATGGGATGGGATGGGATGGGATGGGATGGGATGGGATGGGATGGGATGGGATGGGATGGGATGGGATGGGATGGAATAGAATGGGATGGGATGGGATGGGATGGGATGGGATGGGATGGGATGGGATGGGATGGGATGGGATGGGATGGGGGAGGGGATAGGGATGGAGATGGGGATGGGATGGGATGGGATGAATTGGGATGGGGATGGGGAGTAGAAGCAACAGGGGCTAAGTGGCTGGCATGTCTCATACCTTTCCCATGCAGGGGGTACAATGACAAAGACAAAGGTGGATCACACCTCACCACACCACACCGCACTGCACCTCACCACACCACACCGCACTGCACCTCACCTCACCGCACCTCACCACTGGCTAGCGGGAATGGCGACAAACTCCTTGCCGTGCATGACCAGCAGATAATACGCCGAATGCTGCCACCCACCCTCCATGTGCCCCACATACGACGCCTGGCCTGTGTCGTCCTCTAGTAGCAGTGGTCGCGTGCGCGCCTTGGCCTGTAGTGACATGTGAGGCGGGGTGAGGGTGAGGGTGATGGTGAGGGTGATGGTGATGGTGATGGTGATGGTGATGGTGATGGTGGTGGTGATGGGCATGGGCATGGGCATGGGCATGGGCATGGGCATGGGCATGGGCATGGGCATGGGCATGGGCATGGCAGCATGGCAGCGTGGCAGCATGTGTGGGTCTTTTGAACCTCACCGCTCGATCCCCTCCACAAGCTTTCCTCACTCACTCCCTCACTCCCTCCCCCTTCTCATCTCCGTATCCCCTCTCCCCCCCTCCTCCCCCGAACCCTCCTCCCCAACCTCTCCGTCTGGTTCCTACCTCAAGGATGGGTGGGTGGGGGGAGAGGGGGTTGTGGTGAGAAAGGGGAGAAGGGGAGGAGAAAGGGAGATTGGGCAGGTGGGGTGGTGGTGATTTCAAGGGAATTTTGACATAACTTGAAACACAGGGGTGGCATAAAACGACAAGAAAGCCACCTGCTCACCCGCGCAGCCTCGGATAGCACTTTCCCAGTAGGTACCCCTTCTCGTTTCATCGTCCACCCCCTCTCGTCTCCTTTTTTCAGCCCGGGCAGCCCCTGCGGAAATTTTCCGATAAAATAGTCCCGGCTGACCGGCTTAACGCGGACTAGGAACTCTTTAACTAGCTTATCCACCACCGCGCCGCACTGCTGACACGTGGCTTGCTTCTCAGCCATGCTTCGTCCGCACGCGTTACAAAGCGACATGTGTCCGCACTCGCTCTGTGAAAGGTCCCCCCCCGCCGTCCCGCACCCGCTGCACGAGGCTGGCGGAACCGCCTTCTTCGCGGAGGCGGAAGCGCTTCCGCTTCCGCCAGCTCCCCCCGCGGGGCCTGCGGCTCCCGCCGCTCCGCCTGCTGCTGCGCCGCCTGGTTCTTGCTTAACAGGCGGTTTGGCGGCTCCCGCTTGCGGTAATGATTGCGCCGGCCGGCCTGCTGATGGATACGACGCCATGAGCCACTCTTGGCGAAGATAAGAAACGAATTTTTTGTCGACTCGAGAAACGATCGAAAGTTATGCCGCAGAGGTAGTAATTCGCGGTGTTGATTGGTCGAGGATTTGTTACACCGTGGTTTTCGCGGCCTTGGAAGGTCGATTCGCGAGGGTCCACAAGGGCCAAAATATTATAAGGGATGTCAGTTGGGGAGAAATGTGTGAGGGGATGGTTTATGTAGGAGCAGAGCCGACTCGTTTCCCGAGATTATCACCCTAGAGGTTGGCATTCGTGCTAAGAAAAACATCGCGTCAGTGAATATGCTACTCGGAACATTCATTCGACGGGAAGAGTTCAGAATCAGACTTCAGATACAAGATACCATGGTTACTAACCATCAACTATATATTATCTTGAAGCTTGTTATCGATCCAGAAAGCTATCAGTGCTGTAGGTCCTAATCCAGTTAATGTGACCAATTGGTGAGAACTAACTAGTATTTGGATAGCATGCGGATGGCCGATCCAACGGTGGGGAACGCCTCGTGCACATCTAAGAGCTCGTGGAAATCCGAGCCGTCGGTTGCACCCACAAAGAGCCACTTGGATATCCTCGTTATAAACTCCTCCAGTGTGGGTGACAAGATGGCCTCCCAGTCGAGCTGAACGTCCGGAGGCGGCTTGGCGGTGATCTCCTTGCCGGCGGCGAGGAAAAGACCGAGCAAGCTGGAATAGCCGGCCATGGCAGAACCCCGAGACAGGGGAGAGAAGTTGTACCTGATGGTATGGGGTGGGGACATGGGCATGGGAAAGATGGGAGGTGAGGTGAGAGGTGAGTGTGTGGGTGGGAGGTTTTTCGAGGTGACTCAAGGGCCGAGCAGGCTGGAGTAGCCGGCCATGGCGGAACCCCGAGACAGCGGGGAGAAGTTGTACCTGATGGTGGGCGGTGGAAGGTGGGGGATGGGGGGTGGGGAGGTGTGTGGTGGGAGGTGGGATGTGTTTTGAGACGTGTCAGACGCTGAACAGGCTGGAATAGCCTGCCGTGGCAGGGCCTCGACTCAACGGGGAGAAGTTGTACCTGATGGTGGGAGATGGGGAGGTGGAGGAGTGGTGAGAAGGGAAGGTGAGTGGTGGGTGGCAGGTAGGGAGGTGATTGAGACATTTCGAGAGAACTGGGAGCACATGCACATACGCTCTAGAGGGAACAGAGAGCAAACACAGGTAGCATCTGGATTGACAGGCGCTGCATAAAAGGAAGCCCACCCAAAGATCATCACAGCTCTCCGTCTTAAAATGATTCAGCTGAAAAGCCTAGGGGGTACCCACCAGTAATAGATGCCAAAGTAGGGGAAGAGCCTAGGGGGTACCCACCAGTAATAGACGCCAAAGTAGGGGAAGAGCCTAGGGGGTACCCACCAGTAATAGACGCCAAAGTAGGGGAAGAGCCTAGGGGGTACCCACCAGTAGTAGACGACTCGCAGAATGGCGGTCTTCACGAGCTTGTCGTCCTTGCTCTTCTTGGCGTCTGCCATCACCTCACACAGGTTCTGTGCGAATGGAGGGGTGGGTGTTGGGTGGGGAAGAGGAGAACGGGAGGGGTGTCAGAGAGAACGACTGGTCCTTGCTGCTCTTGGCATATGCCATCATGTCACACTGCAGTATCGGCATTGCGGCCTCAACTGTGCTGTTATTGCAGCTGCTGTTACCATGCTGCTATGCTGCTGTTACCACACAATGGGGTCACATTACGTCCTCAAGTCTTACGTGGTTACGCTGCTGTTACCACATTACGCCCTCACCTCCCTTGCAGCTATGCTGTCATTACCACGTTACACCCTCTCTCACCTTCCACGCGGCAGTGAGCTCAGCATCATACTCCTTCCAATGGGGGGGTGTCAACGGCATGTTACCATGTCCCACTGCGGTTACCACGTTACGTTGCTGCTACCACTGTCCTCACCTTCCATGCGGCAGTGAGCTCAGCATCGTACTCCTTCCACCGGGGGGGCGTGAGGGGCATCTTGATAGCAAAGTCAAACGCGCCATCGCCCCTGCACAATGCAACCATGTAGCAAGGGTGAGTGTCAAAAGGGGAGCTGTGAATGCAAAGGGTATTGTTTCGAGACGAATTACTTTTGACCTCAGGCGAGGAAATGGGTGCAGGGGGAATGGTGACAGAGACTGGTGGAGAGACACCAATCCGGACCGCTGAGTATGGGTCTACGAGGGAATGGGTGCAGGAGTATGACTGGATTCGTTATAGAGCACTCCAATAAACGAATCTCATCTAGGAGGAAAGCTCTTGCCTGTCAGACGTGGTGAGCATGTGAGCACCTAGCGAAGAGAAGGAGGAATAAGTGGGCCTTACAGCTTTCGGACGGCAAGGGTTGTCCCGTTCAACATATAGCTGCAGACAGAAGGGAGGGGGGGAACGGGAAGAGCAGGGGAGACAGGGAGAGCGGGGGCGAAATGGAGGGAGGGGCACATAGAGAGAGGGAGAGACCGATAAGAACAACTGGGTAGAGGGAAGGAGGTGAGCAGAAGATTCGAGGAAGACAAGCTACCATGAGAAGGTGAATGAGGGGAGTGTGCTGAGCGCGTGAGAGAGGGAGGCAGCAAGGTTAAAGGATGGGGATGCGCATTGCGCTGCGCACCAAGAAAGGAAGGAAAGGGGGAAAGGACGTAGGGATACAGCCAGGACAACTGCGGGATGGCAGATGTAATCGGACGGACGAGGGAAGAAAACGGTGCAGGAAGGGTGTGGGAATGGTGGGGAAGGGTGGAGGAGGGGGAGGGAGTCTGGGAGGAAGGCAGAACGAGGTGAAATGAGTGAGTTTGGAAGGGGGGAGGGGGAAGGGGGGGAGAGGGGGCAGAGCAGACTCACTCGGGCTGCGCGGTGGAGAAGCAGGGGACTCACTCGGGCTGCTCGGTGGAGAAGCAGGGCACGGTGATGAGGAAGTTCTGCCCCACCACGTTCCACAGCTCCTCCGGTGTTTCCGCTGCTTCCACCTGCAGGGTGCATACCGGGGAGAGATGGCATACAGTGAAGAGAGGGAGGAAAGGGAAGGGATGCGATGGGAGAGGGGCACGGTGATGAGGAAGTTACATCACACGCAGCCCTGTGTATCAACGCACCCACACACACCCTCTCTCAACTCAGCGTCCATCTCAACAGGGATGCCGTATTTCTTGGTCAGGTCATGACCTCCACTTCCCCCGACTCGTTGGGTGCCAAGACCACATCATCACTCCAAGCCTCTACAATACTCCATCCACACGCCCCTCCTGTGTATCAACAAGAACCCCCCTCCCCCCTCTCTCACCTCAGCGTCCATCTCAACAGGAATCTCGTATTTCTGCGTTAGATCACCAATCTCCACTGCTCCCTGCTCCAACATCTCGTCCCTGATCAATGCGAAGGCCCTGCAGAGGGACAGGTATAAGGAGGGTAGGGGGCATGACGGGGAGAGGCATTAGGGTTGGGTTTCCACTGCCCCCTGCTCCAGCATCTCGTCCCTGGTCAGCGCGAACGCCCTGGAAGAGGGGATGTGAGGGAGGGGTGGGAGCAGAGGGGAGTAGAGGCGGATGAGATGGAGGGGTGCATGAGAAAGGAAAGGGGTGGAATGAAGGGGGCACTGCGCCCTGCTCCAACATCTCGTCTCGTCCCTGATCAGTGCAAAGGCCCTGGAAGAGGGGATGTGAGGGAAGGGAGATGAGGGAGAGGCGTGCAGGAAAGTAAAGCAGGGGTTAGGGGCAAGGCGGGGAGTAGAGACGGGTGGGATGAAGAGGGCACTTCTCCCTGCTACTAGCACTGTCTCCACTGCTGCTGTCTTTACTGCTGCTGTCTTTACTGCTGTGCTCCAGTGCGTGTCTCCCACCTCTGCCCTGCCCTGCGACAGGTCTCCCACCATCTCTCACCCCACCCACGCACCCACCTGTCGTAGTTGGCATAGTAGCGAAGGTTCTTGGAGTGCCCCTGCACCATTGCTGTCACGGCACCAAAGCCCTTCTCAAACTCCTCCTGGCTGCGAACAGCAGATGAGACGCACGATAATAGCACGTGGAAAGAAGCAGAGACACATGTAGGAGCAGCTGAGTGGTGTGTGTGGGCCTTGGCTAGCAGGTTACTCCTTGCTACAAGCGGCATGTGAACCGCAGATGAGAAGCACGAAAACAGCATGTGGGAAACAGCACAGAGAGAGACGTAGGAACAGCTCAGCGGTGTGTGTGGGCCTTGGCTGGTAAGTTACTCCTTGTTGCGAGCAGCATGTGGGAAGCAGATGAGATACAGGCCCCGCCATCACCAAACCCACAGCACCGACACCAACCGCACAGAATCTTTTCAAACCGCACAGCACAGCACCACACGGCAGCACTCACGTGAGCTGGTCGACCCACACGATGGGGTCACAGGGCTCTGACAGCAGCCGCCAGCGCACAGCAATGGAATACAGATCCCTCCACCCTCTCACCGTCACCCCTCCCCCTTCTTCTATCCTTCATAGCACCTTCACCAACCGCACAGCACCCTTACCAAGAGCACAGTACCCTTATCAAGAGCACAGCACCCTTACCAAGCGCACAGCACCGCACTGCAGCACTCACGTGAGCTGGTCGACCCACACGATGGGGTCACAGGGCTCGGACAGCAGCCGCCAGCGCACAGCAATGGAATACAGATCCCTCCACCCCCCCACCTGCCTTCCTCCCCATCCTTCACAGCACCATCACCAACCGCACCGCACCTTAACCAACCGCACAGCACCGCACAGCATCACTCACGTGAGCTGGTCGACCCACACGATGGGGTCACAGGGCTCCGACAGCAGCCGCCAGCCCCCCATTGTCACCCCTCCTTTCTCCTATCCTTCATAACACCATCACCAACAGCACAGCACCCTTACCAACCGCACAGCACCACACAGCAGCACTCACGTGAGCTGGTCGACCCACACGATGGGGTCACAGGGCTCCGACAGCAGGCGCCAGCGCACAGCAATGGAGTACAGGTCCCTCCACCCTCCCACCGTCACCCCCGCGTCCTCCTCATCATCCTCATCCTCATCCTCCTCCTCATCGTCATCGTAATCGTCGTAGTGGTCGCTTCGCCTGCTGGAGCTGGCGCGCCCCTTGCTGCTGCTGCCGCCCTTGCCCTGCTGCTTGCTCGCTGCTGCTGCCTGCTCTTTCCACGTGGCCTGTGCTGCCTGCATCATCTCCAGTGCTGCCATGCCTGCTGCGCGGTGCTGGGTTAATAGGAACGGTGGAGAAGGGCGGAGAGGGGTGGAGAAAGATAGAGAAGAAGAGCAGGGGAGAAGGAGAATGAGAGTAAGAACGAGAGTAAGAGGCCTGTGCTGCCTGCATCATCTCCGGTGCTGCCATGCCTACTGCGCGGTGTTGTTCATTGGGTAGGAGGGTGGGATGGGGGAAGGAGAACGAGAGTAGGAGGGAGCAACCGTCAGGCACTACATGACCCAAGGCTCTCGCCAGGTGGCCTGTGCTGGTGCTGCCTGCATCATCTCCAGTGCTGCCATGCCTGCTGCGTGGTGCTGGTTTGCTTAAAACAGTAGGGAAGGGCAGAGAGGGCCGAGGAAGAAGACATGAGAAGAGGCTAGAACATTTCATGTGCAGTGGCTGTGTCATTCCCAATGCTGCCATGCCAAGTCACCATGATGACATTTCTCTGGTTGAGCAAACGCCAAGCCTACCTGGCTCTGATTGGACAGATGCCGAGCCTACCTTGGGCAAAAGCTGAGCATACCTGCCACTGACTGAGCAGGCGCCAAGCACACCTGTCTCTGGTTGGGCAGGAAGCCGGGGGAAGTGTACTGAGTGCGGCCACCAACGGTGTCTGCAGCCTTGATGAGCTCCTTCCTGCCCCGCTTCACCTGCTCGCTCACGTGCCTGATGTGGCATGATGTGATGTGATGCATGTTGTGCGCATATGAGGTATCATGCACGGTGCATGATGCATGGCGTGTGCACGTGATGTACCACGCATATCATGTGTCAGTGCATGCATGCAATGCAAGCGCACATGCATGCACACACACACATGCACAAACACATACAGGCAAACATGCACACACACAACGCAGCAGCAGCGTTTAGATTTTGACAACTACAAAATGAACACAGCAACAGCAGAAGTTATGAAATCCCTCCTCTCATGTTCTCCTCCCCCTCTCTCGCATTTCTATTCCCCACTCATATCCTCGAGTCTCATATCCTCCTCATTCACCCACCTCTCTGGCACGTTTCCAGGGGGTAGGCCGGGATGAGGCGAATTGCTGTGCGTACCTCTCACATCCCATTCTCCCATTTCCCCCTCTCACTCAACCCCCTATCCTATATCACCATCTCTTATCCCTCTCTCACCCACCTCTCTGGTTTCAACTGGTTGTCAAATGCCGCCCGGTATGGTTGCGGGCGGTAGGCTGGGAAGAGGTCGGTGGGCACGGATCGACGCGCCCAGGCTTGCTGTGAGGGGCAGTGGTGGAGGTGGTGAGAGGGGGGGAGAGGAGGAGGAAGAGAAAGCAACGTAAGAAGAACAAGAAGAAGACAAGCTGGTATGGCTTCCCCTGGTCATTGCAAGCCTCTCCTTTTGGGTATATATATATATATTAATAAATATAGTAAGAAAAAAGGTGAAGTGATGTTATTGCTTTGTGAAAAAAACTCGAAAATCTGCATGAACTCTTTGCCTCGCCTTGTGCCCCAAACCCCACGCCAGGTTCTGTCAAGCTGAGACGACAAGCCTACCTTGAATTCGGGCCCGAAGTTGTCTTCAAAGTCAAAGTCGCGGAGAGGCTTGTTGAGGCGAGACGCTGTGAACTGCGCCACCTCCCTCTGTTCATGGGAGCGACAGGGTGGGAGGGAGAGGGCGGGAGAGAGTGACAGATGCATGGAGAGGGTGAGGGAGACGGAGAGGCTTGTTGAGGCGAGACGCTGTGAACTGCGCCACCTCCCTCTGTTCGTGGGGAGTGGTTGGTGAGAGGGAGAGGGTGGGAGAGAGTGACAGAAGCATGGAGTGGAGAGGATGAGGGAGACGGAGAGGCTTATTGAGGCGAGAAGCTGTAAGCAGTGCCACCTCCCTCTGTGCATGCGAGTGAGTGGTGCATGGGGAGTGGCGGGTTAGAGAGATAGAGTGAGCGGGTGGGAGAGAGTGAACCGGTGAGAGAGTAAGATCGAGCGAGTGAGGGTTGGTGAGGGTGAGTGAATGCATGCAAGTGAGTGGGTGGCCTGAGTGAGGAACCAAGAGACAGCACGAGGGCAGCAAACGAAAAAATGCAAAGAAAAAGGAGAAGGAAGGTGCGAGAAGCATGAACTCTTGCAGGAGATGCTTAATGCAGTGCGGGACAATGAGATGGAATAGCCAAACCAGCAACCTCCCTGTGGGAACCGAAAATGGGGGGTTTAGGCTTCCGGATTCTGGGTGTAACTCTGCTGAGATGAGCCCACCTGGTAGCACAAGTTTAGGGAGTGTAAGACTGCTGAGGGGAGCCCACCTGGTAGCACAAATTTTAGGGGGTGTAAGGCTGCTGGGAGGGGCTCACCTGATAGAATGCCATGAAGAGCAAGGGCTGCTCCACCTGGCGCGTGGGCTTGGTTGGCCATTTTTTAGTCTAAACCATAGTCACCTGGGTGTAAAGCTGCTGAGAGGAGCTCACAGGGTAGGAGAAGATTAGGGCGTAAGGCTGCTGAGAAGGCTCACCTGGTAGAATGCCATGAAGAGTAAGGGCTGCTCCTCCTGCCGTGTAGGCTTGGACAACAGAGCATCGTATGTCGTCACCTGGTGGTGTGAGAGGCGGGAAAGAGTGCGGGAGGGGCGCTTCATTTGGGTGGTAACCAGCTTGCAGTGTGGGTTTGGACAAGAGAGCATCGTATGTCGTCACCTGGTGGTGCGAGGGCGGGGGAAAAGTGAGTTAGGGGCGCTTTGGTCATTTGGGTAGTTCCATCCTAGTGTGGGCTTGGCCAACAAAGCATCGTATGTCACCACCTGGTGGTGTGAGGGGAAGGAGTGGGAGGGGGCGAGGAAGGAGGGAAGGCGAGACACTGGTGCGGAGCCGGAGTGTAATTCCTATCCACCGATGAGAGCATGAGCATCACATGCACCTTCTCCCCACGTCACTCACTGCGTCCTGCAGCTGCCCCAGCGCGTGGTGGCACGACCCCTTGATGTAGTGCCCCTCCACATTCAAGGGTTGCGGGCTTAAAGTGTGGGGTCTAGGGTTGAGAGAGCATCACATCATCACATGCTGAATACTTTGTGAAGATTGTGAATTGAACAAGTAATTAGATTAGAGGAACAACCTAGCATACATAGTTGGAAGGGAAGGTTGGAAGGGAAGGATGAAAGTGACCATAGGTTGGGTTGACCTCACTTGGGGAAGTGAGGGAACCATAGGTCAAGTGGGTTGGGTTGCCCACACTTTGTAGAAGTGAGGCAACCCTAGGCCCACTTGGCTTGGGGTAACCTCAATTGTGGGAAGTGAGGTACCCACAAGTCAAGAGGGTTGCATTTGGGGGCTCCACCACAATTGGGTGGATTGGCACCCCAAAGTGCAAGACTACACCCAAAGTTGGGTGTAGTCCCAACCCAACTGTACACCACAATTGGTGTACAGTCACATGTGTTGGCATGCTACACAATATATATTTTAACACAACCCCTTAGCATGCTAACACAAGAAGAGAACAACCCCTGAATCAAGGGGCGCCCGGGCGAGCAAGGCCAATGAGGCGGAGGAAGGCAGAGTGCGCGGGGCGAAGGAGGGCCTTAGTGAAGATGTCGGCCAAGTTGGCCTCGGTTGCAATCTTGCGAACGGCAATGAGGCCCTTCTGGACGAGCTCGCGAACGAAGAAGTAGCGGAGTTCGATGAACTTGGAGCGGGCGTGATAGACGGGGTCCTGAGTGAGATGGATGGTGCTGGCGTTGTCGCACCAGAGAGTGGGGCACGTCTGGGGGCCGCCAAGCTCCGCAAGAAGGAAGCAGAGCCAGCGCGACTCCTGGGCGGCCATGGTGCCAGCGTAGAGCTCGGCTTCGCAGGTGGAGAGAGAGATGGCGGAGGAGCGGGTGGAGCGCCAGCTGATGAGGCCGCTGCCAAGGGTGAAGCCGTAGCCCTGGGAGGAGCGGCGGTCCGGCTACGTGTCAGCCCATGAGGAGTCACTGAAGTCCGAGAGAAGGGGACGGGAAGGGCCGCCGAGGGTGAGGGCAAGGTCCCTGGTCCCGCGAAGGTAGCGGAGGACCCGCTTGGCAGCTTTCCAGTGCTCCTCAGAGTGACGACCGGTGCCGACAAAGCGAGCGAGCACGCTGATGGGGTAGGCGAGGTCGGGGCGGGTGCACATCATTGCGTACATCAAGGACCCAACGAGCTCGGCATAGGGGTGGGGGGAGGAGGTGGGGGAGGTGGGTGGAGCGAGTTGGTGACCGAAGGGGAGCGGGGTGGAAACAGGCTTGGCTTGCGCCATGTCGAACTTCTCCAAGACCTGGCCGATGTAATGGGACTGGGAGAGGGTGATTGTGCGAGCAGGGCGGTTGCGCGTGATGGTCATGCCGAGGTAGTGAGTGAGGGCGCCAAGGTCTTTGCACTTGAGCCGCTGCTGCAGGGACAGCTTCACCTGCCCCATGTCGGCCTTGGTGTCAGAGAGCAGGATCATGTCGTCGACATATACCAGAATGAAGAAGCGGCGGGGGGAGGAGCGGATGAAGAGGCTGGCGTCGGAGTGGGAAGCAGAGAAGCCGAGGGACCCCAAGGTGGCAGCCAGCTTCGCATGCCACTCACGCGGTGCCTGCTTCAAGCCGTAGACGGGGCGACGCAGCTGCCAGACAGTGTTCTTAGGAAAGGCTGCGTGGAACCCGGGGGGTCGCCGGAGGAAAATGCGCTCATGCAGGTCGCCCTGCAGGAACGCATTGGAGACGTCCATGGAGTCGATTTCCATGTCGTCACGTGCACCAATGTCCATGGCGGCGCGAAGGGTGGGTGGTTTGGCGGTGGGGGCGTAGGTGAACCAGTAGTCCTCAGCCCAAGTCTGCGTGAACCCCTTGGCGCAGTAGCGGGCCTTGTACACTGGTTCCTCGCCCGGCAGCTGCTTCACCCGAAAGACCCATTTGCCGTCAACGAGATTAGCGCCAGCAGGGAGGGGGACATCGACAAAGGAGTCGTTGCGAATGAAAGCCTCACACTCCAGGAAGATCGCTGCTATCCATTTATCCGCATCAGGGCAGGTGATGGCTTCCTGGAAGGTGGAGGGAGTGAAGATGGTGGGGTTAGTAGTGGCGCCAGGGACAGGAAAGCCCAGGAAGTCAAGGTAGAGGGCGGCAAGGAATGGAGTGTGCTCCCGAATGTTAAGAAACTCCTCATGGGAGTCCTCAAGGAGCTGAATGGAGGCAGGAGGAGGAGCCCCAAGGATTTTGTCCACAGAGCGGGTATGGATGTAAGGGAGGAGGAAGGGGGAGGAACGGGAAGTGGCACGACGCCGCTGCTGCTGCTGGTGCTGCGGAAGCTGCTGCCCTTGTTGCTGCGGCTGCGGCTGACCGTGCTGGTGCTGCGGCTGCTGAGGCTGCTGAGGCTGCTGCTGCTGCTGCTGCTGCTGTCCCGACTGCCGCTGCTGCTGCTGCTGCTGGCCCGGCTGCTGCTGCTGCTGCTGCCCCGGCTGCTGTCCCGGTTGCTGCTGCTGCTGCTCCGGCTGCTGGAAGGAGGGAGAGGGAGAGGAGGAGGGAGGGGGGGGAGGGGGTGCGGCCGAGTGAGCGGGGGAAGCGGGTGCGGCAGGGTCGTAGACATCGGCGGAGGAGGAGGGCGGGAGCGGAGCTGCGGCGGGTGGGAGGAGAGGGGCTGGAGGGAGAAGGGGCGGGAGGACGGTGTCGGTCCAAGCAAGGGCACGAGTGGGAGGAGGGAGAGGATCAGGGGGAGGAGTGGAGTAATAGGGGACGGATTCGTCGAAGACGACGTCGCCGCTGCGGATGAGGCGATTGGTGGGAGGGTGGAGGAAGAGGTAGCCTGGGGAGTCGCGATTGTGCCCAAGGTAAACGCATTCCAGGGCGCGAGGAGCAAGCTTGCCAGCGGCGCGGGAGCGGTCGGCGGGTGGGATGAGAACGAAGGCCTTGCAGCCCCAAACGCGAAGGCCGGCAGCGTCGGGTTTGGCGTTGGACCAAAGCTCTGTAGGGGAGGAGGAAGGATGCTGAGGGTGGGAGCGGAGATTAAGGAGAAGAGCGGCGTGGAGGAGGGCATAGCTCCAGAGGGAAGGAGGGGTGGAGGCATGAGCAATGAGACAGCGAGCTATCTTGGTGATCTCACGAATGCGGCTCTCAGCAATGCCGTTCTGCTGAGGGGAGTGGGGAAGGGTGGAGGTCTGTTGGATGCCGTAGGTGTTGCAGTATGTGGCAAGGGTGTTATTGATGAACTCACCCCCACCGTCAGAGTGAAGGCGGCCGATGGGGCGTTTGAAGTGATTGCGGCACTGTTCGGCCCAGTTGATGACCACTGCCGGCACCTGGTCTTTCGTGTGAAGGAAGAAGGTGGTGGAGTACCGGCTGTGGTCGTCAACGAGGACGAGCATGTACCGATGCCCCTGGCGGGAGCGGATGGGATAGGGGCCCCAGAGGTCCATGTGCACAAGGTCAATGGGGGCGGCGGCGAAGGTGGGATGACTGTGGTGGGGGGACTGTTTGAGCTTGCCGTGAATGCATGAAGGGCATGGGGGAGAGGGGGAGGAGGGGAGGGGAGGTAAAACAGGAGGAAGGCTGCGGAGGAGGCGAGAGGTGACTGTGGTGCGAAGGGCGGTGAAGTTGGGATGGCCGAGTCTGTGGTGTAAGAGGACAGCAGGGTGGGAGAGGGTAGTGGAGGAGGAGGGAGATGGGGTGATGGAAGGAACGGGAGGGGAGGAGGAGGATGGTGGGGAGGGAGAAGAGGATACGTGAGGGGGAGGGGAAGGGGGAAGTAAAGGAGGAGGTGGACCGGTGGAAGCACCGGAACGAGTGGTGACGTGGCAGAAGGATGGGCGAGGCGTGCGGAGTGTGTAGAGGCGAGTGCGGGGGCAAAGCGGAATGCGGAGAAGGAAGCGACCGGAGGAGGTTTGGTAGAGATCACAGTAATTGGCATAACCGGGGTAAATGGCAGTGATACCAACACCTTGGAGCTCACGGTGGGAGAGGAGGTTGTTGCGGAGAGTGGGGATGTGGAGACCTGTGACCTTACCGGAGGGGAAGGCAGTGCAAGGGAGGGTGGAGAGGTGAGTGCATGGAATGGAAAAGCTGGAATCAGCCCCATGAACCTGAGTGGGAAGTGGTAGTGGGGTGAGAGTGCCAGCGTCTTTCAGTGCGGTTTCAGTGGCTCCACTGTCAAGGACAAAGTCCAGGGTGGGAGAAGAGGGAGGAGGGGGTGGGACGGGGTACTGAAACGAAGTCTCATTGATAGCAGAGGGATACATGGCAGCGACGGACGGTGCAACACTGATATTACCAAGGAAACTACCAGAAGTGTCGGGAACACTGGGGGGGGCAGAGGGGAGGGAACCCCAGGGGGGAGGAGGAGGAAGGGAGGTATGAGCGGCCATGGCCGCTGTGCCGAAGGTGAGTGGCTGCTGCTGCCAGGGTGGGGGAAGGAACTGCTGCTGCTGCTGCGGCGGTGGCTGGAAGAACTGCGGCGGCGGCGGCTGCTGGGGCTGGAGAAACTGCGGCTGCTGCTGCTGCTGGTGGAAGTACAGGTGCTGCTGCTGCTGGTGCTGCTGAAACTGCTGCAGCTGTGAGGGTGGGGAGGGGGTAACCATGCGGAGGTGAGCAGGAAGGAAAGAGGGGAGGGTTTGAATGTCCACTAAGGAGGGGCGAGGTGTGACCGAGTTCCAGCGAGGAGGGGTGCCAGTGTTGCCGCGATCAAACCAGGCGTCGTCGAGTGCCTTAAAGCACGTGGTGGGGGGATGGTTGATCTGGCCGCAAGGGGTACCTGCATGGGGACCATGGCGACGCACATATGTGCATGGGGGGAGAGTGCCAGGGCGTCCGCCTCGAGTCACAGCACCTCCAGCAGGGGCGCTGCCAGCACCACCACCACCGCCACCACGGCCACCACGGCCACCACTACCACCACCGCCACCACCACGGCCTCCACCACCACCACCGCCACCCGCTCCACGGCCTCCGCCGCCGCCGCTGCGACCACCCTGGTTGCGCGGCTGCGTAGCGTTGAGGGAGGTGGAGGAGGAGGACTGAGGGGTGGTAAGGTTGACAACGGGGGTGCGGAGCTTGACCTCCGTGTCAATGATCCACTGGACCACGTCGTCGAGGCCGGCCATGGGGTTGGCCTCAGCGAAGGCATGGAGGCGGGACTCGTAGTCCGGGGTGAGGTTGTAGAGGAGGCGGTGGATTTGCAGGGGCTCGGGGAGGGCAGCTTGGCGTGCCGCAAGGCGATCAGCGACCTCCTGCATGCGCCCCACGTAGTCAACTGCGCCATCACAAGTGGCGAGGGTGATGGAGAAGTACTCCTGGAACAGGGCGCCGACAGAGCTGATGTCGCGACGCTCGAACATGGCCTGGAGCTCGGCCCAGATGAGGGAGGCGCGCATCTCGCGAGCTTGGAAACGGCGCATGAGGGTATTAGGGAGTGCGCTGAGGAGGATGGTGCAGGCGCGGTTGTCAGCAGTGGCCCATGCGATGCTCCGAGGGAGGTAGTCCGCCATGGCCGTATTGTACTCATCAAGGAGCGCCAGGCGATTGGCGCGTTCCGCTACCGCGAAGTCGTGGTTATGTACCGCAACCTCATGCTCCGCCTTGCGGATGAGGTATTCGCGGCGATCGTGGAGAAATGCGGCATCGGCGGCATCTTGGAGCGCTGGGGTAGTGGCGATCTCCAAGGTGGGTTCAGGAGGAGGAGGACCAGGAGGAATGGGGGGTGGAGGGGGTTCGTCGGGGTGATTGGGTGCCGTGGGCTGGAGGGCTTGCGGGCGGCGGAGGAGGACGTCAAGGACGCAGTAGGGTCCGACGAATGCATCTTGGAGAACACGGCGGATGCTCCCGACGAAGGAATGCCAGTTGATCGCCGAGCGGTCCGCGGCAAGCTGAAGCTTGTCGACGGAGGAGGCGTCAATGGGAGGGGGGAGAGGGGGAGGAGTGGTAGCCATGAGGGGCGACGGCGGGTGGACCCGCGGCAGCCGAGAGGGAGGGGGGGGGGGGGGGGGGAGGGGGGGGGGGGGTGCTGCTGCGGGGAGTGGAGTTCTTCTCCGGCTGCTGCTGCTGCTGCCGATGCTGCCGCTGCTGGCGCTGCTGGCGCTGCTGCTGAGAGGGAGGAGGGGGGGGGGGGGAGGGGAGGAGGGGGAGGAAGATGGTGGATGCAGCTGCTGCCGCTGCTGTCGCTGCTCCTGATGCTGCCGCTGCTGCCGCTGTTGCTGCTGTGGCTGCTGAGCTGTCCCGGCTGCTGCTGCGTGGGAGGAGAGGAGGAGGAAAGGGGGAGGGGGAGGGAGAACGCAGGTGTAGCTGTGGGCGAAGCTGTTGCTGCCAATGACGCTGCTGCTGCGGGATGAGGCGGCTGCTACGAGGAACGTGCGGCGGCGGGATGCGCGGGTGGCGACGAGGGAATCGTGGCGGCGGAATGAGCGAGCGGCGACGAGGAGGGCGCGGCGGAGGGACGCGCGGGCGGCGACGGGGAAGGCGCGGCGGTGGGATGCGCGGGCGGCGACGAGGAAGGCGCGGCGGCGGGATGCGCGGGCGGCGACGAGCAGGTCGCGGCGGTAGGATGCGGGGGCGGCGATTGTTAGGTCGCGGCGACGGGATGTGCGGGCGGCGACGAGCAGGTCGCGGCAGGAGGTCGCGCGGGCGGCGACATTAGGTCGCGGCGGCAAGGGGTGCAGGCGGCGACGAGAAGGTCGCGGCGGCAAGGGGTGCAGGCGGCGACGAGAAGGTCGCGGCGGCGGGATGCGCAGGCGGCGACGCGAAGTCGCGGCGGCGGGTCGTGCAGGCGGCGACGCGAAGTCGCGGCGGCGGGTCGTGCAGGCGGCGACGCGAAGTCGCGGCGGCGGATCGTGCAGGCGGCGACGAGCGGGTCGCGGCGGCGGGATGCGTAGGCGGCGACGGGGGGTCGCGGCGATGGGGAGTGCAGGCGGCGACGCGAAGTCGCGGCGGCGGGACAGGAGGCGACGACGGGGCGTCGCGGCGGCGGGATGCGCAGGCGGCGCCGAGGAAGGCGCGGCGGCGGTGGGGGGAGGCGGCGACGCGACGTCGCGGCAGCGGGAGGGGCAGGCGACGACGGGGCGTCGCGGCGGAGGGATGCGCGGGCGACGCCGAAGTAGGCGCGGCGGCGGGAGGGAGACGGCGACGGGGGGTCGCGGCAGGGTGAGGAGGAGGCGGCGACGAGGCGTCGCGGCGGGATGTGCAGGCGGCGCCAGAGAAGGCGCGGCGGCGGAAAAAAGGGGGAGGGGGGGGGGGGGGGGGGCAGCGACGGTGTGTCGCGGCGACGGGGGGCGGTGATGCACTCGCGGCGGTGGGATCCGCAGGCGAGGAGGGCGCAATCACGGCGGAGGGAGGGGAGGGCGGCGACGACGTAGGTCGTGCCAAGGAGATGCTAGGTTGAGCCACACGTAGGGGGTTTGTGGCTGTGGGGTGGGCCCATGGGGAAGAAAAAACTTTGAGGGAGGGAGAAAAAAGGCTTAGGAACAACTAGCTCTATACCATGTGAAGATTGTGAATTGAACAAGTAATTAGATTAGAGGAACAACCTAGCATACATAGTTGGAAGGGAAGGTTGGAAGGGAAGGATGAAAGTGACCATAGGTTGGGTTGACCTCACTTGGGGAAGTGAGGGAACCATAGGTCAAGTGGGTTGGGTTGCCCACACTTTGTAGAAGTGAGGCAACCCTAGGCCCACTTGGCTTGGGGTAACCTCAATTGTGGGAAGTGAGGTACCCACAAGTCAAGAGGGTTGCATTTGGGGGCTCCACCACAATTGGGTGGATTGGCACCCCAAAGTGCAAGACTACACCCAAAGTTGGGTGTAGTCCCAACCCAACTGTACACCACAATTGGTGTACAGTCACATGTGTTGGCATGCTACACAATATATATTTTAACATACTTCCTTTCCCCACACCACTCACAGCGCCCTGCAGCTGCCCCAGGGCGTGGTGGCATGACCCCTTGATGTAGTGCGCCTCCACATTCAAGGACCTAAGGTTTAACGTGTGGGGTCTAGGGTTGAGAGAGCATCACAAGCAGCATGCATCCACTCACGGCGTCCTGCAGCTGCCCCAGCGCGTGGTGGCACGACCCCTTGATGTAATGCCCCTCCACAATCAAGGTTCAGGGTTCAAGGCTAAGAGCATCACATGTGGCATCATGGCATGTTTCCACTCACCGCGTCCTGCAGCTGTCCCAGGGCGTGGTGGCATGACCCCTTGATGTAGTGCCGTGCCCCTCCACGTTTGGGAATCACGGTTTGGGGTTCAGCTAAAGAGAATCACACGCAGCATGCATCCACTCACCGCGTCCTGCAGCTGCCCCAGCGCGTGGTGGCACGACCCCTTGATGTAATGCCCCTCCACATTCTCCGGCTCGAGCTGCATTGCCACCCGCACCAGCTCCAGCGCATGCCTGCAAACAGTGAGGTGGGAGAGAGAAGAGGGGGGCATGTTGAGAAGCATCCTCTTTGTTCTCCGGCTCGAGCTGCATTGCCACCCGCACCAGCTCCAGGGCATGTCTGTGTGAGGTGTGATGCGAGAAGCAAAGACGGGGTAAAGGAAAGGGAGGCGGGGTGGGGGGGGTTGGAGGAGCCTCCTAGTTTGTTCTCCGGCTCAAGCTGCATTGCCACCCGCACCAGCTCCAATGCATGGTTGTGTGAGTGAGGTGTGGTGAGAAAAAGAGGAAAGAAACCGTGTTAGGGAGACTCCTTGAGGAATTTCCTAGACGTAGCTCACAGACGCTCAAATCGGCAGCATCTCAGGCCCTAAACCATGCTACGATAGCTATGCAGGACGCATGCACAGACTCACTTGTGGTCGCCCATGGCGTGCTTGAGCAGCGCCCACACGCGGTACGCTTGGGCTCTGGAGACAGCTGGGAGCTAGCATGGGCGAGCGTACAGTGCAGTCGAGTCCATGCGGAAGACAGGGCAGGGAACTCACTTGTGGTCGCCCATGGCATGCTTGAGTAGCGCCCACACGCGGTACGCTTGGGCGAACCTGGAGGAGAGGAGGGTGGGAATGGGGTCATGAGGCACAGGCACGGAGGCAGTGAACGAAGCATGGGGGCATGGAGACATGGAGGCATGGAGGCAAGGATGGGAGTATGGAGGCATGAAGGCATGGAACAGGTTATGGCAACGAGAGAAAACCATGATTCATAGGTGCCCTCGCTTCACCTGGTCACGATGCCATGCTACAGGTTTTTCTGATCCAGGCATGGCTTGTCTTGTCACTCACCTGGGTTCCAGCTGCGTCGCCTTGCGGTATGCCTGCTCATCCCTGCCAGGCATGGCCAGCTCCTTGGCGGCCTGCCCCATGTACAGCCACGCCATAGATATCATTGCTGCACCCATGCCATTGAAAAATACCTCTTCCCATTACTCCAACCCCACTTCACCACACTCACCTGGGCTCCAGCTGCGTGGCTTTCCTGTAGGCCTGCTCCGCCCTGTCAGGCATGGCGAGCTCCTTGGCGGCCTGCCCCATGTACAGCGATGCCATCCTGTTGCCCGGGTTGCTAGGGTTGCCTCAAGCAGCAAGGCACCTGGTTAAGTCTAGCGGTACCTGGGCTCACCTGGGCTCCAGCTGAGTGGCCTTGCGGTAAGCCTGCTCCGCCCTGTCAGGCATGGCGAGCTCCTTGGCGGCCTGCCCCATGTACAGCGACGCCATCCTGTTGCCCGGGTTGCTAGGGTTGCCTCAAGCAGCAAGGCACCTGGTTAAGTCTAGCGGTACCTGGGCTCACCTGGGCTCCAGCTGAGTGGCCTTGCGGTAAGCCTGCTCCGCCCTGTCAGGCATGGCGAGCTCCTTGGCGGCCTGCCCCATGTACAGCGACGCCATCCTGTTGCCCGAGTTGCTAGGGTTGCCTCAAGCAGCAAGGCACCTGGTTAAGTCTAGCGGTACCTGGGCTCACCTGGGCTCCAGCTGAGTGGCCTTGCGGTAAGCCTGCTCCGCCCTGTCAGGCATGGCGAGCTCCTTGGCGGCCTGCCCCATGTACAGCCACGCCATCCTGTTGCCCGGGTTTGCATCCACCACCTTCTCGTAGATCTCCATCGCCTCCTCTGTTTCGCCCAGCCCCACCAGAGACTCCGCCTGCAAAGTATACGCACAGAGAGAGGGGGGAGCATAACAGAGTGCTTGTCAAAACACCCACCCACCCAACCGGCAATGTGTGCAATGTGTGCAATGTGTGCAAACCCCTCCTTGGGCATCGCGGCCACCTCTGCCCTAAGGTCCTTGGCCGATTCGTACAAGGCAGCTTCTTCACTCTCTGCAGTGCAGCAAGCACAGCTACAGTGTGCAATCCACCTCAACACATATGTTTCCCGCTTACCAGAGCAACGTGTGCCAGCTCCTCCTTGGGCATCACCGCCACCTCTGCCCTCAAGTCATTGGCTGTTTCGTACAAAGCAGGTTCAGCACTCTACGTATCTCATCTCAGTAGTGCAGCGGGCAGGGGCCATAGATACTGCACTCTACCTCTCAACACATATGTTTCACACTCACCAGAGCAACGTGCGCCAGCTCCTCCTTGGGCATCACGGCCACCACCGCCCTCAGGTCTTTGGCTGCCTCGTAAAAACGCCGTGCCCTTGCATAGACCATGCCTGGTGGGTGGTGGTGAGCGGAAGCAGAAATGGTGTGGTGGTGAGCAGATTGTTGAAAGTAAGCATCAGTTACGTGTGGCATTGGAAAAAAAAAAAACACTGTGTGGCAAGGCCACAAGCCTCAAGCAGCATCCTGACCTCATCGCTGCAGACTCTTGCCCCTCTCTTCTCCCTTCACTTTCCACTTTCATCCGGTAAATAACTTGCCCAGCCCAACGCCCCATCTCCTTCCCCAGGCCTCTCCCCTGCCATCACACGCATTGTTTCCCCCGGTATCAGCTCACCTTGCTCCATCAGCAGGTCCATCTGGACCACCCATACCCGCCCCACCCCTCCTCTCCTCACCTCGCTCCATCAACAGGTCCATCTGCCCCTTCTCCAGGCTGAGCGCCGTGGTGAAGTCCTCTATAGCCTGATGAATGGTGGGAAGCGAGGCATCAAGGGGGAAAGAGAGGCCCGAAACGAGATGTGATGATGGGTTTGGGAAGGAACACGTGTGTGAGGAGGGAGGGACACGGCCACCCTGCAGGAGCAGGAAGCACCAATCCCTTAGACACTGTTGACTTACCTTGTCGAACCCGCTACTGTTGACCTTAACCACATCACAGTGCACTAATCCAAAAACCCAAAACCGACCTCCGCGACTGGGACCATGCATCACATCCAATACCCAAAACCCGTCGATGCACCTGACACTGAAACTCCAAATCTTTGACACATCACATACCACCCACCCTCCTAGCTCCAGATCCAAGCAGTGTCAACTCACCCCGTCCACTTCCCCTATGGCAGGTCGGGCCTGGGCCCTCCTGCGCCATGCTAGCCTGCGCCACGGACGGACTTACCTTACCACCACACCCCAGCACCATGTACTCACCCCGTCCACCTCCCCTATGGCTGCTCGGGCCTGGGCCCTCCTGCGCCATGCGTCCACCATCTTGGGGTCCAGCTCGCATGCCTGGCATGGCGGAAAGGAGGGGTAGGGTGGAAGGGAGGTTGAGACGGGAGAGCGATGGGGTTGGTGGTGGAGGAGGGATGCACTCCGATGGAATTTCTGAGGCGCCTCAAAGGTGGTTTGAGTTCTGCTGCGCCACCGAATTCACTATCATGGCCTCATTAGTTAGAAGTATTGGTGAACTTACTCACACGCAACTCAGTACTCACCTCCCTTTTGAGACCAATCCCAAGTGGTGGGATACGATGCGACTGACGCGATGGTATAGTTTGGAATGAGGCTTGCATGAGAGGAAGACGCTTGCATTGAGTTATGTAGTGGGATTGCATAAGAAGGCGGGGGATAGGCAGGGCCCAGGGTTTAGGCAGAACAAGAACGAAAACGAGTGAAGAGACGGCGGATTGCTGTGGGAAGGAACAACACCACGGAGCGTCTTTGATCCGCAAACTTCCCACCCACCAGAGAGTAATCCTCAATGGCTTCCTTGATCTTGCCCGAGAACGCTTCGGCAGTTCGTCGACTAGCAGTCACGCTCACTACTAAGATGACTGAAGCACCCACCTGTAGAGAGGTTATTTTTGAGACGTCTCAAAAATAACCTCTCTACACGTCAGTTCGTCGACTAGCAGTCACGCTCACTACTAAAATGACTCAAGCACCCACCAGAGAGTAATCCTCAATGGCTTCCTTGATCTTGCCCGAGAGCGCGTAGGCGGTGCCTCGGCCAATGAGAGCCGGCGCACTGTTGCCCAGCTCGTCAAGGAGCTGGGGGATGAAGGGAAGGGGGAGACACGGGGGAAGGGGTAGGGTGGGGGGGAGCGAAGAGGAGCAGGTGGGAGAGTCCAGGGGTGAGGGGGTTGGGGTGGGGTTGGGGGATATGGGAAGGGGGGAATGTTTGTGAGCAAAGGGGAGGGTTGACGGGGGCTAAGATAGGGGTTGATCCTTCAAGGCATAGATGCACAGAGAATGGAACGAGGACAGGTTCCGTTGGGAATACAAGTGGCAAGTATGCAATCAAGGAATGTTGATGTCAAAACAGGATGTTGATGACATAGCGGAACGTTGATGACATAGCAGAATGTTGATGACATAGCAGAATGTTGATGACATAGCAGAATGTTGATGACATAGCAGAATGGTGATGTTGTAACAGAATGTTGATGTTATAACAAAATGTTGATGTCATAACAAAATGTTGATGCCATAATAGAATGTTGATGTTATAATAGAATGCTGATTTTGTATTAAAGTGCTGATGTCATAATAGAATGTTGATGTCAGAGCAGAGGAGACGTGATTTACATCGTACTACCGGAGGTGCAAGTGTTTCTCATCTCACTCACAGAGCTAAGTGCAAGTGTCTCTACCTCCCTCATACCAGAGTGAACGTGTTGATGGCTTCGTCGAACTTCTGCTGATTAACTTGCTGCACGCCCAGGTTAATCATCACTTCGTTGAACTGCCGCGTCATCACGTTCCCGCCGCCCCCAGGGGGCATCATCGTCCCCCTGTTGCCCTTCTTCTTCGGCTGCTGGTCCAGCGCCGTTGGCGGAGCCACGAGGGGGACGAAGAAGGGGAGCGGGGGGAGCAGCGCGCGGCGCAGGCAGAGGGAGAGGCGGGACTCGTCCGCCAGGGGGAGCGGGGGAACTGGGTCGCGCAGCATTACGGATACGGGCTGGGACATCGGCGCGCCCATGGGGAACAGGCGCGCGCCTGAGCGGAAAGAAAGAGCGGAAGGGAGTTTCGGTAGATATTTTTGAAAAGGCGCGTGGATATTTTAACTAGAAGCTTGCAACTAAAAACATGTCTTAGGAGGATTTGACCAACTTATGCGTGAAAATGCATGGAAGAAAATAGATGAGACAAGTTCATATGGGGATCAGTACAGCGGGAAGCGTACCGCGCTTCAGGAGCACCTCCCCGCACAGCGCATCACGGAGGAACGCCTGACCGGCCGGATTGCCGTCAGGGTCGCTCGCGAACGAGCGGCGAAATCTGTTCTTGATTCGCGGGAAGTTGTAACAGAAGTCGTCGTTACTGCGAGCAACAAACGATGGACAGTCGTCAACATTGGGCGTCAACCGGAACGATTAGCTGATCATTCTAAAGCGGAGCAAGACACTGTATGAATCCGGGATAACACAGAGATAGAAATGCCGGAGCGCGGTACTTTGAAGCCTTGCAATGCAGGCACATGAATGTTGTAAAGAATCATGACAGCTGACCAGCGGCAAGCGCAATGCAATGGAGAAAAGCAGCAGATGCAGCAATGAGAAGTGGCCCTAAAAATGCACGAGGGATGGGACGGCTAGAAAGGCGAAAAATTGCTGGACAATGCGCGACAATGTGCCATGTTGACGACAGCCAGTCGGGCACGCACCAGAAAATGCGGGTCACGCTGTAATGCTCCTGCACGGCGCTCGCGACCACGGCGACGGTGTTCGACAACTCCGAGGAGTCGCATCCTCTGCGGGTCGGCGTGACTCCAGTGCGTGTGCTTATAGCGGGCATGAGGAGCGTGGTGGGGGAAAACGGCAGCACGGAGCAGAGGGTGAAGTTGAAAGCGAGGCATACGAAGGCCTCGGTGACCCCCATTTTGACGGAAAGCCGAGATCTCTACAGAAATTATTATGAATGTCTGTCGAAGGCGGTCAGTCTGACATTGCTACGGCCCGCCAAAGTAGGCCCAGGCTACTATCCAGGTCCTGGAAATGGAAACTATTGTTAGCACTGCCTGTGCCGGCTCTCTCTGAGAATTGCTGGTTTCGTTTTGGATGAATCTTGGGAACAGGGCTGTCGCTACAAGGGCAAATGCCCTTAATGCCCTGAACATTAAGGGTTGAGTTCGGCCTAGGTCCCCGAATTTAAGGGTTGGGTTTCAGGTCAGCCCGTCCGCCTAAAGTGCTGTGTTCGGGACTAGCCCGGATTTCAAGTATCAGTCTTGGGGCTAGCCCTTTCCCCTTCGAACTGATTCCTCCCCGACCCGCTCCATTTCCCGTCATCCCAGGCCCAGGTGGAGTATAACTTTCCCAAAGAGCAGTTTCGATGTACTCTGACACTCTCAAGGTCGGGGCCAGAACCGTTATTTTTCGAAGTCAAAACCCGAGCTGCAAGTTAGAAAGAACCTAAAGTAGTATCGAAGTACAAACTTAGTGCTAGATCTGGGACAGGACTACACAAGTACTAGAGAGGTCCCAGTACCCACCTCACCCTTACAACTTTGAGTGGGTTCGGCGTTGTTGCCGATTCTTTCCGCTAAGAGGTTCATTCAGTGACTAGCAGGCGCGTGACGAATCAATTCGGATGGCAGTGCAAAACCAGGGCGATCGCTTGTCTTAGCAAAAGTACATAACACTTTGTAGCCCTGATTTCAAGTGTTGAGTTTGGCCCCAAAACGTAAATTTACGGGCACATTCCGGGGCAGCTCAGCCTTCCAAGTTCTCGCCCTAGAGCAATCGACAGCCCTGCTTGGGAAGTCCTTTCCACCAGAGTGACAACGACGAGATAAGAGGATGGTCCAGTTCCTGCGACCTAGACCGAATTTCATAGTTATGAGTGCAGACCCTGCTGAGTGTAGAAACTATACACATATGTATACATATGCACACTTCTCTAAAAATCCCATGTTCTGTTCACCCTACTATCATGTGTGCCTGGTGTGTTATTACCAACTATAATTGGGTTGAAAATATCTTATCTAAGCTTTAAATTTCACGTGAATAACCTCTAAATACACTCTAAACAAAGGTGAGTTTTTATAGGAAGAAAAGGAAATATTCTACATGGCCAAGATGTTGCTTGCAGGCAGGTTGAATGAATGTGTTTTTTTTATCATCAATTAACTTCAGATATCTGGCAAAATTCTACCGTTCCTGTAAAACCAACTCCATGTGTTTCATGAAGCATTTCTCGCATCTGAAGTACAGGATACAGAAGATGCCCTATGGTTGATGCAATGAGCAGTGTAGGCGGTGGGTGAAACTACACCGAATTCGCCCGATATAAGAGCATGGGATACTGTGCCTAAGACCTGTTGCTCCATAAACGTGGCTGCCACGATCGCTATTCGGCCCCAGAATCTGGGCGCGCCAAGGTGCGCTGGATCTGCCGCACAGTGCCAGGTCACATTCGCCTTGTCACAGAGCCACGGTGGCATGAGCGGGAGAAAAGGAGTTACGAAAAGGTGTGCAGCATATTCGCATTCAATACATCACGGTTCTGTTCGGTTTGCTGCACTACACGCAAAATGTCATCTAGAACCGTGTGAAATCGTACGAAAACTTACTGAACCTTTATGTGATGAGCAATAAATCTATTGCGGTTGACAAACACTCCCCTTGTTGGTGGGTAGGGATCAGGCAAGGGGAGCGGAGGGAATGTGTCTGGATGATAAAACAGATTCTCCATCCCATTTTGAAACAATTCGAGCTTTCTGAATCTTTGCACGTCTGTTTCCAGTTCTTGTCAGCAGACTTCGCACCAGTAGAGCCCTCTGACGACTCTGCCTTCCAAGCCTCCGAGTCTTTTTCATTTCTAATCATAAATATGGGTCGCAAGTTCATCGTCGGAGGCAACTGGAAGTGCGTAAGTATCCGTCCATTGCTACTGCTGACATGTAGACTCCTCAGATCCGGATTCTAAGCTTACCGCGTTCCTCGTTACGTTTCACAGAACGGCACCCAGGAGTCTATCAAGAAGCTTGTTGGCGTGCTCAACGGTGCTACTGTTCCCAGTGGCGATGTTGTCGGTACGTGCTGTCCAATCCCTAAGAACAGTAAATAATATCAAAGACTGTCCTCATGTTCCTCCAAACTGCATGCGCACCGATTGTTTTAGAAGCCTTTTCACCATCGTTGTTTTCACCTTCATTACCTGACATTCTCTCCTTCACTGCCGTTGGATACGTTGCTTCATCTCTTCCAGAGGTCGTCATCGCTCCTCCCGCCATCTACATTCCTCTCGTGAAGGCCGAGCTGCGCAAGGATTTCGCCGTTTCTGCTCAGAACGCCTGGGTCAGCAAGGGCGGTGCTTTCACCGGTGAAGTGAGGTATGTCGCCACCCTGTTTCCACCCTGCTTTGGTTGCAAGCAATCTCCGTATTCTGCGTCTGAGATGTCAGAAGCTAATCTGGAATGTGGACCTCCTGACATTTCGTGCCTTTATGCCTTTTCAGTGCTGACATGCTTGTGGATCTCGACATTCCCTGGGTCATCCTTGGCCACTCCGAGCGGAGAACCATCATCAAGGAATCCAACGAGGTCAGTCTCCCTGCTTCTCCACACATGTCTTCCTTCCTGTAACCTGCTTATTGTGGATGCCGTTCTTGGTGCTTGTTGAGGATGCTTATCTCACGATTTTCTCTTGATTTCTTGCTTGATTCGTTGCAGTTCGTCGCGGACAAGGTCGCGTACGCTCTGAGCAAGGGCTTGAAGGTCATCGCGTGCATCGGCGAGTCCCTGGAGCAGAGGGAGAGCGGCGAGACTGTCGCCGTCGTCTCCGCCCAAGTCAAGGCCATTGCAGGTCCGTGTGCTGCGAGCTCACTTTGTGTGCAGATCCTGTTTGCGGTGTTAATCTTCCGCTTCGTGCCCAATGCACGATCGTTAGTTCCGCCTAGTTTGGGCTTGGCTTCGGTCTCAGTTTTTATTATTTTCCGTTTCGTATGCAGACAAGATCACCAAGTGGGACGATGTCGTTCTCGCGTATGAGCCCATCTGGGCCATTGGTACCGGCAAGGTCGCCACGCCTGCTCAAGCCCAGGAGGTGAGTGCTGCATTCTATTGGCTAGCGTGGGAGAAAATTAGGTAGACTACTGGCACATCTAGTTTCGAAAGGAAAATGTATGGTAATGAACTACACTGTATGGTAACAACGATGTGATCGTGGCGCTTACGCCCTCCGTGGCTCTCTGCTTGCAGACGCATGCTGACATCCGCAAGTACGTCGCTGAGAATGTCAGCGCTGATGTGGCAGCTGCTATTCGGATTCAATATGGAGGTGAGTGGGTATCATTGGAGCACGCATGGGGCCATGACTGGTATAAGAGATCCGTGTGGAATGCTGGCATTATTGACGCTTCTTTTCCTGCGTTACCTTTTGCCCCTGTGCACGTGGTTCACTTGGTACGACCTTGCATTGGCTAACAGATAAGCATGTCATCGTAATCTGATATGCTACCATTTCTCCTTTTGTGTATTTAATCTCCAGGCTCTGTGAACGCTGCTAACTGCAAAGAGCTCGCTGCTCTTCCTGATGTCGATGGCTTCCTTGTTGGTGGAGCTGCTCTCAAGGTATCTATCTTGTGGTCACCTGCGCTCACACATTCTCTTCCGTTTCACACACTTTCCACTATCTGTCCAGTCTTCCCTAAGCTAAAGCATAGCTAACTCTGCCGTTCTGTTTCCTTTTTGCAGCCTGAGTTTGTTGACATTATTAACTCTGCCACTTCTTCTTCGTAGAGGCACACGTATGTATTATTTGAATACAGCAATATATAAGCAAGGCATGTACCGTATTCTACCAGCTGATGGAGCTTCGCGTTTCTATTGCTTAGTTTTGTTTGGTCAACCTCATTGGTACATGTCTACCGCACAATCATTAGCATCACAAAAACCTAAATGCAATGAGGTGGTGGGACACCGGTGTTGCAACAGAGTGCAGTGCAAGGCGATGGTTTTAGTAAACTAAATTTGTGTCAGGGCTTCCAGGAATGTCCCTGGTCCACAGATCTAGCACAATCACCACTTGATGTTACATCAGTTAGTTGTTGATGTGAAGGTTGGGTCAAGGAGTTTCTACTACCAGTTCCGTATGAAGTATCTCCTGTTCTTGAGATACAAGAGCTCAGTTTTCACCCCACTCCTTAGTTTATTGTTGCTGGACTGGATAGCATATCCGGCACCTAATAGGTACTACATTACACTGATGCAACAGTGGCCTAGAAAACACTGACATAACAGAGGAATTGTTGTTTGCATAAACGATTTTGGACCATCAGATTAGAGTGAAGAATTCTGGGATTAGGGCTAGCATCCAACAGTAACAGACGCATCTGGTGCATGTACCTGAGCATGCTCGTTCACAAGCAAACTGCAAAAAGAGATTCACAGACTGTCCCCACACCAGAACCGAAAACAGCCAATAGTTCCGGATTGCCTCTCCCACCGGACCATTACAACCTCCTACGGTACCAGTCCACAATTCCCCTTCCCTCTCCTCACGACCATTTTATACCCCCTCTTCATCACCACCCGCCCTCCAGACTGTCAAGTCGTCCAAGTCATCTTCGCTGTCCATGCCATACTCATGGTTGATCACCCCGTCCTCTCCACCACTCCCAAAATCCTCCTCCTCCCTGTCCGCCTCTTCCCCTTCCGCCGCCGCATCTCCTCCCTCCTCCTCTTCTGCCTCCTCCCCCTCTTCCTCCTCTCCCTCATCAACCGCCACTCCCCCTCCCTCCTCCCCATCCTCCACGCCTACCCTTGCAGGAACCCCTCTCCTGTCTCGCTGTGAGAGCAAAGGGCACTCGCTGACATAGTACTCACGCAGCGTCGGCATTCGCCGGATAGAAGACGGCAGCCGAACCAGCTTCTTGCACGCAATCACCTGCAGCACCACTAGCTGAGGCAGCTTAGAGAACGTCGTTGGCAAGCTGCGGACCCGCTTCAGTCCCAGGAGCACCAACTCTTGGAGGGAAGACAGCTTCCAAAAAGAATCTGGAAATGTTGAGATGCCAAGATTGGTGAGGGTACAGGACTGTAACTTGGACAGATTCGTGAGAGATTCTGGAAGTTGCCTCGGCTTGTAGCAGTCAATAATTTCCAGCCTCTCGAGCAGCTTCAGCTGCCCAATAGACTCGGGCAGGTGCCGTATTGTACATAGACGAACCAGCTGTAACACCCGCAGCCTTGAAAGTCCTCCTAAGGTTTCCGGCAGCGCCTCCATCCGCATGGCGAAATCAATCCGGAGCCTCTTTAGGCGTGAGAGTTGAGAGATGGAGTCAGGGAGTGACATAAGGCTGTGCATCTCTAGGACCTTCAGCTGTGTTAAAGAGGAGAGCTGGCCAAGGGACGGACCAATGGAATAAAAAGAGAGAGCTTTTATCCTGAGATTCTCGAGGGATGGAAGCAGTGCCCTGCTGGTGCTGCTGCTGGCAGTGCTGTTGGAGATAATTGAAGAACCCACGGCAGTGCGTCTGAGCACTATCTCATCCCCTAGCAGCGCGCCAACTTCACCACATCCCCGCACCTCTAGCACCCGCAGCCGTGGCAACCTGACAAGCGACGCAGGGAGATGTTTCAAGCCGTCCATCAGTGCGATCCTGACCACCTCGAGCGACTCCAGCCGTCCAATCCCCTCAGGCAGGACTGTTACCTTAGGGCATCTCATCACTTCAAGGCTGGTGAGTGAAAAAACGCCAGAAAAAGAAGCAGGAAGCGCAGATAAGCGAGGCATTCCTCGAAGCACCAGCTCCTTGAGGCTTTTCAAGCAGCAGAAGCCGTCTAGTAGGTTGCCTCTGAAGCGACTAGCTTCCATGATCTTTAGGGTTTCGAGAGATGTCAGGGCGGAGAAGGATGGAGGGAGGTGGGTGAGGGATGCGCAGTGTTCCAGATGCAGATAGCGCAGCCGCTGCATACCGTTCCCCATTTCATCTGGCAGCACCGTGAGGTCCCAACAAGCGGTAATCTCCAGGTGCTCGAGAGAAGAGAGCTGGGAAAGGGAGTCCGGGAGCTGCTGCAGCTTCTCACACTCCACTATTTTCAGCTCCCGGAGAGCTTTCAGCTGCCCGAGGGATTCAGGCAGGCGTGTGAGCTGGCGAAGGCTGTTAAGGCGCAGCTTTTCAAGAACAATCAGCTGCCAGAAGTCCTCGGGCAAAGACGGAAGCTTCCAAAAATTGTCGAACGAAAGCTCTTGGAGTGTAGTAAGCTGAGCGACGGAGTCAGGAAGGGTTGTGAGCTTCCTCAGATCGAGCATGAGTGTCTGTTGCTTTGATAACTGTCCAATGCTGTCAGGTAGAATTGAAAGCTGTGGCATCTCAAGGGCGAGGCTGGTGAGTGAAGGCAGGTGGAAAAGAGACTCGGGCAGAGACGTAATATCGCTGCAGCGCTTGATAGCTAGAGTCTTAAGACACCACAGATGCTCAAGAGCCTCGATTAGCTCGCGCAATCCCGTCACGTCTTCCAGAATGAGGGTTTCGAGCGCACGCAGCCGAGAAAAAATCACGGGTGACGGGTGAACAACGTTGCACAGCTGAATGTTCAGGACGGCGAGGGAAGAAAGCTCGGTGAGAGAGGCCGGAAGCTGCAACCTCGAGCAGTGCCTGAGGGATAGCAGGTTCAGACTGGCAAGTTGTCCGATAGATTCTGGGAGCGACGCCAGGGAGCAGCAACTGTGCAAGCTGAGCGACGTTAGGGAAACCAGATTCCCGAAATCCGGGGGCAAAGCTTCGAGCTTGTTAGTGTTCAGCATGAGGCTTCTGAGTGACTGTAACGAGGTTAGGGAGTCGGGAAGACGCGTGACGCTTGCTATGAGGTGCAGGTTCTTGAGCAAAGTAAGTCGGTCGATCGACGGAGGAATGGCACCATGCTCCGAACACTCCACATAAAGATCCTCCAGCCGAGTACACCCCTCGAATAAACATTTCAGGCTCTTGTCACCTACAGCTGTGCGTCTGTATTCACTTCCCATCGTTTGAACACCAAGCTCGGCCAGATGAGGGCACACTTCAGCGAGGCGAGAGAATAAAAAATCCGAAGCTGAGGTGAGGCTTCCGGAGGAAAGAAATAGTTTTTTTAGGTTAGGGAACGACGATAGGACTTGAACGAGGAGACGCGGTTCCATATGGAGGTCGTAGGGCAATTGGAGCTCATGTTGCACGCGGTACGTAATGCGATGCCATTGCTTGCTAACACGTGCGTGCTCCAATTGGCCGTCAGGTCTAACCAGAAAACTCAGTATCTGTGAAAGCACCTCCTCGGGTAGCCGTTGGATAGGCGATCCGACTGGCATCTTGAAAAGAGGGAATAACAAGAGATTAATGGCTTTTCATCGAGTTTAGCTTGCCTTCCCGGGAAGGTATCACGGCTAACAAGCTTGACCCGTCGAACTACAAGAAGACAGACCACAAGCAGCATTGTTGTTGTCAGGAAGATATTCCCGAGGGGTATGTATTCCAATTTCCACCACAGCAGAAACCTTGGTTCTGTCTTTAGTACCGCATTGCACCGCTAAGGTTATCGAAACGTTCCTGTCATTGTTCCACGAACCGAGGATTCGCGAAAGACGGACGGCGACACAAGGCACCATTTGGCGAACTCCCTTCCTGGCTTTGCGAGATTTGTGCGCTATCTTGTTGCGTTGATGTGTGGACGCAGAGAGCGCTACCCGTTTGCGGGTGCGAACACTCTACAAGTTCAATTTGGTTTTGTGAAAACGCAAATATATTCATTCAAGATACCAATACAGCACAGCACATCTTGGCCAGCAGTTTAGGGCGTGTAACATTTGTTATTTGTGTCGTCCGTACAGCCAGCCGTACGGACAGTTTTGTGGTTACCAAACTCGTTTACTCTCGCCTATTAGCTCGTGAAGAAACGAGCAACGTCGTTTGCGTCGCATTTTGTCCGTACGACGTCGTTTGTGTCGCAAAGCGACTGTCGACGTCGCCAGATTCGCAAGGGTCCGGACGTACGTCGCAAGTGGGTCCGGACTTTCAGTGATTTTCAAAAATGTCACACGCCCGCACAGTTTTATGTAGTTGCTCCGTCATTTAGCTCAGGACTGGGCATTTCAAGGAGATGCGGTGCCTGTATATTAATGCTCTTCCAAACCTATTTCACCGTTTCAGACACCTGTGTTGGTTGCAAACATATTTCACCGTTTCAGGCACCTGTGTTGGTTGATCAGCAGCACCGTTGCTGCAAGTATGCATGCTGCTATTTTGGTAATTTCGTCAGGTGAAAATGAGTCCTAACATTTGTTTCACCACTTTTTGGGATGAAGTTGACATAGGCGTAATATTGCCTATATCACTGCCTGTTTATGTGCCTGATGGTAGTAGTATATTTTTAGACGCTCCAGATGACTGCACTGCACACGACTCAACTCAATAAGCGGAAGGGCAGATGGGGTACTGAGGGGGAGTGGCTTTGAACTAAAGTAAAAGGCGTGCGCGAAAATTGAGCTGAAAGCTTATGTCATGATAGTTTCACTAGAAAAAATTGGGAGTAACATTTACAAGTCCACCAATAGGTGGGGGCCTAAAAGCTACAATATAAGATCTCCGCAAAAATTATGTCGCTGTAATGTTTGCGGAAGATAATGCTAGCGGCTTCTTTTGGCTATTTCATTAGGCAAGGAAACCCAGCTTCTCGCCGTTCTTCTTTGCCAGCCTGATCAAACCCTGACGCTGTTGAGCAGGGGCTCCAACGGACTTGCAGAACTCCGTGATCACCTGAACGAGACAACGGAGGGGCACGTTAGAATACAACTCAAATTAACCGCGATGGCATCATCAACGTTCCAAGGGGTAATACTCACTTGTGAGTGGAGAGCGATGCCTTTCCCTCGGAGCTGGTTGAACTGCTTTTGGCCGATGACATTCTTCGCAACAACTACGATAGGGGCGAAAACGCCCTTCCCTTCATGCGGGTTCTTCATCGTTACGACTCCTCGTGAGGGTGCCGCCAAGGAAACCCTGTTAACAGTGCTAAGTAGCTCGCTCTTCCCATGGCCTGCTAGTTCCTGGCTGGGCGCAGAGACGGCCTTGATGGTTGGCAGGGAGACGGTCACGAGGGCCATAATGGATGCTATCGGAGAGTTTAGCACACTAGGTTGATATCAGAATATTACTTTGAACGAGGCGGGTCTGAAGGAAAGTTGCTGGAGAAGTTGTACAACTGAATCAAGCAGTTCGATCAAGTTTGCAGAAATCAGGAAAAGCTCGTCAATTTCTATGCAGATACAATGGACACACAGGTGGAATGCAGGTGACGTTGGTTGATTGGGTGGGTAGGTTTAGTCAAATTTCCACCCACAGGCCCTCGAACATTGACGGCCTTCCCTGGGCCACGTGTCGGATGCTTGTTAGGGTGTCGCGTGGCCCGTTTTCCCACCCATGTTTTCTCCTTTTCTGAATTTCGCCGCTTGTGCGTCTTCTCTTCTCCCCGCGCCCAGGATCCTGGAAAAAAGATCCAGCGTAGCTACCAAAATTTCGTTCTTGATTCAAGCACCCAGACCCAGTACAATTGGTTCACACATTCTCTCGTAAAGTCGCATTCTAGTGACACGTGGAGGGTGAAATTACTGGAACCGTCGAATCACCTTCTTCGTTTCCCGAACCGACAGGTTCAGGTCGACGTCACCACCACCACTGGGTGACATGGAAGAAAAGAAGTGAAGTTCCTTCCTCAGAAGAGTTGACGTCAGATCTCAGGCGTTAGAGAACCTCCGACCACCTCACCTCCACCGTCGAACAACCACCGAGGCTAGTATGTGCATACGTTGGGTCTCATCAACGAATCCTCGGTTTGGTTGGGTTCGGTGCTCTCCCTTGCATCCAACTGCCATGTTCACGACTCACAACACTAGCGCGCCTGAGCCGCCTCACGTCTTCAGCAGCACAGGCTTTGGCTTGGAAATTTCCCACCCCATCGCAGCATGCCTCACTACCAAAAAAAGCAGGCTCCACGGATGGACGACTGAGCTCTAGTGAGAGGTCAACCAGAATAGGCGGTAATTAATTTCCTAAGTTCGGAGCTCGTTAGAGGCCATGAACACCCTACGTCAAGTAGGAAGCTCGGAGAGGTGTTTTGGCGCTGCGATTACGAGAAAATACAATGTTGACTCTCGCCGATCAACAGGGGTGTGTTTACGTGAGACGAAGACAATAATCAGTCCCGTGTTCTCTTGCCATGCCAAAACGCGACGCACTAATGACTTGAAACAGAGAGCAGGCGGAACTGTAGGACTTCAGAGATTACGTGATGACAGCTTCCAAGCACGCGGTACTGAGCGTTTTCATCGCACACCTTGCGTTACACAAGCGAGCTTAGCGCCCTGGAACGCGTTTCCACATGAGGGTAGCAACAACTCCAGTCAATCAGGAGAAGCCCCAGCTAACGACGCGCCGTCGTGCTTGTTCCTGGGTCCGTTAGAGAGCGCCACGAGAGAGCAGCTCGAGCAGTTTTATTCGCAGGTATGACCACTTCAGCACTTGCTTTTTGTAACATGTGCACTTACGATCAAAATAGAAATCATGCTGCTCGTAGAGCTCCCATTCCCTGAGGCCAGCTCATTCCCAAATCCCGTTGCTTCTTTCGCCTACCTGCTCAGGCTCGGGATGCGTACTACAGCGGGAAACCCCTGGTATCAGACGACATTTTTGATATGGTCGAGGTACGCTCACTCTGCTCTCTTGCAGCCGGGACATTCTCACGCGGTCCCCTGATTTGTGTACGTGTAAAGAGTGACAGTGGAGTCGTGGTCTTGGATACTAACAAACGTCAGCTCATTCGTGTTTGTTCTCCATGCAGCGGCGGTTGCGGTGGTTCCACTCTGCGCTGGTCAAGAAGTACCCACGCTGCAGCATACGAGCCCTCTACTGCTACTCTGATGCTGAGGTATGCCACGCATGGCGTCAGATAACTACTTAGTGGTTTTGATACCATCGAACTGTGTGCTGGCATGTGCGCACTCCTTACTACCATTCCGGCGCCGAAGTCTGGGAGCGGGCTGTTTTGATGGTCGCTCTCCAGCTCTTTTGTTTGCTCTCCCTTGGCTGTCGGCCGGATATTTTTTTATTTGCTTACAACTTCATGTCACAAGGATTATAGCAGCAAGACAATGCCGTCCGTGACCTTCCCGTTTTGCCATTTCCCTCTTCCCGATTTGTCTTCAGGCGGACCCTTCGCAAATGACAGCGCTGTCAACCATGTGGTCGTTGATTCTAGCAGTGGGAGCAGCGCTGACAGCAATGCCACTGGTATTTTTGGTGGTTGTTATGGGCGCGAGTGGTGTGGATAGGGTGGAAAACCCTATTTTTTCGAGTCCGCTTTTGCAGCTGGATGGAGCAATGGCAGCTGGCATCTGTTTCCTGCTCGGGGCGGTTCTTGCGTCCGCTGCAGGTAGGCCATGGCTTTTTGCTTTGGTGTGTGGGTGTGTGCGTTTATTTCTTCTTCCCGATGTTATTTTCTGATATTCCCAGGCTTATCTGCATCTGGCTTCGCCCTTCTCACGCCATTGGCTCAGTTCACGACCTCTGGGAGGCTCCTTTTGCCCCTTTATCTGGTTTCGCCATGAAGTGCAGTCTGCTGCATCCTAATCATGGACCTCATTGATGCTTGCCCTGCTTACCCATCCACAGCACGCCCGCTGCAGCGCATAAGCCAGGGCAAGATGGTGGCTCTACAGGGCAACTGTCCACTCTGTGGAGAGGAGGTTTACTCATTCATCACACTGGAAGAGGGGAGCAGGCATCGACACAAGGCTGATTGCCATGTCTGCGGCCAGCCTCTAGTCTTTCATGCGTTCGTCGAGGTGAATCTCTTTTGCCCGTCTCTGCCTTGGATCATTGCATTGGCTGACGAATTGGATGAATGTTGGCAATTTTTGGGTTTGCTGCCTGACACATGCATTCTACGTTTTCATGCAGGCATCTCCAAGTAATCCCAAGCATTCATGGGCATATGGTAGAATATACGTTGTGGCTAGAGCAAAGGATTTGGAACCTCCAGCAGAAACAGACCCTTAGGGCTAGTGGCTTGAGTAAGATATAAGTAATTTTGGGGTGGTGTGTACATGTTCCTTGTGGTGTGCTTGTGTATAGTTAAGTCAAAAGCCAGAATTGGCATTGTAGCATCATAGTACTGCTTCATGATGTAGTTTGCCAATGGTTTAGGCAAAATAAGAAGGGACACAATTGCTGTGATTTCTGATCCATAATCCTTACACACCCTATTTAGCACCCTAAATGCCAAGTCCTGAGTTGAATACTGGGGAAAAGGACCACCCAAGATGATGTGCTGCTGGCCAAGTGTGACAGCACTGGTTCCACCATAAGATATTGTGCTTTTACAACAGCAGATTATCTAACTGCTGTATCCTTGCCGACACACAGGTACAATCCGCTAGAAACGCGCTCCACGTCCACACTTCAAACGCGAACGGAGGGCGCACGACACACATACTCGGGATAATACGAGCCGTCGGATCTTCGGGAATCATTTGTTCGTGGGATTTTTTGGCGGGAAGGGTTTGAATAAACAAGCGATGCAGTACGGTGCCACTGGCAAGCCCGAGGGCCTTCTTGCTCAGACATTGCATTGCAATGCCTCGACTGATCCTCCTCACGACACTTGTCTCTCTAGTCTAGCTTCGTTTATAGTCTCACAAGCCTAGCTTGTTCGCTGTGTAAAGTTATAGGAAAGGCAGACTTCTCCAAGGAACAGCCATTAGTCTTCAGTTAGTCAGACGTTTCAAGATGCCAGTCGGATCGCCTATCCAACGGCTACCGGAGGAGCTTCTTTCTCAGGTCCTGCGTTTTCTGGTTCGACCTGATGGTCAGCTGGAGCATGCACGTGTCAGCAAGCAATGGCAGCACATTGCGTACCGCTTGCAAAATGAGCTCCACTTGCCTTACAACCTCCGTATGGATCCGCATCAGCTCCTTCAACTGCTGTCCTCGTTCCCTGATCTCAAAAAGCTAGTCCTTTCCCATGGCAGCCTCAACACAGCCTTTAACTCGTTATTCTCTCGCCTGGGTGACGTGTGTCCTCATCTGACCGAACTTCGTGTTGAATCGATGGGACATGACTACGGATACGTAGGTTTAAGCGAGAATAGCCTGGAGTTTCTGTTCCAGAGGTGTACTCGGCTGGAAGATCTCCATTTGGAGTGTTCGGAGCGTGCTGCCATTCCGCCGTCGATCGACCGACTCACATTGCTCAGGAACTTAACCCTCAGGTCCAGCGTCACGCGACTTCCCGACACGTTCACCTCGTTGCAGTCTCTTAGAAGCCTCGTGCTGCACACCTACAGACTGGAGGCTTTGCCTCCAGACTTCGGCAAACTGGTGTTCTTAACGTCGCTCAAGGTGCACAGCTCCTCTCTGGCGTCGCTTCCAGAATCTATCGGTCAACTTGCCAGCCTGAACCTGCTATCCTTGAGTGATTGCACGACGTTGCAGCTGCCGGCCTCTCTTGCCAATCTTTCTTCTCTCGCCGTGCTGGAAATTCGACACTGCAAGTTCCTTGTCCCGCCACCCATCGACTTTCCTCAACTGTGGAGGCTTGAAACCCTCGTTCTGGAAGAAGTGACGGGGATGCGCGAGCTAATCGAGGCTCTTGAGCATCTGTGGCGGCTCAAGACTCTAGTGATCAAGTGCTGCAGCGATATCACGTCTCCGCCGGAGTCTCTTTTCAGCTTGCCTTCACTCACCAGCCTCACTCTCCACATGCCACGGCTGGCAGTTCTGCCTGACGATATCGGGAGGCTGTCAAAGCTACAGACGCTCGTGCTGGAGTTGGGGGAGCTCACAACTCTTCCTGATTCCATCTGCCTGGTTACCACGCTCCAGGAGCTTTCATTGGATAGTCTTCAGAAGCTGCCGTCTCTGCCCGTGGACTTCGGGCAGCTGATCGCTCTTGAAAAGCTGCGCCTCTACTGCCTTGGGCAGCTCACAGAGTTGCCTGAATCCTTCGGGCAGTTGACAGCTCTTCGGGAGCTGAAAATTCTGGGGTGTAGGCAGCTGCAGCAACTCCCGGACTCCCTATCCCAGCTATCTTCTCTCGAGCATCTGGAGATCAAGTGTTGTCCGCGTCTCACGGTGCTGCCAGATGAAATGGGGAACGGTGTGCAGCGTTTGCGCTATCTGCATCTGGAAGGCTGCTCATCCCTCACCCACCTCCCTCCATCCCTCTCCGCGCTGACGTCTCTTGAAACCCTAAAGATCACGGCAGCCAATCGCATCAAAGGCAACTTACTAGACGGTTTCGGCTGCTTGAAAAGCCTCAAGGAGCTGGTGATTGAAGACATGCCTCGCCTATCCGCCCTTCCTACCTCCTTCTCGGGCGTTTTTTCGCTCACCAGCCTGGAATTGATCAATTGCCCTAAAGTAACGGTCCTGCCACAGGGGATCGGACGGCTGGATTCGCTCGAGGTGGTCAAGATTGCACGAATGGACGGCCTGAAACATCTCCCTGCGGAGCTTGCCAGGCTGCCCCGGCTGCGGGAATTGGAGGTGCGGGTATGTGATGGGATTGGCGCGTTGCTAGGGGATGAGGTGGTGCTGAAACGCACTGCCAGGGGTTATTTGGCAAGCACCACCACCAGCAGCAGCAGCATCTGCACCAGCTGCGCCGGCACCACCAGCAGCAGCAGGGCACTGCTTCCATCCCTTCGAAGTCTCAAGATGAAGTCTCTCGCTTTCCATTCCATTGGGCCGTCCCTTGGCCAGCTCTCCTCTCTCACGATGCTGAAGATCATGGAGATGGACAGCCTTGTTTCTCTCCCTGACTCCATCTCTCAGCTCTCGCGCCTGAAAAGGCTCCGGATTGATTTTGCCACGAAAATTGAGGCACTGCCAGCAACCTTGGGAGGGCTTTCAGGGTTGCGTGTCTTGCAGCTTCGCTTCTTACATATTCGGCAGCTGCCCGAATCGTTCGGGCAGCTGAAGATGCTTGAGACGCTGGAGATTATAGACTGCTGCAAGATAAAGAAGCTTCCAGGATCCTTCGGATATCTTTCCAAGTTACAATCCTGTACCCTCACCAAGCTTGCAATCTCAGCATTTCCTGAAAATTTTTGGGAGCTTTCTTCCCTCCAAGAGTTGGTGCTCCTGGGGCTGAAGCACGTCCGCAGCTTGCCAGATTCATTCACCAAGTTGCCTAAGCTAAAGATGCTGCTGCTGATTGCGTGCAAGAAGCTGGCCAAGCTGCCAAGTTCTCTCAGGAGAATGCCTACGTTGGAAGACTTCGATGTGACTGAGTGCCCTTTGCTCTCACAGCAAGACACGATGGGCATTCCTGCAGGAATTGGCGAGGACGAGGAGGACGAAGGAGAGGAGGAAGGAGGGGAGGAGGCGGAGGGTGAGGAGGGAGGAGATGCGATGGTTGAAGGGCAAGTGGCGGACAGGGAGGGAGCAGAGGAGGCAGAGAGTAGTGGTGAGGATTGGAGTATTTGTCATGAGTATGGCGTGGACAGTGACATTGACAACGACGATGTGGGGCGCTGGGGGCCAAGTGACGAGGAGGACGACTAGCATGGTGGGATAGGTGAGGCGGAAGGGGTGGGGAGATGAGAAGGACGGAAAGAACAAGGGGAAGGCGGTTGCAATGGTTGGATGGGAGGTTGTGTTCTTATGTGGGATCGGGATTGGGATTGGGATGGGATGGGATTGCTCATTGTGTTGGATTATGAAATGTGTGCTTCTGTGGCGATTTCAGGCTGACCTATGTATCCAAACTCATTTTTCCTAATGCAGGCATCCCCAAGGATTCATAGGCATATGGTAGAATTTATGTTGTAGCCAGAGCCAGGGATTTGGAGCCTCATGCTAACACACCCGTGGGTTTAGTTGTTTCAGAGGCTATTTCAGTTATCAGGACATGTGTGTACATGTGTTTTGTTGTGGTGTGTTCATCATGTACACTCAGTCAAAAGGCAGCAATGGCATTTTGGCAGCATTACACTGCCGCACTGCATTGGTGCACCAACTTCCTTGCGCTGCCCAGTTTTAACCAGGTTGTAAGTACGTATATGCCAGGTGTTGCCATAATGCGCTTGCCTTTTTTGTTCAGGGGCCAATGTTGTTCGGTCCCACTATCGAGTACACAGTTGTCACTGTCTCAGTACGTGCTCAACGACGCGAACGGAGGGCGCACGAATCTCGCAGAACCAGGAAGGGACTTCGCATACCGCGCCATATGGACCATCGATTTTCGAAAAGTCATTCGCTCGTGGAATAATTTGGCGGGAACGGTTTGATAAAACGATTGGTGCAGTGCGGTGTCAATGGCAAGCCAAGGTTACCTTGCTGAAACTAGAATGCCTCGACCGCGATGCCACTGATCCTACAGACGACTCTTCTTGTAGCCTGAAAGCTCTAATTACTTTTAGTCTCACTAGTCCAGCTTGTTAGCAGTGTTAGCTTATAGAAAAGGCATACTATGTGAATGAAACGCTATTAGTATCCTGTTAGTCCCTCGTTTCAAGATGCCAATCGGATCGCCTATCCGACGGCTACCGGAGGAGCTGCTGTCTCAGATCCTGTGTTGTCTGGTTAGACCTGATGGCCAACTAGAGCACGCACTTGTTAGCAAGCAATGGCAGCACATTGCGTACGGCGTGCAACAGGAGCTACAGTTGCCGGACAACCTCCTCATGGATCCGCAACAGCTTCTTCAATCTCTGTCGCTCTTCCCTAACCTCAGAAAGCTAGTCCTTCCCAATGGCAGCCTCACCTCACTCTCAAATTCTTTCTTCTCTCGCCTCCCTGACGTGTGTCCTCATCTGGCCGAGCTTCGTGTTGAATCGATGGGACGTGACTTCATACGCACAGGCGTAAGTGAGAAGAGCATGGCGTTTCTGTTCGAGAAGTGTACTCGGCTGGAAGATCTCTTTCTGGACTGTTCGCGACGTCCTACCATTCCTCCATCGATCGACCGACTCAAGTTGCTCAGGAACTTACATCTCAAGGCCAGCGTCACGCAACTTCCCGACACGTTCACCTCGCTGCAGTCTCTCAGAAGCCTCGTACTGGAAATTTACAATCTCGCGACTTTGCCCCCAGATTTCGGCAATCTGGTTCTCTTAACGTCGCTCAAGTTGGACGGTTGCGGCTCCCTGGCATCGCTTCCCGAATCCTTCGGCCAACTTGCCAGTCTAAGCCTTTTATCCGTGGATTACTGCTCGACGCTGCAGTTGCCGGCTTCTCTCACCAAGCTTTCGTCTCTTGCCGTCTTGGAGTTTCGGCAGAGCAACCTTGTGCTCCCGTCACCCGTTATTTTTTCTCGACTGCGGGCGCTTGAAACCCTCATTTTGGATGAAGTGACGGGGTTGCGCGGCCTAATCGAGGCTCTTGAGCATCTGTGGCGGCTCAAGACTCTAGCTATCAAGCGCTGCAGCGATATCACGTCTCTGCCCGAGTCTCTTTTCCGCCTGCCTTCACTCACCAATCTGACCCTTGACATGCCACAGCTTTCAGTTTTACATGACGATATTGGGCAGTTTTCAACGCTGCAGACACTCGTTCTAGATCTGAGAAAACTCAGAACCCTTCCCGACTCCTCCATTCTGCTTACCACGCTCCAAGAACTTGGCTTGGATAATCTCTGGAGCCTGCCGTCTCTGCCTGAGGACTTCGGCCAGCTGCTTGCTCTTGAAAATCTGCGCCTGGACAGCTTTCGCCAGCTCAAACGCCTGCCTGAATCCTTCGGGCAGATGACAGCCCTCCGGGAGCTGAAAATTGTGGAGTGTCGGCAGCTGCAGCAACTTCCGGACTCCCTATCCCAACTATCTTCTCTGGAGCATCTGGAGATTAAGAACTGTCCGCGTCTCACGGTGCTGCCAGATGAAATGGGGAACGGAATGCAGCGTTTGCGGTATCTGCATGTGGAGCAGTGCCCATCTCTCACCCACCTCCCTCCATCCCTCTCCTTGCTGACTTCTCTTGAGACTTTCAAGATCAAGGAAGCTAAATGCTTGGAAGGGACCCTACTAGACGGTTTCGGCTGCTTGAAAAGCCTCAAGGAGTTGGTGCTTGAAGACATGCCTCGCCTAACCGCCCTTCCTGCCTCCTTCTCTGGAGTTTATTCACTGACCAGCCTTGAAGTGATCAACTGCCCTAGAGTAATGGTCCTCCCTAAGGGGATCGGACGGCTGATGGCGCTCGAGGTGGTCAAGATCGCAGTGATGGATCGCCTGCGGCATCTCCCTGCTGAGCTTGTTGAGCTGCCGCGCGTCTGGGTGTTGGAGGTGCGGGTATGTGATAAGGTTGGCGCGCTGTTTGGCGATGAGTCGGTGGACAAACGCACTACCAGGGGTTCTTCTGCACGCTCCAACAGCACCGCCAGCAGCAGCAGCAGGAGGGTATTCCTTCCATCTGTTCAAAGTCTCAAGATAAAGTCTCTTCCGTTCCGAACCCTTGGTCCATCCCTTGGCCAGCTCTCCTCTCTCACAAAGCTGAAAATCATGGAGATGGACAACCTCGTTTCTCTCCCTGACTCCGTCTGTCAGCTCTCGCGCCTGAGAAGGCTTCGGATCGATTCGGCCATTCAATTGGAGTCGCTGCCTGATGCCCTTGGAGGGCTTTCACGACTGCGTTTCTTGCAGCTGATTCACCTCTCGGCAGTACGGCAGTTGCCCGAGTCTATCGGGCAGCTGAAGATGCTCGAGAGGCTGGAGATTATAGACTGCTACAAGCTGATGCAGCTTTCAGAAACATTCGCGAATCTCTCTAAGTTACGCTCCTGTATTCTTATCAAGCTTGGCCTCTCGACTTTTCCAGATAATTTCTGGGAGCTGTCTTCCCTCCAAGAGTTGGTGCTCGTGGGGCTGAAGCATGTCTGCAGCTTGCCAGAATCGTTTGCTAAGCTGCCGCAACTACAGGTGCTGCTGGTGACTGCGTGCAAGAAGCTGGCTCGGCTGCCGTCGTCTATCCGGGGAATGCCGACGTTGTGTGAGTACCGTATCAGCGAGTGCCCATTGCTCTCACGGGAAGAGACTACGGGATTTGCTGCAAGGGTTGGCGAGGAGGATGAGGAGGGGGTAGAGAGAGTGGAGGTTGATGAGGGAGTGGAGGAAGGAGGAGAGGAGGGAGGAGGTGCGATGGTGGAAGGGCAGGAAGCAGACAGGGATGCAGCGGAGGGGGTAGAGGATGAGGAGGGAGGAGATGAGATGGTGGAAGGGCAGGTGAACAGTGAGGAAGCAGAGGAGGCAGAGGGTGAGGAGGAAGGAGATGAGGTGGTGGAAGGGCAAGAGGCGGATAGGGAGGCATCGGAGGAAGGAGAGGGTGTGGATGGAGGAGATGAGATGGTGGGAGAGCTAGAGGCAGGCAGCGAAGCAGAGGAGGAGGCAGAGAGTGAGGAGGGAGAGAGTGAGGAGGCAGAGAGTGAGAAGGGAGGAGATGAGATGGTGGGAGAGCTAGAGGCAGGTAGCGAAGCAGAGGAGGCAGGAAGTGATGGCGGGGATTGGGATATCGGCCATGAGCATGGCGAGGACAGCGACGATGACAGGGATGACGATGCAGGCTCGGGGGCGAGTAGTGATGAGGACGAGTAGACACGTGGTGGAACTGGTGAGGGGGAGGAAGGAGAATGAGGAGTGGGCATATGTTGTTGCTAGAGCCAAGGATTTGGAGCCTCTTGCAAAACCCATTTTTCAGGTTAGTGGTTTCAGTTTCAGATTGGACTCAGATCAAATACCAGGACCTCTGAGAGATGGTGTACATGCTTTTTTATTGGTCTTTGCGTGTATAGTCCGTCAAAAGCGGCATTGTGGCAATGTGTACTGCCCCACGGCAGCAATGTGATTTGGCAAGCTTATTAGCCAAAGAGACAGGCATAGCATCACTGTAGCCTTCCATTGATTCCTTGCACTGGCCAGTCTTCTGGCTGAAATGTAAAGGTAATGAAATTTATGATATGTTTCCAACCTGGCTGCTAGCAAGATGCACCTGTATGGATTCCTTACGCCAATGTTCTCGAGTGATTACAAAATTGAATACTGAACTTGTTAGAATATATATGTAACTGCCTGTAGCTGTAGTTTAGTGTAGTTATTATAAACTGTTGGTGGTGCACCTTCTTTGCATGCTCTGTTTGCTATATGTACCCTAGTGCTATAGTGAACACCATTCCCATTTTTCTCGACTCTCCCTCTTGGCACAACTACCTCGACATCCTCCTTGGCCTAGGCTCCTAAGCCTAGGCCCTACCTAAACCTTGCTCCTAACTACACTTCTCATTCTTGACATGGCATTAGAGCCTGTTACGTCCTGGCCTGTGGGCCTGCCTCAAGCTTCCGCTGCTGTTTTTCCGGTCGCGCGCCGCGGGCGCGTGACGAATTTCCTTCTGTCCCGCGCCCGGGTGGCGCGTGACGTTTTACCTGCTCGTCGTGCGCCCCGTGGCACGCGACGGTGCCCTGAACTGCCCGTCGCGTGCCCCGTGGTGCGCGACGGTGCCCTGAGCCGCCGCGGATCCGCCACTGGCGCCCGCAACGGTGCCCTGAGCCGCCGCGGAACCGCCCCTGGCGCCCGCGACGGTGCCCTGAGCCGCCGCGGACCCGCCCCTGGCGCCCGCGACGGTGACCTGAGCCGCCGCGGACCCGCCTCTGGCGCCCGCGACGGTGCCCTGAGCCGCCGCGGAACCGCCCCTGGCGCCCGCGACGGTGTCCTGAGCCGCCGCGGACCCGCCCCTGGCGCCCGCGGCGGTGCCCCTGCCTCACCCGCGCCTGCACTCGGTGCAGCCGCCACTGCACCACCCAGCGCCTGCCCTTGGAGCAGCCGCCCCCGCTCCTGCACTCGGTGCAGCCGCCTCTGCCTCACCCCGCGCCTGCACTCGCTGCAGCCGCCCCTGACCTACCCGCGCCGACCCTCTGTAGCCGCTCTGCGGCTTTCTCCCCGCCCACCCCCTCCTCCTTCGTCTCCCTGCAGCCGTGGGGGGGAGGGTATGGGGATGGCGGGTGTGGGGGTGATGGGTGGTGTGCTTCCCTTCCCCTCCTCCTCCTTTCGTTCCCACTGCTGCAGCTGCCGCTGGGGGGGAGGGTGTGAGGGTGTGGGGGAGCCGGGGGAGTGGCACTGGGGTGGCGGGTGTGAGACCAACCAGCAGCCGTCCCTCCACCTCTCCTCTCTTCCCCCCTCTGCTGCTCCTGCAGCAGTGTGGGGGGGAGGGGGAGGGGGAGGGTGAGGGGATGGAGGGGGTGACCAGCCAAAGCCAGCCCGCCTCCTCTCTCTCCCTGCTGCCCCTCCTGTGGTCGGGGGGGGAAGAGAGTAAGGGGGTGGCAGGAATGTCTTGCTGTCGCCTGTCCCTTTGCTGTTGTACCTGCTCTGCTACTGTGCCTGCTGTTGCTGTTGCTGGTGTACCCCTGCAGGTTGTGTTCTGCACAAACTCCTGCTGCAGGCAGTTATAGGGGAGTGTTAGAATATATATGTAACTGCCTGTAGCTGTAGTTTAGTGTAGTTATTATAAACTGTTGGTGGTGCACCTTCTTTGCATGCTCTGTTTGCTATATGTACCCTAGTGCTATAGTGAACACCATTCCCATTTTTCTCGACTCTCCCTCTTGGCACAACTACCTCGACATCCTCCTTGGCCTAGGCTCCTAAGCCTAGGCCCTACCTAAACCTTGCTCCTAACTACACTTCTCATTCTTGACAGAACTGTAGTATGTCCTCACACACAAACGGGTACGGCCTGGTGGCTACCTCCAATTTCACGCCCACTGTTATGAGTTGTAAAAGAGAGTGCGCAGGTAAACAAATAACGAGACTGTGATTCACTGATCTGAGAATACAATTAAGGCACAGACTAATGTAGGGGCTAGCCTAGCTAGGAGGAAACCTCGGACGAGCGAGGTTGGGGTGCAGGTTTGGCGATGGGAAATGCCGAAGGCGACGCGAGGAGCCTCGGCAGCGTTGAAATCGGCCGAACGTGCAAAGTCCGAAAATCGGGCTGTACGCGTAGCAGTCAACCCCAATAAGGAATTCGGGAAAATTCCTTACACTACCCCCCCCCTTAAGAAAGGCGGTCAATATCTGAAACACGCCTGCGCGCCAAGTAATCACGAACAAGTGACGAGGCGTCGAGCGAGTCAGAATGCACCCACGTGTCATCTTCACTGGTGCGGTCAGTCCAACGAATGAGGAAATCCACGTGGCGACCAGCTGCGTCAAGGCGAACCCGATGTGCCAGAATCTTCGAAGGGTCGAGAGTCGGCTCCGGGACAGGTCGTGCAGTTGGTGCAGCTTGTTGCCGCGCGATGTCGGTCGTGGCTGGCACGAACTTTCGAAGCAGGCTGACGTGGAAGGCGTCGTGAATGCGCCAGTCGTCGGGTAGCAGCAGCTTCGCGGTGACAGGTGTCACCATCTTGATAATCTTGAACGGCCCACAAAATCGTGGCCGTAGTTTCGACGGGCCGGGCAGGTGCAGGTTCTTCGTATCAAGTAGCACTAGTTGCCCAGTAGTCAAGACGAGTTCTCGGCGTAGAAGATCGGTGTATTTTCGGGAAGTGATATTCGCCTTGCGAATTACGTCTGCGGCTTTTTCTCGGACTTCCTGGAGTTCCGTCACAAAAGTCTGTGACCTCGGGACCGGGTTGTTGAGGGTGGTTGCCGTAGGAACTATCGGGTCCATCTCGTAATTCAGGAAGAACGGGGAGTGATTAGTCGTGCTGGACGGCGCGTTGTTGAAAGCGAACTCCAGCATTGCGAGGGATTCTTCCCAGCGGGCAGGGTCGGGGCAGTTTGTCCTGATCAGCTGCTCCATGGTCTGATTGGTCCGTTCGGTTTGTCCGTCCGTCTGTGGGTGATATGCCGATGAGAACTGTAGCTTCGTGCCGTACTGCGCCCACGTCTCCTTCCAGAACTTTGATGTGAACTTCGGGTCTCGGTCGCTGATGATCGCCGAAGGGATGCCGTGCAGTCGCACGACCGTTGAGATGAAGAGGCGCGCAGTTTCTTCGGCTGTGATTGCCGTTCGGCATGGGGCGAAGTGCGCCATTTTCGTGAAGCGATCGACGACGACGAGCACCGCGTCGTTGCCGGACGGCCCAGCTGGCATCCCCGTGACAAAATCCATTGTCACCTGCTGCCACGGTCGTTCGGGTGGCTCGAGGGGTTGCAGCAGCCCAGCTGGTCGTTGACGTGTCGACTTCATAGCTTGGCACACCCTGCATGAGGACACATATCGCTGCACGTCGTTAGAGGAATCAGGCCAGTAATATTGACGGTGCAGTAGTTTCTGGGTTTTATCAACCCGGAAGTGTCCGGAGAAATTCGAATCGTGGACCTCTTGGATAAGGAGTTCACGCAGCAGCCTGTAAGCGGGAACCCAAATCCGGTCGGTTCCGGCTTTTAGGTAATAATCCCCTTTCTGCGTCGTGGCCTGCTGATGATTTCCAGTCGTGAAGAATGGGTCCGTAGTGTAGCCGTGGGTGAATAGTCTGGTAAGTAACGGGTTCGAGTGGGTGATGAGTACTGCAGCGGATTGTACTGTCGGTCGGGTCAGGGCGTCGGCGATGTTATTCGCCCCTTTCTTGTACGTGATGCGGTAGGTGAAGTTGCTCTCCATGTAGTCCAGCCACCGAATCTGTCGTGGGTTGAGGTTGGGTTGGGCTCGCAGGTACTGTAGGGACTTGTGGTCCGTGCGAACAGTGACGTCGGCGCCCACCAGGTAGCATCGCTATAATTTAAACGCGTGTATGATGGCGAGCATCTCCTTGTCGTGGATCGGGTAGTTGCGTTCGGCTGCCTGCAGCTTGCGTGATTCGTAGGCGATCGGTTGCAACCCGTTCCCGAAATCTTGGAGAAGCACAGCTCCGATGGCGAAATCTGAGGCGTCGGTTACAACTTCGAACGGCTTCGATGGGTCGGCGATGCGCAGCACAGGAGGGGAAACGAGAAATTTTTTGAGTTCCTGGAAAGCCGCTTCTGCCTCCTCCCCCCACACAAAATTCCTGTCCTTGTGCAGCAGGTCGGTCAGCGGGCCGGTTATCCCCGCCATATTCGGGATAAACCGCCTGACGTAATTCACGAATCCGAGAAAACTCTGGATTTCCGTGACATTCGTCGGGGTCTTCCACTCCTGTATGGTCTTGATTTTCGCCGGGTCGATTTTAATGCCGTCGCGCGAGATGACGTGCCCCAAAAACTCCAACTCCTGCTTAAAAAACTCGCACTTAGAGCCCTTGGTGATGAATCGGTTCTCCTGCGGCCGCTTAAACACTGCGTCCAAATCTCGGAGGTGTTGCTCCCGTGTCTTGCTAAAAATCAGGATATCGTCCAAGTAGACGATGACACATCGGTCTAGAAGATCCCGAAAAACCCTGTTCATGGTCAGTTGAAAATTCGAAGGCGCGTTCGTGAGGCCGAAAGGCATCACTGTAAATTCGTAACTCCCCTAGCGTGTGCGAAACGCAGTCTTGTGACAGTCGTCGGCGAAGACTCGAATCTGGTGGTAACCGCCACGTAAGTCAATCTTCGAGAAATAGCGAGCGCCGCGAAGTTGGTCGAGGAGGTCGTCGGTGCGTGGGATTGGATAGCGAGACTTGATGGTGACCCGGTT